TTCAAGTGGCAAACAATTTTTTCATGGAATTCTGAAGAACATTTCTTCCATAAAACATCAATTAAAAATTATATAATGTAAGTCTATGGGAAAACCAGACTCAACTTAGGGACAATTCAACTTCTTAGATACACTCTGGATGCACCACTCATGTCCACATCTGGGGGTCTCACTTATAACAAAGAAAATCTCAGTTGCATACAGATAACATAATTTCCGAAATGAATGAAACTTCATCTGCGGAAGTCCATTCGGCGCAACGACGAAGCTGAGAATTCATAACAACGCGGATATACATATTGCACAAAAAATCATTGCGTCGCAAATTTATCATCAGTCAGCACTGTCAGCAGGTTTTCAAAAACTTCAAAACCAAGGCCCTGCTTATTTCACAAACACAATTTTCCAAAATACACCGCGTATTCTTGAAGCAAAACCGGGCAAAGGGGGCTGAAAATTTTAATCTTATTGTCTTTGAGTCGTATTTACCCGCTTTGAATAAGAGGTTGCTTGCTTTTTCCTGTTTATAAAACCGCAACATAACCGTGCTCCGAGCCTTAAATTAACGCCAAAGCAGGATTTAAAAAATCCCGAGATTCTAAAGAAAAACAACGTTTTCTTCAGCAGATTCTCCTTCGCAGAACTTGAAACACGATTCAAAATATCTCACTTCAGCACAGTGATATGATGAACGAACTATTTTGGATCCTTCCCGCGAGAAGTTCGGAGATGAATGACTCCACTAACGGGAAGGTGCATAAACATATATGAATGACTAGAAGTGACGACCTTCTAACATTTCTCTTTTCAGTTTCACAACAAAGCCAGCGGGGTTTAATGGAGACTCATTTGTCTGGGATGCCTGCAATGGGATAAAGTCTGATTGATAACAGGAGGGTGGATGTCGCTGCTGCTTTCATTATTGTCAAGGAATGCTTCGGACACAATACACGTCTTCTTATATCCAGCGTGAAATGAGATAACTGCTACCAAGGCCGGCGAAAAACATTAGCGCGATTGCTGAAAAAATCCTTCCGTTTAAAAAAGTAACCTGTGTATAGGAAGAAATCAATACAGTAGGAGATATGTGTATAGGTTTGAGTGCGAGCATTAATCGTAAACCACGGTGATGATCATGGAAATATATATCTTGTGGAAAAGGCCTTCAAATCTCTAATGCTAAAAAAGTTAGGGAAACCATGTTTTTATTGAAATATACGGAAAACTTTCGGCACTTGTACATGAGAGGTGACCCACCAAAAAATGAGGGTTTAAACTATAGGGGATTCATTTTGCCGGTAGATGTCACGTTTGTATGACGCGCGTGGATTTTTCAGTGGGTCACCTCTCGTGTACAAGTGCCAAACTTTCTGTTGCAGCTTGTTACAGAATTATGTATCTCATCCTGGCTGATGAACGACCCGCGAGAGAGCCACAAAATTCACTCTTTTTATCCTACCCTTTGTTCTCAAAAACATTTTAAAGTTTTTTCGCCCGTTGGGAACCATAAGGAGCTTAATTTTGGTGTTTCGAATTTTTTTTTCAACTCTCAAAATTCGTCAGAAATCCCAGTGATGAAATAAGAAGGGCACAAATTCTTTCAACTGCTGATTGAAGGTAGAAGATGCTGGTTACTTGAATGCACTTGGCAGTACAGTCTATTGGCCTTCGACCGACAATATGGTTCGTAGCGAAATGAATGAAGACTCACAAGAACTTTTCTTCAGGATTCCCGTTTACACATCTAGGTGTCGCTAGCATGCAGCGTTCTGCTTCTCCATTAGATGATGTACTTCTCAGTGCTGTATTGTATCCTTAATTTGTATAAAATTCATAAATCGAATCAGAATTGATGAGCGTCATGAAACATATATACTGTGCATACTCGCATAGAAACGTACAACACGTATACTTAAGTTTAAGGATTGTTATCCTATTTCCTGAGAAATACAAGAATTGGTGAGTCTTAAATATATTCTTACTATTACGTCTAACAGCAAGTTTATTACCAACCTCAAAACTTGAGATAACTAATTCTATCCTGGTTTTCTAATTGTTGTCTTCCACGTACTTTGCGGGCCAAAAGGATTTTTAGCAGTTAAATAAGTTGATACCAGGATCTCCACTCAGCAGAGGCAAGCAATAAATGTATTTTGGTGCTCAACAGTCCGCGAGTAAGTCAGGATACAAATGCTGAAGAATATAATGCAGCACATTGGATTTAAAGGTGGGCAGCCAGCAGGTTATGCGACTTGCTGGCTGACCCAAAAACAATAGTACACACACACATATTCGCGAGAGGACAGCAGACTGGTCAGCTAGCTGGCCTCAAAGCAGGCGCGCGTGACGGGCGTGTGCATTTTATGTATGCGCCCTATTCCAACATTTCTGAGCTCGGGCTTCAGTAAAAAGAAAAAATGGAATAAGAGAGCACAAGCGGCACACGGGAAATAACAAGAGAAAAAGAGTCAGCGTATGCTGCTCATAAAAATTCTGGATCACAGGATCAAAGCATCTTATTGGGAGTATTGTCTACAACTACAGTATATTCCTCATTTTCACCTGAATTCCCACTTTTACTCTATACTCAGCAGTCCTGGCAAATTGAAAACTAAAAGATATTGTGATTTTGTGATCAAAAAAGAGTTGGGAAGAAATTAAACCAAGGTTTTGAAAAGTCAGCCTGATCTGTGATGTTTTATTAAATTGAAGTAGGTAGTTAGTGTTTCATTGCAATTGCATCATCTTAAAAGAATTCAGACTAATAAATCCTTTAAACAAGCATACTATCTCAAAATACGCCAGGAAGGTAATCACAAAAACCAAGTTCAGTGATGTTTTATGCATGTTTTCATAATTTATTCAAAATTTACAAATATAATTAAAACAAAGAATTTTGTTTTTGGGGATAAACTTGTGCTACTATCCATAGTTGCTTGAGTATCATATGCCCTCAAGTAAGGCACTCACCCCAATTTTTTGTCAAAAAGCCAACTGCCTGATGTGAGATGTGCACACCAGTTTTTGTTGACTGATTGTGTTGCTATTGTGCCCAAGCGGGGAGCTATTCTTTGTGTGACCCCACAACTGGTACACACTAAGGTCAAAACTGGTGTACATGGGCTATTCCAGGGTTACAAGCATGCACCTCTGTAGATGAAATTTTGCTACCATTCCAGGGCTACATTTGGTGCAGAAATGTGACATAACAGGAGTGTCACACAAATGCACCAACTACATAACCTTAGTGTAACTTATTTGTTACAAATGTGACCCTGAGTAANGCTACATTTGGTGCGCAAATGTGACGTAACAGGAGTCTCACACAAATGCACTGACTGTAACCTTGGTGTAACTTATTTGTTACAAATGTGACCCTGAGTAATCCTGGTGTGAACACACAATTGGTGCACATTGGGGATATGCATGTGCAGAAGAAGAACGTTGGTACACTTCAGGTGCACAGCCAGTCACTGTGTGGAAATACATGCATATCCCAAGTGTGCACCATTTTCCCCACTTGGGATGTGTATAGATCCATCAACATTAATATTTTGTCTTTATTATACATCCACCCTCCTGTTCAATCAGACTTTATTATCCCAGGCATCCCAGACAAATGAGTCTCCATTAAACCCCACCGGCTTTGTTGTGAAACTGAAAAGAGAAATGTTAGAAGGTCGTCACTTTTAGTCATTCATATATTTTTTTGCACCTTCCCGTTAGTGGAGTCATTCATCTCGGAACTTCTCGCGGGAAGGATCCAAAATAGTTCGTTCATCATATCACTGTGGTGATGAAGTGAGATATTTTGAATCGTGTTTCAAGTTCTGCGAAGGAGAATCTGCTGAAGAAAACGTTGTTTTCCTTTAGAATCTCGTGATTTTTTAAATCCTAGCTGCTTTTGCGTTAATTTAAGGCGCCGAGCACAGTTATGTTGAGCTTTTATAAACAGGAAAAAGCAACCTCTTATTCGAAGCGGGTAAATACGACTCAAAGACAATAAGATTAAAATTTTCAGCACCCTTTGCGCTGTTTTGCTTCAAAAATGCCTGGCATACGTTGCAAAAATTTGTTTGTGAAAACAGCGCCTCGGTTTGAAGTTTTTGAAAACCTTAGGTTATTTGGTATCATTCTCTTCATGTTTTCTAGAGGAAAAACAATTTCAAAAAATTTGAGAGTTTTAAATTTCTCTCTTATTCCAAAATGCATGGACAAAATTTGACAAAGGACAAAAGGCTTGAGCTGTTTGGTCACAGCTTACCTGTTGACCCACCAACAGGAATACAAAGGGGATTAAGCAGCCTAATGGGGCCCGGAAATACTTCGGCCGGATCTTTTGGACTACCTCCATATGTTGGGCCTTTCTATGATTTTTTTATTGGAAAAAAAGTCCCTATGATGAATTGTCCCCATGTCAAGGTGTCCGCATGTTGGCGTTTCATTGTATATCATTGCCTGTTCAGACTTGTGGTGTTTTGTGTATAAAAAGAATGTACTGTATATTAGTTATTGGATGTGATGTTTCAACCCTTATTTTGTCCACGGTCTATATAAGAAGAGTTCAAGGGCTCTGACGAAAGTACAGTATCATACATCAGCATGCAGGACAATTACATAACCATAACTCGGTTGGAAGAACAAAAAAACTTTCGACAAATTGGCGAAACTGTTGCTCTTAGTCATCTCTAGTGGAAAAATACGCGAGGAAGGCGGTTTCAGACAAGACGAAACGCGGATCGATTCCTGGTATTTGATAAGAGTACAAGGGCAATTTTAATCGGAACAAAGAAGGAAAAAGTGATATTTTGCATTGATGAATGATGGTAATAAAAGTTTTCCATTGCTTTGCATTGGAAGAATTTTTTTTCTGAATCGAAGGTATATGCGGGCGGAGAAGCTATAAACTGTGTTTTTATATAGGTACTAAACTACTGAGAGTTTCGGCAGAACGGTGTCGATCGTACAGTGATTTTGCTTTTAATCGGGTGTTCCTCAAAATGAGTGCTCTCCTAGTGAAACTCAATTACGGGTTTCGAGACCTTTCTTTCATGGAACTGGAAAGGAACTGCTTATCAATGGGAATCACTTCGCAGCACCCAAATTTTATCAATCCGAGAGCGGCTGTATTCTACGCGGATTGGTCGGATGTAGAGAATCCCGATTTGCTTGAAGAAGAATTCCGACCGAAAAGACTGCGACCCACAAAACGGCTGATGCGTGTTCCTCTGCGTGAGTTAGATCTGTAATGTACAAGTATATACAATAAATGTATTGTATTTATGTCAAAAATAGTTGGTCCAGTTGTGCATGGCTCTCTTGAGAAGTTTTTGAATTCGAGATACCCACCCATGAGTTGCGCAGGCCCTATTCTGGATTACGAGTTCCGTTTCATTGTATAGATGTCGCTATTTGTTACTGTATAAGTCTATACTGTATACGGTAGTACAGTATTCTGCTTTGCGGAATTTCACTTGGGTGTTCATACTCGCTGTTGGTCAATTAAGTTGCCTCTATTTACCTAATCGATTAGATGTTTCAAGTCACTCAAGTGACTGTGAGAATGCAGTGCTGTGCAGTCGGATGTTTTTCCATTTATTTGTATATTTTGCGTTTCCCATTGGCAATACCTTCTCTCATACGACGCAGACGTCCACAAACAAGAAGGTTATATGAAGCTTGGAGTACCTTGTCCGAGGCAAAACTACTTGCAAAGAATTTGTTCCATTGGGGAGGATCCCTTCAGTGGAGAATTCACATTAGATACACGTGGAACGATCTCCTGCGAATTCGCAGTGGATCTACGCATCAACCAGCGCAAATGTGACGAAGACTGCGATGGATACATTTACAAGCTGAGTCACGGAGATGTCATTGAGGGCTCTTACATCGACCTTCGTGAGAGTTTTTTAAATAATTATGCTAGTTGCAGTATACTTGATGCACGAAGAATAGTCACGTTTGTCCGCATTTGTCAAATTTCCGAAATTAATGGGACTATGAAGTGTAAACCTTAGTTCTTCCATTTTTATGCTTAATTTTGCGTCACTCAGACAAAGCTGAAATTTCTGCATGCACAAGTTGTGGAGAGAGACTCGATCGATCAATGCAAAACTGGTTTTAACTAACAGAAAATTTTCATTTCAATTGGGTGAACAGATGCCATGGAAAACTGTATGTTTTGTTTAAAATGTCTCCCTTGATGGATCATGGGACATCTATTCAATTTTCATCTATAAATCTGTATTTTTCAGTATTTGCTGCTCGCGATTAATACTTATGTGGAAAACCACATTCATTATGTGAAAGTCGCATTTCCGACGAAGTGAGAGCCCCGAAATGGTTCCAAATTATAATCAATAATCCCGCTTGCATTTATTTCAGTGTTCTTCAGGTTCATGTTCCTTCTATGGGATGGAAATCCCGTGCGACGAGTGCCGCAGACTTCGCTCCTTTTGTCTTGCCCTCGGCTCGTCTTGAATAAAATTGTATCGTATTTGACCCCATTGGAAACTATGAACAACATCGTTCCAGTATGTCGACAGTTTTTCCAACTGATGATGAAAAGTGGATGCATTTGGACTCGTCTGGAGTTTAGTGCTGTGTTTGGCAACACGTGGGTTCCATACAGTCACTTGGATGATTTCAGAAGGGTTCTTGCCAAGTAAGTTGTCTTTGAATTATCACAAGTTTAATCGAGTGTCATAAATAAGGGCATTTATTTATCTATAGACATGCTCGGAACCTTGTGGTGAACTTCATAGTTTCGAAGTCCTTCGGCGCAAAGGAGCCATCTCCCGTTATCATGCGTCCATTATTATCCAAACCCGCGGACTGGAAGAATTTGAGAATGCTCGAGATTCATTCAATAAGTCGCAATGAGAATGTCTGGATTCAATTTTTCAAAAGAAAGACAATCCTCGCAAAATTGGAATCACTCGTGATCCCCTGCGATGAACTTTTCTTGCGCGAGGCCTGGAGTTGGGACTCGCTGGCGCTCCCGAATTGTCGAGAAGTAACTCTTCTGGTGAGCGACTCCAGTTCAAGCTTCTCCTGTCGTCCACTGGATTTCAAACAGGTTTTTCCGGGGTTCGTGTTGTACTGGGATTTGGTTTTCTCATGTTTACATACCAATAACTCTGGTTTTTTTTTTTCCGGTGTCAGGCTGAAGAGATTGCACTTCATTGATAATTCAAGCGACGGCGGGGTGGCGAGGCGACGTAAAGCTTTATTTTTCTACGGAAATGGTGTCCCGAAGAGTTTCCTCAAACACGTCGGCTCTGGTGTGCTGGTGACATTTCATGCCAGGGAATTCGGAGAAATTTGGAATGAGGAAGACTGGGATTTTGCTCAGAAATCAGGAACTTTCTCGAGCCTGGAGTCGCTGAGCTTCTCAGGGAATCCTTTTGAGCAAATGTCGGACTTCGCTTCATCGCGTCAAATTTTTCCCAAGGTATGGTTCTGAGTAACTGATAATGACCAATAATTCATTACCATTTCGTCTCCTGAACTTTTCCCTCACGAACAATGTATTTTCAAGTTTTACACCGATAGCATCGAACATGTCCTCTCGATTCGCCATATTAGCGATGTAGAAGTAATTTATCAGTTTAATAAAAGCGTATATGCCATTGCTTTTAAAATAAAAATGAGTAATTTTCAAAAATATGCTGTATGTTGTATAAGAGGCTTGAAAAAGATTCGACAACGTTCGAATTTAAATTGTTTGGGAGTGCTCGCGACGGAAAAAAAAATCTGATGTAGATTTTTACCCGGATTAAAGAAAAATATTGAAACTTTTACAGCTGAAAACACTGTGGTTGAACGAAGTGACAACCTTGAGATCGATTCACCATCTGCTCGAGCTGCCTTCATTGCAAAAAGTCTGGCTGGAGTGTCGAAATCCAGGCCTATTCGCCGAACCGTTGATTGACCCGTTGATACTTCGACTCTTCGATGACAGCCCCACGGAATGGCTTGAGAATCTCAAATTTATCTCAGCTGATCTCTGGGAAACTTACGTTCCGTATTTCAAGATGATCAACCTGGAATGTGTGGCTCTCCTCTTTTACCAAAAACAAGTTGTTACAAGACCCCTTGACGCAGTTTTTGAAGAGCTGAGTTACTGTTCCAAGCTGAGAGGAGTGATTCTACGTGTGCAACACGACCTTGAGTTTTGTGAAGCCGTGAGGAGACTGAGTCAGCCATTGGAGTTCGCTGCAATCTCAGGAAACCGAGATGTTGTGATTGCTGCTCTAAAATGTCTTTCTCAGTGTCAGGCTCAGCTTGAAGAAGTTTGGATTCGGGTTTTGGACTCTACGGTGAGTAGTGAACGAGACTACATTTGACCTGGTTTCTTTTAAATTATGAGTAGCGAAGTTAATTCTAATATTAATTCATTTTCACTTCAGAAATTCTTCGGACCTAAAATTGAATTATTATTATTATTTTTTTTTTGAAGAGACTGTGTTCTAGCGAAGTTTGAGAGTTATACAGGGTAATGTGCAGAATTTCTGGCATCAGATAATGCATTTTTTGGAAAGAATTCGTTTGATGACGGAACTCATCCATCTCTCGAATTTGCGCGAAGGAATATCGGTTTATTCTACTGTGCTGACGTTTTTTCGATGTGTTCCCTCCATTTCAGGACCTGGAAGAAGTGTTTCAAGTCTTGATGACATTCAAGGTCCTGAAAAACGTTGTGTTCCTGCGCGCGAACGATTTTTCTACCGAGGATATCTACTGCGGATTGCACGAAAGGAAGTCGGAGTTTGAGGCGGTGCTTTGGAAATACGTTCATCATTATTCGGGGTGTTGCTTTAAGCAAGTGGCGATTGTTTTCGAAGTGATCCCATCAAGAGATTACTTCACGTACAGCGTTGAGCAACGGAAGCAGACGACGTTCTCTTCGTGTGCTTTGACGAAATTCTTCCCGGAATGGTTGAAGTTTATCAGGAGAGGCAAGAAAGGTCCTTTTTCCGCGATAGACTTGCTTGTAGCTGTTTTTCCATTGGATTGACACCTTGTAATTGTGGGTTTTACTTTTGCGTACACTCGGTTCGGACGATCGACGCTGCTATTCGATACAGATTGATCCCTTTCCCTCGGAATTCACATTAAATATTTTTAAAGAATACTCCGAAGTCTGATATATTCTCAAGATATTTTTGCAATTATCAGTCATTGATCGATTGATTCCAGAGGGTGGAAGAGACAACAATGTCTCTGTGATTTTTTAATATACCTTGTATTTCGGAGATTTTGCGTGTGACATTTGAAAGCCGTAAATGTGCATACGGTCGCATTCTGTTTTTTTCCTAAAATTTATTTATTTTGTTGTTACATAAAGAACCCTCGCAAAATTCTTTGACTCTGTTGCTAAAGGGATTCCAGGTGCGCTTCGAGACACGTAAAAAAATGAATTTGATTAGTTCAAAGCACCTGGTTTGAAAGTAAAATGAGCGGAACTTCTCAGCAGAGAAAGTTGCTGAATCGGACTGCCGCTGCTTTTGGGATCATGGAAAATAGATGCATCTGCTGAACTTTACTTCGAATGATATGGTTTTCTTGATTTTTATTAGTGCTTTTTCGCTGAATGAAGAATCCGGATGCGATTTATGATGGTTGATCATTTCTGAGTTTCAGTTCAGGGGCGTGTCGTGAAAATGTTATCGTTGCACGAATTTCTTGGAAATCGGCAATGAGTAAGAAGTACAGTAGTGTAGCGTTGTATTTATTACTCAGGAATCTTTATAAGGGATTTGGAAGTCCTTTTATATTTGCCGGACGAACTTACCGAAAAAGCGTTTAAAAATGAAGACAAGTTGAGCACGAAATCTTTCACACAGATGCGACGTGAGAGAATCGTAAAATGTTTATACTTCCAACTTGCTCGAGTGAGAAAGATGCACAGCACGTAATCTTTCAAAACATTCGGAGCACATCAGGATTTGGCTGCAATTCGAAGTTCGTTCAATGTGTCTATTAGCTAGTGGAGGGGATCCTGCTCGCTCTTCATGCAAGCACGCACCTGTTGGGCGCCAGTGCTGACGTTATTACCAAGTTTAACTGCGCGTCAACCTGAACGAGACCCTCGCTGAAGTCGTGATATACGGCGGACCCCCTCCCCATCATATTCATGGTCGTGGGGCGAGTTACTGTACAGTGCCACACTACTTCGAAAATGTGTTTACTGTACAGATGCGGGTTGTAAACCAGGAATTATTGCCAACCCCCCTTTCAATATTGCTTAGGTGTTTTCGCAGAAGTCTAAATTGCCTCAGTCTCGGAAATCGAATACAGTTGTGCTGCATTCCCTGATGGGCCCTCCGGAAAATGGTGTTACGCATGGGCAAGATGCGTCAGTCACCACAGTGATGCTCTCCAGGGAGGGTAGTATTGTGCGAGATGTGAGGTGATTTCTGAATACAGTACTGTACTTAATGTATGGATTATTTGGATGCATAGGGAAGATCACGAGATATACTGTACCGTAGATCCCATCCAAGTCACTATCACTGAAATGTTTGTGGAAGTGTGTTCTATTTTATGCTTCCAAAAGTGCCTGTATAGTTTGGATCTTGTAAAGCCAACCGACTTATACTTTCCTGGTGATGCGTTCCTCTCCATGTATTAATCTATACCCTGTTAATTGTTTTTCTGAAGATAAAGCACAAGGATAGTCAAAATAGGAAAACTATGTACACTGTCGTTTTTACCACCATGCTATTGTAGGCCTCCTCGGTGTTGTAGGAGTGCATGGCTTCCTGTATACCGTATGCAGTAATCGTTATTTCTTCCTATTTTGGTGATTACCACGAGAATGGCGAGTATCGATAGACTCATCTTGATCAGTTGTTGAGGAAAATGAGCGATTACTTCACCATGAAGTCCAAGCATTAATAACACGATGTTCACATGGCCAACGTAAGCCTAGGAGATAAACGTCAGTTTGGAAATGAAAACATTGTGGCGAAATCGTGAATGATTTTCTGCTAATCAATGAGTAATTCTCAACTTGGAATCAAGAAGTGATCTTTTTTGTCAGTGCTGATGCCGGATCCAACGAATTTGGCAGTGCTGTTGATGAATAATAAGTAACCACGAAGTGTTGTGAATCACCGAAGTTGTTGAAGATATTTTTTTCTGGGAGCAACGTGTTCACGTATTAATGGCCATAAGTCCATGTAAAATATTTTTAGGTTTCATGTGATAAATCGATTGAGAGGGACCTGATTTGATCGAGTGACAACAATTTTTCGAAGGAACGTGAGCATTATTTCGCTTTACTGTGACGTTGAAGTTTGAATTATTGCTTTGCCATGAGCGCATATCTTGTGAGGCTTGACTTCGGTCTTCGAGACCTGTCTTACATGAAGCTTGAACGAATTGGTTCAACTGACCATGGTCCACGAAAATGTGGCATGACGCATAGTAGGGCTGAATTTTATGTTGAATGGCACGAACATCGTCATAATACTGCTGATCCGAAGCGAATCCCTCTGCGTAAGTGTTCTTATAGTGAGCTTCGGGTATTCAATTAGTCAGGAAATTTTTTTCTGATTTTGTTTTCAGATGTCCACAAAGTGGAGAATGGGATAAAAGTTGGAGCATTGTGTCCAAAGCAGTATTGGTTGGAGAAACTTTTCTCGGTGGGAGAAGCTCTGAATGGAGAATTCGTGCTCACTGTGGAAAGGGTGTCTTTGCATCTTTTTAATGCGGAGTTGTACGTCAATTATAAACGCATTGTTCGTCAGGATGGGTGTACTTTCAAGTTGAGGCATGGAGACCTCATTGAATGCGCTCGACATAAATTCCGTAAGGTTTCTTGGCACTTGTACTAAATCAACTGTATAATCTTTGAAAATGGATGGAAGTCTGTAGGTTTCTGGAATTCTAGAGTTTCGTGCTTTTGTGTCTTTCTCAAGATGAAGTATAACTTAATTTCCAAGATCCTAATATTTGTGCAATTCCAGTGGGAAAAAAACAATGCATTACCTTCACATACGTTGTTCTAAGAGACATTTTTGCACCCGGTTATTTTACGCCCGCGCGTGGAGTTCGTAGAAATATTTTGTGGAAAAGGCTTTCAAATCTCTAATGCTGGAAAAAGTTGGAGAAACTATGTTTTATTGAAATATACCGAAAACTTTCTATTGCAGCTTGTTACAGAATCATGTTTCTCCTGGCTGATGAACGACCCGCGAGAGAGCCACAAAATTCACACTTTTTATCCTGCCCTTGGCTTGTTCTCAAAAGCATTTTAAAGTTTTTGGGGCCGTTGGAAACCATAAGGAGCATAATTCCGGTGTGTCGGCAATTCTTCGAATTGTTGAGACTTCGTGGTACTTGGATCCACATTAAGTACAATGTTGAGCACGGCCTCACTTATCTTCCGTACTGGCATTTGGATGAGTTCTGGGAAGTCATTGCTGGGTACGTCGTCTCTCATTCATCATCATTGCTGGTCATATGCATTTTCATAAGTTCCGCAAGTTTGATCTACTTTTTTGTGGTTGAAAACCTGCGCTCGAATTCAAAGGCAGGACTGAAACAGTAAAATGCACTGCTTGTCATATCTTTAATTAACCTGCTCAGCGTGCGGCTGCTGCTCGAAGTCTTCCTGTTCTGCGAAAATCATATTGCACGTGTCTGTTTGTCCGTTTGAAAAGGTTGCATTGAAGAAGTTGTGCCAATTATTCTCTTCATAGTCAGAGCGTAAAAATATTTTCGTTACCTTTGAATTTGCATGAAGCGCAAGACAAGTTACAGTATTTCTAAGCGGACGATAGTTCGCAGCATTGGGTTTCTTGAAAGAATGAGCGCTTTTTTATGACAGGCAGGTGAGGAAGCTCTACACGGGGGAAATCGGGTATCCACATTATTCCATGGATCATTACTTGCATCAAGTATTCAAATGCACTAACTGGAAGAATCTGAAGGTCCTGGAAATTAATTCGAGCTATTCGAGTAAATATACATCTCCGAAAGGAATACAACAAATGGCTCAATTGGAAAAGTTGTCAATTCGTTGCCCTCATCTCGGGAACATTTTCGTGGATGTGGCCAGAGATGAAAAGTTGGTGTTCTACCAACTTCAGCGAGTCACTCTCGCATGCTCATTGAGAAAGTTTTCGTCGTTGGATTTGAATTGTGTTTTTCCGAGGTGATTACACTGTACTGTACTGTACTTCGTAATATTCACGATCGACGCCTGTTTGAATTATTGATTCCCATGCATGATTGATGCATTTCAGACTGAAGAGCCTGTGTCTGGAGGATTCCGATAGAGAGTTTTCGCACTTCCGTAGGAATCCGCAGCATCCTCCTTTGAGTTCCATCACGTTTATCAACTCCCTTGGATCTGGTGTGCTTTCGAGTCTCAGTGCGGAAGATTTTCCAGCTCGTGTGAACCAAGAAGCTTGGCTTCTGGCTCAACAAGTTGGAACTTTTGCGAACCTGGAGTCCCTTGCCGTGGGCGGGAAAGCTTTCAGCGAAGTGCCACGATTTCACGAAACAAATTTCATTTTTCCAAAGGTGATCGTTGCATCTAATTCGACTCAGGATGCAAAGAAAGTGTTGCGCTAAATGATCCGCTGCTGGCAGGAATTTTTCGAAGTTGTCTCAATTCAGATTGTTTTTGGATTTTGCGCGGAGTTGGAAACTTAAATTTTGGGAATAATGTACAGTATTTTTAGTGTCTTCCAGCAAATTTAACAAGATTATTTGGCAACTGATAATCCTACACTTTACTTTATTTATAGGCTTCAAGATGAATTCTCATGATGATTCATTACATATCATGAACGTTCCCCTCTCGGATCGATTTCTGTACACATATTTTTTTCTCGAAAATATTCAACGTCACGCTCGGCATCTGGGTGATCGTTGAAAAACTAATATATCCGAGTTTACCGCCTTCTAATCTCCTATTCGCAGTTGAAATTCCTCTGGTTGAAAGATGTATCGGCCATGAAAGCATCTCACATGCTACCGCTGATGACGTGTCTGGAAATGGTTTGGATCCAGACGAATCGACCAAATCAGTTTACTGAAAGAGCAATTCGAGATCAATTCAACAAGAGTTCAAAGAAATGGCTGGAGAATCTGAAATTCATATCCGCCGATTATTGCGAGTCATGCATTCCGTATTCGAGTATGACAAAATTGGAATGCGTGGCCCTCGTTTGTCGAAGTGATGCGCGTGCCGAATATCTGGGAAGAATTTTGGAAGAACTTCGCTCTTGTCACAAACTCAGAGGGTTGATTCTGTATGTGTCCAGTGACGAGGAATGTCGAACCCTGGGAAGACTCTTCAAAAAGCAGTTGGAGTTTGCAGCAGTTTCTGGATCGAAACTCGACTGTTTAATTTCATTATTGAAATTTCTGGCGAGGGATCAGAAGTTACTTGAAGAACTGTGGATACTAGTGAAATCCTCAGAAGTAAGAGAACCGTATGTACATGGGGTTGTCCCACTTTGAGTTGCCCTTCATTATTTCGATAGTAAGTAACATACTAAGTATGGCTGCAAATAAAATTTTTAATTTAGTCCTTGTTCGGGATTTTTTCAGAAATTTTAAAATAACTTCTCAATTTTTCGCATGACGATGAGTGAAAACTTTCCCAGTTTCTGCCAGTTCTCCCCCCATTTCATGGGTTAAATAAAAAAAGTATAATTGCAGTCATACTCACTCTAGAAATACCCAACTTCAACTTCAAGCGGGACAACCTTATGTATGCTTCATATTTCAGGTTTTGAAATGATTTTAAACCGCATTGATGAATCCGAATAAGAATACTTTTTTTTTTTTTTAAAGAAATGTCCTGAGGGCGGGATGCAATCGCAAGTGCTATGATAACTACATTACAAAAGAATTTACGTATGTTCGATTCTTGTTTCCTTGTAATTCTTATTATTCGTGTTGACCTCCCGTGTTAATTTTGCTGCTTCGTAAATAATGTTGGAATTTCTATAATTTTAATATCGCTGTATTGAATTACCTTATTGATCGTGAATGAGTCATTCTTTGTTGATAATATCAACTCAGGGAGGAAACAAGGATTTCTTGTTTCACAATACATTTCCTAAGACTTAATTGCAGCGATCCTGCTCGGTGCACTGAAGATTTCTGTGTTGCTTTGAATATTTTTGGATTGATTTCATTCGCTTTTATAATTTGATAACATGTCAATTTCTGACAACGTAAAAATTTTGGATGCGAATCAAAGTTCCCAGCAATTGAAGGATTGCGTTTTTCAACTCTCTTTCGTCTCTCCATTGTACCATGCACTTGGTTTCCGAAATAGAAAATACAGCTGACAGGAAATCATCAACTATCTCTTGAAGATTCATAATTCATATACTGTATTACGTGCCGTTCGGTAATTACAGGACTTTGGAGACATTTTCCAAACTCTGAGCGCTTTCAAGCAACTGGAAAAGGTCATCTTCGTCGCGGGACCGAATTTTTGGCGAATCCAAGATGAAGCGATGATGCCGACCGAACGATTATTCCAAGAAGCACTGTGGAAGTACCTGGATCCAGTGTGTTCTTTAGAGCGAGCAACTTTGCTGTTCAGGTCGAGTAATGGTTACAGTTCTGTTACTTACTGCGTGGAGCGGAAAAAACTGGTCACGTTCTCATCGTCGGTCTTCTTGAAGTTCTTCTCGGACTGGCTGGACGATGTTCCGATGACCAGCAGCGAGGAAAGAACTTATCGGGCTGGAGCTTTCGACTTTTTGTTGCACATCTTCTGAGGTGTCGAGTGATGATGAGTTTTTTGATTTTTACTTATTTTGCAATTGGGTCTCTATAGTGACCCGCGTGTTGAAGTTTTTTTTTTCTTTCAATGATGGGCGTTGTTACGCCGGGAAGAGTTCTCGTAATACCCGTCTACTGTGTTTGTATTTGTTCGCATTTCCTTTTTTCTTCACGTAAAACAGAATGAGTTGTTGTGCTGAAAAATGGAAAGAAGATTCTGTTGGGAATTTGAGGAAGCTTTCGTTTCAAGTTTTCACGGATAAGGCAAGCAAATAATCTCCTCATATACAGAGAGGAGGTCTCAAACTATATTAACCGACTCGGCTTTCGGATAATTTGTTGTTTCTCTTTCCCAAATTGGAAGATCCCAGAATTGATGAAATTAAATTATAAAAAGATCAAGAAAAATAATTGAATCGATGTCATAATCCCAAACTTTAACTCCTGGCGAGCTGTGAATGAACGCTTTTACTTGGTTAACAAATGTATACGAATAAGGAACCTATTTGTTTTATAAAAGATCCGTAAAATTCAAATATGGAATCAGACGTTCATGTCTGTGGGTACGAAGTGACTTCTGTAACGAAATTGTTTCTCATACCTTTTCTGGCAAGAAAATGCTTAAATTTCAGCAAAATTTGAACTGAAACCTAGCTGATGAGTGTCCAAAATATTGAGGAAAATGTGAGAAGAAGGTTGTAGATTCCCGATGTGTTGAGTGATGTATCCCAGAGGAAGAGAATTATCATTGAATGTGTCCTGATAACATGGAATGTGATTTTCGGAAAAATTTCCGCATCCCTGCAACAACAAAACACGATCGGATAACTCGTGAAGATAATACAGTATAGCCGCAGTAAAAGCACGCATGAGGTCGGCGAATATTGTGACTTCTAGGGTTCTAGCATATCGACAGCAGTGTAGAATTTCGTATGCATACCTAGTTGAAATAATTTTTTAAGGTATATAAGAGTCATCTGAAGAAAGAAAACAATCTCCGCGGTTTCTTCATTTGGACAGAGGATTTTCCACATCGATGCAAGCAACGGATGCTGGGCGTAAGCATGAGGGTTTGGAGACATGCTCAAAAGCCAGCAGTATGTCAACTTCATGCTGATATAGGAGAGCATAATATACGATAGACAAACCGAATATGAATTATGGACCATAGATTAGATATCACGCTGCGCACTTCCACGGGTCATATGGTGAGATTAGCCTGCTGGCTGAAGATTTTTAAGGTCTCAAAATCTTTTGAAATATCGTTTGTGTTCTTTGTTCCAAATAGTGCAATCTACTGTGAGTTCCTTTTATGTGCGTGAACTATGTGTCACGGCCAGCTAGAAGTTTAACAACTCTTCCTTTTTTCTCATTCTTTGTGTTGAAGTGTAAATAATTGAGAAATCATCAAGTTATAAATGACGAACGCAGGGAAGTGATTTCATGGGCACTTGTCTTAGTGGCTATGCTGCTTGTCGTAAAGATGTACTTTATTACACTAATGTATCTTTTTCAGTTTCTATCATTCACCATTGACCTATAATGAACATTGGCTTTTTTCTTTACCATTAACTGCCTAAAATCCTTCTTCGATGAATCCTCATTCAGATGAAGGCAGAAAATACTGTTTGAAGCGATTGATGATGTATGAATGCTTTTAAAAAATCACAGCCGTGATTTTCAGCTGTATTTTTCCAAAATGTATTTTATTATTTTGGAGCAGGAATCCAATTGTCAGAAGTTTAAAGGCAATGTAATTGAAGTGATAAGCATTGCTGAGAGAAAATTTTCAAACATTTCAATGGAGATCTCTGAAGTAGGTTAAAATTCAAATTTAAGAAACCTTCACAACTGTCTCACTTGACGGATAAAACAGAGCTTTAATTTGATTTTTTGGGAGGATGTGAGAACAGGAAGATTTCTAATTTTTTTCTGAGGGATGCATTAAGTGTATCAGCAGCTCATGCATATTCCTATTCCACAATAATACAGTAGTTTTATTTTATCTGTGCTCTTTTCCGACGAAATCTATTATCTTGGGGAAAAAGAGATTTGAAAAAGGCTGTGAAAAATTTACTGCAAGTTTCCTGGCAGCTCTTTTTTGTTTGGTTTGTTGAAAGTCGACATTCATTTGTTTTGCGATGAGTGCGTACCTCATGAGGCTCGATTTTGGGTTTCGAAACCTCTCCTACATTGAACTGGAACGAAGTGGCTCAATAACTCACTTGGCCTCTTCAGAAGACTGGATGAAGAACCCGAAAAAACCGACCGCTGAATTTTACATTAGGTGGCTACAAAACGAGCCTATTGTTGATTCGGCACGGATTCCATTGCGTAAGTGTTATTGCTTCTATATATGTACGGTCTAATATCGCCTCATGGATTCCAGATACTGTTCGAATAATGTACACTCATAATATACTGTACACAGTACTGTATAATTGTACCATTATTCCTCAGATGTACACAAAGTGGAAAATGGAATGAAAGTTGGAGGCCCGTGTCCATTTCAATTTGGGTTGGAGAAGCTTTTCTCTGTGGGAGAAGATCCAGACGGGGATTTTGCATTAACCGTGGATAGAATACGTCTCCTCCACTTCCAAGCGGAAGTACTCATCAACTCAAAATCAAGGGGACGTGATGGCGATGTGCACATTTTCAAGTTGAGGCATGGAGACATCATTGAGTGCGTTCGACGTGGCTTTCGTGAGTTTATTTTTCAATCCACCGTGAACGTATGTACTGTATGATGAGATGCGCAGAATTTGCTTCAATTCGAGGGATCAATGAATAAACATGTCTGGTAAAAATTTTCTCAAAATTGGAATAATTTTCAAGCGTTTTGTTTGAATTTTTCCCATTACAGAACAGTATATATGGTTCAAGTTGGAATGAAGTACAGTATTATTAAAGAAAATAAACTCATAGTAGTGGGGAACATTAAATATTGTATGTACTGGCTGATCCGTACTGCTTGAAGGAATGAAGCAATCCATCACTCCAAGACTTGAATGATCAAGCATAAGAATAGTATACACACTGCAAAGCGAATTTTCACGGGAAACTTTAACCCGAATTTTGAAGAATTGCCTTCGAGTTTTCAGCAATTATACAGCGAGAACAGTCAAGTACAGCTATTATTGTTAAGGCTGAATTCCGTATATGAATTCTTGCTTAGGATATGATATCAAAAAATATAGTACAGTACAGTACTGTACTGTATAATTCTTTATATTTCGTCGAATACCTGATCATATTTGTTTCTCACTAAAAGAAAGATAATTTTTGGTGTGAAACTTCGAGGAAAAATAAATGAAAATAAGCAATATCCCCTATGCGAATTATTAAGATTATATGATGAACACATTGCAGCGTGCTACAGGATCATGTTTCTTCTGGCTGACGCATTTCCTGCAAATGAACCAAAGACATCTTTCCTGCAATCATGTCCACAGCGTGTTCTCAAAAATATTACCAAGTTTCTGAGTCCTTTGGAAACTTTGAAAAGTGTCATTCCGGTGTGTCGACGATTTTTTGAGCTGGTCGGACAAGATGGCGGCAATTGGGCCCATCTGGAGTTCAGAGTTGAGGACAGCGACACCTATGTTCCATTCTGGCACTTGGAAGAGTTCTTGGGAGTATTCGCAAGGTGCAGTAATTTTATGGCTTACAGCTTTGGATGCCGTGTATAGTTCAGTGCGAAACCGAGGAAGTGAAACTATCGAGGATTCGTCTAAAGCATTTCAGACTCAATCTCGAATGTACACAGCCCACCTCATTGTTGATTTACATTTTTGGGGCAGTTCAAATCATGATCAGTGTCGCGTCTCGTGAGTGGCGGTGTGGCAGGCAGGGCATACTCCCCAGGCACAGCATACCCCCCTGATCAACACCTGCGGAGTGCAATTTGCAGAGGCTTTTCTGCTGTGAGCACTTACGCAGTGGTTCCTTCCACAGAAGGAACCACAGAGGAAAGTTGAACAGGGATTCTTGAAGAGGCATTTACTTTGGCCCAAGAACATTAAATTCTGCAGAAATATATTTTCACAGGAGGCCTTTTACAGACCATGGTGAAACACAATGTATACAATGTTTATTATGAGGGGTAAAGAATTGCTCTCTGATGAATACAACTAGAAAATATAACAAGAACAATCTTTTACCATGCTTTAACTGTGAATCCCACTTGACCTGAACTATCATGAGTGCAACTGGAAAATATAAGAATAACAATAGTTTATCATGCTTTAACTCCTCATAATAAACTTCGCACACCTTTTGTGCCATCATTGTCAATGAACAAGGTCTCTTGTCAGAAAATATTTCTCCAGAATTCAAAATCTGTTTGCCAAAGTAAATGCTGCTCGAAGAATGACCATGGAATTGGCTTTCCTCTGAATTTTGGCGAATGAACTACAGTGAGACCCCCACATGCAGACAATTCAATATAGGGGCACTTGTTTCGCATGAAAAGATTAATAAAGAAGGCACAACATATAGACACTAACTCATCAACATGTGGACATTGTGTGATAAAATTTTTAGTACATTTCAGGCCAAATTACAAGACTCAGATATTTCCAACCCTAAAATTAATGTAAGGTAGTTCTTTGGCATTTCTCTTCATCAATTTACCATCCATTTAGCTAATTTAAAAATAAAAGCTCCAGCATAAAGGGACTTCCTTCTCTCTTTTCACTCAAATTTTATTTTTACAGAGAATGCCAACATTTCTATGTACTGTACAGAGGTATTAGTATTAAATGCTCCAAATCTCCATACAGTATTGTGTTTTAAAATATTGATTAAATCAATTTCAGTTGGGAGAATTTTTTTCATGGAATTATGCTGAGTATTTTGTCCATGAAACACAAATTAAAAATTATACCTAAGTCTAAGGGAAAATGAGACTTGACTTAGGGACATTTCAACTTGAGGTATTGATGCACCAATTATGTCTGCATCTTGGGGTCTCAACTGTACTGCACAAGTGTTCACCATGGAAATTCACTCCACGGATTTGAACAGACCCGCCGGACGGCATAGTACACACTGGAGTACGTTTTTGGTGGAGTATGCTGTGCTGTCCACACCGGAGCTGGTGTGAGTGGTCCTCCCTCTTGCAGGCACGGATTTGACGTACGTGTGTTGAAATTTGTAATACTACAGGCATGCAGAGAAGCTTTCATTGGAGCTCAGGGATCCAGATCAAAATAGCAAAGATGTGTTACACGATTTCATTCGTCTATTTGGAAGAGCTGATTGGAAGAAGTTGAGGAGTCTCGAAATTCATTCCTTGCGATTAGATGATGCGACGATGATGAAATTTCTGCGACACCTACGAGATTGTGCGCAGCTACAGACCCTTGCAATATACTGCTGTGAATTCGGGACTGCGCTGCTGCTTTTAGCAGCGGCTTATGCTGGGGATGTAGTTTTCCCCAATGTAGAACAATTAACTCTGCAATGTTTATTGAGAGCAATTTCGTCTGTGGATGCGAAGCTGGTTTTCCCGAGGCTAGTATTTCAATCTGGCCTTTTTATTTTTCATGAATCAGCGAATCACTCATTAATTTCAGACTGAAGAACCTGTATTTAATAGAAGATACAACAAACCTTAACTGCGAAAATCGCCTTCGGGGTTCTTCGTCTTCTCCATCAATCAGAGAATTTCTCCACTTTCTCGGCGCTGGTGTGCTTTCAAGGCTCAGTTTCCAGTATTATTTGCCAGCTTCCTTTGATGCAGAAGCTCGGCTTGTGGCTCAAAGAATGGGAACTTTTTCAAACCTCAAGTTCATCAGGAGTGCGTTGGATGCTGATGTGTTTCTTGAAGACATACCGGTTTCGGGCGACACAATTGTTCCTTTTTCGAAGGTGATGTACTCATGTACCATCTCCAAACTTATCTATATACAGTATATTATTCCCAGATTCCTTTCTATGGATGCATACAAAGAGATACAGTACAGACATCAATAATCTTCAGTAATAACGTTCGCCCTGCTGCTAAGAGTGCAGCAATGTTTGATGAATTCATGAATTACCCTCAGTTCTGGGCTTCTGGCAATATTTGATTGCTTCAATATGCTCAAGACGTTCTATATATTGTACATACAAATTCAATCGACCTTCTTTGATCAACTCAGGATTCGACCGACACCTTTGTTCATATCTAAATAGGCATGTATACCGAGGAATGATAATGAGCTTTATTGCTCAAAATTTAAATCACCCGTGTTGGTCTTTTGCTGCCCTATCAAGATAAGTAAACTTATTCTATGAAAATCAAAATATGGATTTTACTTTTAGACTTGATTGCCAATGCCTTTCGAATCAAGTTGCTGTGTACACTGTACAGTATACTAGCCGGCAGTCTTGCTCAACTATTGTCTCAGTAAAATTCTTAAACCGTTTTGGGCATTTCTGTGTTGAAATCTATTTAGATGAATTCGCTGTGGCTAGAATGCGTGAATTCGAAAGCAGCCGCGCTTGACTATCTCCGGAAGATGACGTCACTGGAAATGCTTTGGATCCGGTTTCGGCATTATTATTCAAAAGATGAGCATGAAAAACGACGGGCACTCTTCAGTAAATCTGATGAATCTTCAAAGGAATGGCTGGATAATTTGAAATTTATTTCTCCTGATTTGTGGGAGTCAAGCATTCAGTATTCTAAAATGGCCAAACTCGAATGTGTGGCTTTCCAATTCAAGTTTCCAGAAGATGTTGACCACATAGAACAGATTTTTCACGAACTTCGAGCCTGTGAAAAACTGAGAGGATTGATTCTCTGCATTAGCAGCGATGATCAATGGAAGGTCATTCGCAATCGTATTTACTATCAATCAGCCGGAGTCATCATAGAGCAGCAGTTGGAGTTCGCTGCAGTGTCAGGATCAGATTTCGAAAGCATCACTTACATATTGCCGTTCATTTTCGAAGAAACGATGCCCCGCGAATTGTGGATACAAGTAAGGCAACTGAAGGTAAGAGCTTATGGACAATAAGAATGTGGATCAAGAATATAATCCTGCATGTTTCTAGTACAATATCTTACAATCTGTGAATAAATTAAATCTCTGGTGCTCAAACGCTGAAATCAGTAGAGTTGATCTTCCAAAGCACGCCTCAGCAAATTTTCATAGAAAATTCCTTGAAAGGCACCGTTGGGCATTCTGGGAAGTCGGTTCTTTATGCTTCATATACAAGCATACAATCATACTTGTTTATACAGTAATATGCATGGCCGTTACCGCAAGTACAGTTTATCACCTGACTAAATAACCATTATAGTGAAGGACGGTTGGTAAAGGTGTGGGAGCATTTGTGTGCCATTTTAAACTGAAGAATTGACTTGTCACTACTGAAAATTTGTTTGAAAGCAATTAAAAAGTTCACAATGAAATTTAAGTGAACATATAAATCTACGTAATGAGATTTTTGCATAATGAAAAATAACGCTGTAATGGAATAGTTCTGTGAATAAAGGTAAATAACTACACTATTTATGTAATGCTACAAACCCCATCCCAGGAAGTAATTGGACATAATATATGATACCCACCATTCGTAATAATTGGCGAAAATTTTGAATATGCCCTATTGAGCTCTATATACAGTATAGAGCTCAATCATTGGCAAGTTCAAAATGAAGCTCTCAATCCCAATTTGAACTGTAACTCCGCTTGACAAAGGCTAATCCGTAATGCTTCTGCAAGTCAATTTTTCTTCGCATCCTCCCCAGAGTGAAAAGAAAAGAAATAAAAAGAAAGTACTGTGTGATACTTTTGTCATGGAGTCCCAGCTTAAGCGTAAGAAATTATTTAGATTATATGAAAAGAGTTTTCTTATGAATCCAAGAAATAACAGCTGATTTTCTCAGTGGAAGCAATCAATTTATGCTGAACAAACATCTTTTGTGTTTCTAATAATATACCGCTGCATAGGGGACAGTTAGTTTGAATGTGGTTCCGTTAATGCTGTATAAATTTGTTTTATGAAGTCAAATACAGTAATACACGTTGAGATCTGATCACCAACCACAGTTTCAATAACAGGGATTAATTTTGTGGTTGTGGATGAAGTGAAATGAGATAGCACGGTAAAAGAAAATAATAAGGGATTAGATAACAGTGATTTGTTCTACAAGGAAATATTTACATTTTATTCTCCCAAATGTCTTTATGCCTTGCTCTGACATAATTATATGATCATATTTGACCTGCCGAAGTATTGATATTTTCAATGGATCTACAAAGCGCAGTAAATTATGCTGCCTCTAAATGTTTTCTTCACTCCGTTTGTTGCACACAGGATTTGAACAGTACTCTCATCCAAATGAGCGACAGATGGCAGAATCTTGACAAGGCTGTCTTTGTAATGAGAACAGCAACCTCAGAAGGTGGCAAGCAACTAGTGAAGTTATTCCCAGAAGCACTGAGAAAACATCTGTTTCTTAAATGCTCCCTGACCCAGGCGACGCTGCTTTTCCGAAAGAATAATGGTTACAATTTATTCACATACAGCATGGAACAACAACAGGAAGTCCCGTTTACCTCATCAGCATTCTTGAGATTCTTCTCAGAATGGTTGGAATATGTTCCTAGCCGCCAGCAAATTTATAAACTTGGCGACTTTGACTTTCTGGAAGCTATCTTCCCAGGTTGACTCATTTTGTTGCACTGGTCATTCTGTGCAAACTTATCATCCCGACGCTGACGTGGTTTCATCGGACTGTATAAGGGGATCAATTTTTTGAAGAATGCATGTTCAGTATTGTATTGAAGTGTGCCTTTGCTGATGGTTGATTTTCTGCGTGAATTTACGCGTAATTTTCCGGAATGAAAAATGAACCACGATGAGCTGATGCGTTGAATAGAGAAAATAATTTCTTGAAATACTGTAGTTTCAATTAAAGTATGCTTAATTGTGGGTTGACGCGTTCTTCTCGGCCCCTTGTACGTGTACTGTACGTATTATACAGTACATGATGTTGCGTGCTATATCCTATATGGAGGTCGGAATATTTTTCTCGAGTGAATCTGCAGAAGTACTGTAGCGTAGATTTCTTCTGTTTTATATGTCCTGTACTATTTCGGAATTCAGGCGTTCATATACTGTACAGTGCACAGTATAGTCAATTACTCAACATGATCTGCACCAAATTCCTGCTGACATGCTTTTAATCACTGCAGATTTACTTACTCAGTGAGAGGACATGATTTGTATTTTGGCTTCGTCAGAAGCATACACAGATTTTTTGAGCACATGGTCCAGGAGGCCAGGACCAACGCTTAAGAATGAACAAAATTATAAAATCCATGACAAGAGCTGAAACAAAACAATAAGGGTATGAGAGAACGTTTCGCCTGCAAGGCCTCCTTCCTCTTCACTATGGCGACGACATTCGCGTCGAAGACCACTGAATTAATCAAATACAGGATACAAATCTTGACTAATGAGTAATGACTCATGGAAATTCTGGTGATTCGCAGACCATTATGCGTATACTAACTGTTCATGGTTCAGGTACCTCAGGATATTTTTCACGGATAATGAGAAAAGAACAACTAGAGTACATAGAGTGACGATGCTAGTTGTTCTTCAGTTTGACGATACAGAATTACGATTTCTGGACAGTAAGTTGAGCCCCCTCTCGGGTAAAAAAACAAAAAGAACTACTGTAGCGTACCAACATATGAAGCTGGGTTACCATGACTAAGATGCAGCATTGTCCATTAAATGCAATTGGTGAATTCATTTACGGATGTGTTCTCACGTGCATGTAAGCCTAGAAGTATTTCTGACGTCACTCAAATACCGCGATATTTGAAAGGGACAAAACAGTTTCGAAACACCAGGAGAGAACTTCACATTCAGCGGGAAATTTCGCTTGCTGCAGAATAGCGATCAACACACGATTGTCAATAAAAAAGGAATAATTGCTCAGCGTTGAACGAACAGCCGTGGTGCTTATTTTTCGTGCTCGCTTCGAGTTTGCACGTGCTTTTTTCGGCATGAAACCTGCGGTGTGTGAGGTGACCTTTTTAACGATAACTTCTCACTGATCTGTTCATTCGTTTCTCACCATCGCAGTCGTCCACATGCAGCCACTGAGGTTGACGCAATACTTGAACCTAATCCTCATTCGTCCTGGCATGAACACTGGCGCATAGCTTGGGATTACAGGGGTCTTTTTTTCACATGGATTCTGGCGGAAATGCAGCAGTTTTCATCACACTCGAGCATCCACTAAAATCGTTCGAACTCACTCATGCGTGATACAAGAGAAATTAGGTGGCATTTAAGCTTCGATTAAAACAACACCTCCAATTATGGCTCTCCAAAGTTCTCAGAAAAATATGCATTGTAACTTGAACGCAGGTACGGTCAATACGCTGAGAAAACCAGTATACCTGTGTAATGAATCATTCATGAAGGCTCAGGACTGGATGTGCAGAATAACGACTTCGCCGGCATCGGAAAGAGTCAAAAGAACTACTCGAAGAAATCAATGTTCAGTACTGTCGTTCTACATCAATTTCATCAACAGCAAAAGTTCGACAAAAAAAGACAGGAACCAGGGGGAGACAAATGTGTCACTTTGAATAGCAAATGAAAATACCGAAGAAAGCCACAGCGAAATTGAGTCACCACACACTTGTATACCGATTACTTCTAGAATATACGTCGTGGATTTCCTCTGAACTGCATGCTCCTCAGGGAGATATGGCAGAATAACCCGCAGTTTCATGTGTGATTGAAAACTATCCCTTCCGAAGACCCCCCAAACCGCAGACTAAATTCACGAAGAACTGCACTTTTTCTCCAGAAGACCGCGACGTCAGCACGTTGACCATGATTTACGGCAAGTTCAAGACACATGATCCAGGAGAGAAGTGACAAGAGGAGAAAGTAACTGAAACGACTGCGCGTGTCTCCAGAGCTTTATCTGGAACTTCGTCTTCGTCCGCCAAAGCTGATGGAACGTCTCCTTGAGACTGCGCTTCCTTCAAAGCCTTCTTGATTTCTTGCGATGATTCCGTTGTAACATCATTGAAACATACTTCAACTGGCCCTTGTCGCTTTTGCCTCTTCTCATTGAATCTAAAGGATGTCGCAGTTGGATATCGGCACAGGATCCAGCAGAAAATGGGGCGTTGAGTCGGCGCAGCAGTATTCAAACCGAAACAACCCTCCGTCGCGAGCTTCGTAGCGTCTTGACTCGAGACCTGAAGGACTGCTTCCAACCGGAAACCCCAAGCTCCAAACTTCGTCAACAGCTTGCATTTCATGTTAGAAAGGAAAAATTAGATTAATGGTTGATTTTTCACCATAATCCTGCAGGCGTTGCGTTGTGTCTTCGAACTATTTTCCACCCGTGACTATATACTGCCGTAACATGAATTAGTGGGAAAAATACCGCAAAGAACCATGGAGATTGGAGAAACACTTGGAGAGAAATGGTATGAATATCAGCCTCGCCAAAAATCTTCAAACCTCTTATTTGGCAACTCTAACACAGTCAAACCTCCGTAAGTTAAATACAGTACCTACCTTGTTTCTTTTTTTTTAAGTCTGTCTGGATTCCCTTCAGAAACAATGTATTAAAAGGCCTCCCGCCTGACTCGATTTTTCTGGAGGCCTTTCGGCAATTATTTCATTGAGACAGGGAAGAGAAAAGCAATGAAAATGGAACTTCGTGTGTTGAAAGGAAGTAAAAGACCAATTGGTCAAATGAACACTTGCCTCCAACTTCAACATCCTGGCAACTCATTCGAGGACTAGGACCAGAATAGAGGACCAGAATAGAGTATCGATAATTACAATTTCCTGTAATTATTTCTTCAAAGCCGCAAGAAAAATGTTTTTTTCTAAATCGATTTTTTTAGGGGTCTCTTGAAATTTGACTTCAAGTGGCTTGACTGCAGCTGTTATCCTTTCATGATCTCAACAGATTTTTTTTAACCTCGTCAAACACGAACCCTGAACAGTAATCTCGCTCTTGCGACCTCAGAAACGCAGATAGCCAACTGTCATCTTGGTTGCACTCGTGAAAACACACACCCAACAGTATTGTATTCATGAAAATGACTTCGCTCACCTGAGAAGGCGTTAGGGTTTTCAGGTGCAAAGGTTCGCACTTCGGGAACTCCACCCAAAATTTATCCGGCATATAATCATTCGGAACATCAACTAGACCATAGACGCCAGTTCGTCCAGCGACTTCTCCGAATAAATGCAGGTACAAAATTCCTTTGCTATCAGCCATGATGTGCTTCTCACTTTTCCCAATACACAGGTCCCGACGACGAATCACAGTACTGTATGTCGCGAAGGAAACGATTTTCAAACATCACCACCTCTGAGAAGGATGAAGAATAGCAATGGCATTAAAAGCATCTTGAACATTTTTGAAGTCTCAAAAAAATTGCATGAAGCCTCCACATTGAGCCCATGGAATATTTCTTTACTCTGACAAAGGGGACTTTCGAAACATGTGACGGGATCATACACATTTAGATTCAATGGGAAAGTTTCGACGGAAGTGGAAAGAAACGGGAACGACTGCTTTCATGGCTTTTCCTTCCGTCATATCTAAACATGATGTAATTCCTAAGGCTGCATTCGCGACACATTGTCAGCACACACTGCCGAAAGATCGTGTGCTTCCATCACTGCTGATGGCCTCTGCCGATTCTTCCCGCATTCAACTTGAACTGAACGAGGTTGTCGGCACAGAATCCAGCAGAAAATGGGGCGTTGACTCGGCGCAACAGCGTTCAGGCCGAAACAACCCTCTGTTGTGAGCTTAGGAACTTCCTGACTCGAGACCGAGACGACTGATTCCAACTGGAAGCCCCAAGCTCCAAGTTTAGTCAAAACCTTCAATTTTATGAGAAATAAAGAAGAATGTGATCAGAGAGTCAAGTTTTGATCATACTACATTACGGCAAGAGTTGCACTGACATTTCCCACGCTCCCTCCGTACCCAACTCCACCCCTCCGTCTCGAATTCGAGAAAAAAATGCCTTCGAACCACGAAGCAATATTTCAACAACAAAAATTCAACGAGAACCTCTACACGGCACCACCAAAAATCTTACAACCTCTTTTCCCGACGATTTGTGACTCTGAAAGAAAACACTCGACTGCCGGAAAACGGCCCGACTGTCGACGAGGTGGGGAATGGCACAACAGAACGAAAACAAGGAAAACCGTATCACAACGCCCTCTTTTTTTCCAACTGGTGGCCGAAAGAAAATATACAGCCCGCCGGGGAAATGTCTCGAGCGTTGTTAGGAAACAATGCAACAAAAACAGAAGGAGGGATCAAGAGGTAGAAGAACAAGGGGGAAGGCTCACAGAAGGAAAACCTCAGATGGAGAGCATTTATAAATTCTGACAGAGCAAAGAAGGGCAACAAGCGCGACGACGATGATTCGGAACAAAACCAAGCTGGAGGAAAGCACCAGGAAAAAAAAATTTGCGTCAACGATAAGTTATGGCAAAACATATTCTCCCAGCGAGAATCTTAACATCTCCGCCGGCTGTTTCTGGCCACTGTGAACTTGATTGGAACTTTGCAGTTGTAATATATATACAGTAATGTACTGTAAATGCACGGTGCATGTGTAGGATCTCATCCGGGGTATAGATTCTACTCTATCGATCTTTTCCATCAGCTAGTCAATCTTTTCCTGGATTATTTCACTCGTGGAGCTCCCGTATAATTACGTTTTCATTGATTGGTTCCTACTCGCTCTTTTTTGTAGCTGTAAAAAGCTGATATGCGGCATGGACGGTTCTGGCTTAACGGCATGCATTTTTTAGAGAACTATATACAGTACATGTATGTCCCACGCCATTTCGTTTCTCTGTCCTCATTGTACGTACCGGTGTAGGAGTCGGGAGCGTCCGGGTAGGCAGGAGCGTCCGGCCGGACACTCTCACCTAGTTGGGAGCATCCGACCCCCGGTCGGGAGTGTCCGGCCCCCAGGCGGGAGCGTCCTGCCGCCAGTCGGGAGCGTCCGGGATTGAAAATTCAATATTATGAAGGTTTTACAAATGAAATAGTACAGAACTACATAGACAGTGGTTGAAAGCATGTTAAATGATGAAAGTTATTGAAAATCTTAAAGGTTTTACCTGCAAGAAATTTTTAATAAAAATGTTAATAAAATTTTTCATTCAAAATTCTTCAGTAATAATCTTCCTACCAATATTAACTTTTAAATCAACTTAATCATTATAAATGGCTGCAAAACAATAAGAAGAAATGTGTAAGAAGATCATTGTCTATTTGGAAGAAGGAAGGTAGGATGAGGAAGTGCAAAGCAATACTGTAATGAGAAGAGGGTGCTCCAATATACAGCAGCTTCCTATGTGATGCTGAATAACCAGTTGAATTTCAAGTAGTAATTTTTTTTATTTTTCAAATATCATTAGAATAGTAATTCCATTAAATGAAGCCAAAAAGTGTACTTACATGCACAAAGAACATGAGAATATTTTTTCATGAAATTCCCTCCAATGGCTTTATTGTAAGAATGGTAAGGCACAGTTTTGGATTATTTCTTAGAAACTTTTGGAAAAAAATATCTTATTTTGTGAGATGTGCTTTTAGCTGACAAACATAATTCGTTGTGATGTTCATTAGCTGGAATGCTTAAATAATCTTGAGTGCTTTTAATTTAGAACCATGCCAACTTATTATTTAAAAAACTGTCAAGGTTTTTTTTTTCAAAAACATTTGCAAGCTGGATCCCAGTTTATAAGCCAATACTTTTTATTATTTAGATACGCTGAAGTGAAAAAGGCCAAAGAACCCACATATTTAAGGGTTATTTTCAAAAAAGAAGACCAACAGCATTACTTGAAGGCAGCACATGAGGGAGCTGGTAATTCCCTAATTCCCTAAACTAGTTCCTACTGACAGTGGTTTTACTGGCATTATTATGGTATGTGATTACTTCAGTGAATGGATTGAAGCAAAGTCTTTTACCAGACCAAATTCAGAAGAAGTTGCACAGCAATTTTTTTTAAAACCCGGACATCCCTGACTGGGGACCAGACGCTCCTGACTGGGGGCCGGATGCTCCTGACTGGGGCCCGGACAGTCCTGACGGCGGCAGGAATGTCCGACCGGACGGTCCTGACTAGGCGGGACTGTCCGGCCGGACAGTCCGGACGGCGGACGCTCCTGACTGCCACACCGGTATTTGTACGGGGCTTCCTTTACACTGCACTTTTCTGTTTCGGTACCTTTGCTAAAACCACGAGCGTTATTCTAGGAGCATTTCCCACGGCACACTTCCACCAATGACATGTGCGGAGTATTCAATTGAACGGATTTCGAGTGGTGCGTCGACAAGACGGTATTTGCACCAGGGTAATAGTATTTTTTTCTCTCCCGCATAACTGGGTGATTTACTTGTGTCAGCAATGCTTTCATGCGAGGTGTTTCCGCGTCGTATCACGTAACAATTTTTCTGAGCGTACACAGTATCCTAGAACTACATGTTACAATATCTAACATGCACATAGCATTTTTTCCCGCCTCATTGACAAATACTGTACCAGCAAAGATGGAAATTACGCTTTTCGAGATGAAGAAGGTACAATGCATACAGTCATGGGAAAATTTGTTTTGTGTGGGGGCTTGCATTTGTTAAAACACACCTGACAGCATAATCGATGAACTTTTCGCTCACCTGAGAAGCCGTTAGGGTTTTTAAGTGCAACGGTTCGCATTTTGGGAATTCCACCCAAAACTTATCCGGCATTTGATCTTTCGGAACATCATCTAGGCCATAGATGCCACTTCGGCCAGCGACTTCTCCAAATAAATGTAGGTAAAAATATCCTTTGCCAGCCATGATGTGCCTTTCACTTATCTCGAAAAGCAGTACACGACGTCAACGTGTTTCGAGGAAAACGCGATTTTCATAAATTGTAACCTCTGAAAAAGAAAGAATCACATTTTACTCAATGCAGGTTGAGATTATCGTCTAGAAAAAAATAAAGTTCTCAGATTAATTGCATAGAGATCTTTTCTTCCCTGCAAAAGAGGAATTTTGAAACATGCTGTGTCGGAATCGTACAAATTTGGATTCAGGCGGAAAGAGACACTCGAAACAACGGAAATAACTGTCCTTGCACTCAACGTTCTTTCTTCCGCCGGAATTTTGAGCGACTGGTGAATCTCAAGGCTTTGATTTCAACACGTTTTCCGCTGATGCTGTCTGAAGAACTTCAGCAGAAGAAGAATCCACTGGCTTTTGTTGCTCCTGTCGGTTTTTCCTACATTCAACTGGTGCCGAAGGAGGGGACCGACGAAGTATGAGTATCCAGCAGAAAGTATTGCACAGCGTCGCTGTTTTCACCTGTCTGCCATACTCATCATACGTATTCGTATAGGTAACATTAGGGCCAAAACAACCCGCTGTCACAAGTTTCGTGGCGTTCTCCGACGAAACTGGAACAACCGCTTCCAGTTGGAAACCCCAGGCACCCAGCCGTCCCAACACCTCAATTTTCGATCAACACAAAATGAACAGTAATAAGTCAACTATTCCCTGGAGACGGGATATTTCGAAGGGTCAAACTGGCGAAGTGCATGAGCATGCACAGAGCAAGACTTTCACCACATATACAGTATACAGTACATCACTTGAGCCAAAACCTTGGCTCCTTTCCTCACAAAAGCTGTGGATAAAATAAATCACACTGCGATGACGATGGACCAAGAAACGGGATCAAAGTATGAAACAGTTCTGACAGAATAAAAGCCTAAGACTTGAGAAAAATGTTTGCGCTGATATACCATATACTGTGTACTGAATTGATAATTTCGGAGTGAATCCGTCACGTTCAGATTTTACGACGTGAAATAAGTCAATAAGAATAGAATCCCTGATCGAACCGCTCTCGCAAGAGATTTGTTAATGAGACTCGTATTCACGGACCCTTGCAGGATGTTAAACTGAACACAGAACCGTACTTCGGTCATTCACAAATTCTCATTGCACAGAACACCGCAAATAAACAAGGCTTTGGATCACCTGATGAGCTTTGGAGGTTTGTCGGTGCAATGGTTCACTACGAGGAAATTCCATCCAAAATTCGGCCGGCATTTTGTCGGCAGGAACATCAACCAGTCCATAGATTCCGCAACGTCCAATGCCGGTGACTTCCCCGAAAACGTGCAAGTAGAGCAACTCCTGGCCGGCCATGATGCTGTGCTGCTTCCTGATTTCAACGCTGACGGGATAATGAGTTATTGAAGTCAGTCCTCCCCTTCTTCCGTCACTTTTCCCTAAGAAAGAGAGAATTTGGCGATGAGTTCCACATGACCATTTCCTATCCGTTTCACATCGGCAGTGATCCCGTGTTGCACAATTTCTATGTGAACCAGCAAGACATTCCCGGCACTGTCGCTCGTAATTTACCCTCTAGTGCTTCAAGGACGATTCACTCCAACGTCATCACTCGGGAAGTCGTCAAGCGGAAATACTCAGCACCTCAAATCACTTCGTCGACTGTCGAGTGCTGGGCTCAGGCGTGCCTTCCCGATTTGTTTCCTCTTTAAAAATTGAAACAGAGGCGGCGGTTTAATGCGTGGCGAATGGCAACGGAGCACACAAGCTAAACCAGCCCATTTGAGGGGCTGTGTGATGTGGCGCCTTGCCAATGCCTCGGTGACACGATGGCAAAACCGAAAGGGCGGGACGCATCTACTTAGGGGTAAGCATAACTCTTCTTTATGATTTGATCACCTTTCTTTGCCCCAGTCCTTGAGACTGAGCTTAGTGGTGTGTAATGCTCATTATGAATATTGGGTCATCATTCCACTGCTGCTGATATATACTGCTTCTTCGCAATGCAGTGCAGTATTTGCAGCAAGGAGAAGAGAGATACAGCCCTGCTGTCCAATCTCCTCAAATTGTATGTATCTTACACTCATAATACAGTAGTTTTATAGATGGTATGCGGAAGTCAGTTTATCCTGGGGACATCGTGTACGATGTGGTGCAGGAACCTCGCACCGGCAGTAATCATGTGGAACCATCGGTCAAATCAAAGGAGTGGAATTAATGAATATTCTCTAAATTTCTTTGTACTTGATTTGTGGGGGAAAAAATTCCAGCTGAAGAAGGGTATGATCTCGGAAATCCCAGAGAAGCACCTTCTCTCGTGTGTTTCTAATTGTGGAGAAATTTCGTGCGGATACCGATGAAAAATCTCGTAGTGTATAAGTGTTGTTCGGCGTGAGTTCTTGGTACGCGTAAAATTTTCCTGATTTCGATCAGATTAACTGAAGAGCCAGCAATTTAGGACTATTCTAGCTTGTATAATTATAGGACGGAACACTGTAGTCATTCTTGTTTGCGACCTCAAGATTAACTGCTCTTTCATCCCTCAGCGATTTTGGTTGGTGAGCATATGGGGCTCGTTTTCCTGCTTTATTTTTTCAGTCGCTGTTCTTGTTGTCCAGGATTGCCATATGTAACATTCGAAAATCTGTTTCCTGAAAAGGTGTGTTATATATGGCCTGTATACAGCCTCCCCGACAGCTGCCCTAAGTGCCGCCCAACCGTCAGAAAACCCTCGAAAATCCCTTCCAGGGTGTATATTATTTCCTAAGAAAAATCAGGAAACGGTTGCACATGTGATGCGTGTTTCTGATCAGGAACAACAGCGGTAAAACGTACGGTATTTTCAAACACACGGAACTTATCTCATGTAGTTATTATGTCAGAATAAAGCCCCGTGCCATCGAAAGAAACCCCGGTCATTGTTTTCTTTTTCTTCCCTTGATGGGATCTTCTGAATTGGAAAATTCTGGTTGCTCTACAGAGTACAGGAAGTTTGGTCGTGATCTCCCATGATGGAGCCGGCGGCCGGAAACCGATTTTGGGACGCGAGGGGGCATCTTCAGGCAGTGTAAATGAGTCCGATTACCGTTCAGAAAACCTCTTCCTGGTGATCCCTGCCGAGCAGTAATAAAGCTAAAATACAGCATGTGCCCTTGAAGAAGCCCTCAAATGGGCAAGTTACTCCATCTCAACTGCCGCTTCTTCCGTCGGCCTTCGCGAAACCCATTCCGCTCTCCATTAGTTTCAGCTGAAGTGCAATAATGATAATGTGCATGCGGCAGTTGAATCTCCGCGCGGTTTTTTTTTTATGCGGGTTTTTCTGTAATCTTTTTGAGAGTGCATGATGAATCCGGAAAACCTGAAATTATCACAAAATCGAAGCTTGACGAAGATTGTGTCACTTCTGAAATTCAGTTGATTATTTTTTTCAGTAGAAAATCCTCGAGGGTTAATTTGGAGGATGAAGCTCAAAATTCGGCAGTACTATATATGTATTCTTCGCTTTTCTTAACATGCTAGGAAGATTGGAAAGTTCTATGCTATTGACAAACTCATTTGGTCGGCGAATATTGATGGTGAGCAAGTGCGAAATGTTACGCTTTTTCTTCTGAGATTAAGAGACGCAAGGAAAAAAAATGTTTCCATTACTTGCTGAAAAATATGCTCCCATGGCAACTGCCGGATTTCAAGGTCTTCCGGGTTCTTTCCAGAAACAATCCTGTTTTTTTTTTCGAGAAATCCAACAATAAATGCTTGGCTGCCTTTGTGACAGAAATAACCAGCACTTATCAGACGGAGGGCATACGATGAGAAGGAATACAAACGACATTTCTATGTTTGATCAATGGCGTATAGAAATCAGCGTTTCTCTGCTGTGGCGCAAACCACGTCATGGGTTAAAATCTGGAAAGAAAATCTTACGAGCCATTCCGTGTTCAAATGACTATTTGCATCAACTGGAGTGAGTGAGTTATTTTAAATTTTTACCTGAAATAACACGGCCTTGCCAGCATGGATACAATAACCAGCATACAAAATGTGGGATGTTATTTTGACTTACTGCTGGTCCAATGATGTTTAGTTTACTGTGTTCATTTATACTGAAGGGAAGGATTTCATGGATTTGGATACTGGGATATACCGCTGATAACATAATATTGGGAGGACATGGCTTCCAGTTCCAACATGGATATGTTCATGACTAAGGTACTCAGTGTCATTGCAATGATGCATTCAAGTTTTTTGAGAAATTCCATTTGCCGCATCCTCAGAGGCAGACGTTGTATACAGGACTTGCGGGGCCCACAAACAGCTATGGGTCCCCCACAAAATAAAAAAAATCCCAGTCATCAGCCCATTTTTTGGACAACAATTTTGAGATTTTAAAACAGCAAGTTTTAAATTTCCGAATTTTCTGCTTTATAATTTTACTGTAGACGCATCTCTCCTGTGATGTCTGCAATATGCAGCTACATGAACATGATCCGAAGATTACTGGGCGACTGGACCCACGCAGGTTTTCTGGCTCAACCCTGTGCAGGGCAAGCAAAGGAGGGGAGGCCCTTCTCAGATTGTTTGATCAATATGAGCCAGAAAATTCCTGTGCTGTGCTGGGTGTTGGGTCAGGACGACCAGCAGTATTCAAGGGTGAGAGGCCTGAGACCAAACTAATACACGCTTGCAGTGATGTTGGTGCCTCTCACACACACAGAAAGTGTCAGTGATAGAGTACAACATTCCGTTTGTTGAATTGGACTCTGATTGTCACACTTAGTGTGTACATACAACAAGTGCATGCATTTGCAGTGAGTGAAGTGACTGATGACCAGCTTGTGTTTTTTTTTTGGAAGGATTCGTGTAATAATCACCCAAAAGTCCACTGGTAATAACCGCGTAAAATTGGCATGCAAAAGGTGCTTGATGAGAAAAACTAAGCTGTACAGTGCGGTATTTCTATGAAACTGTGCAGCAGGCTTGAAAGAATTGGGTGGATTTTTTTTTATTTGGAACAAGGTTGATCATGTGTAAAATGCCGTTCAATGTTGCATGAGTCAGTGTTTTTTCTCTTCAGGGGAACACGAATTCATCGTATGAAACGCTTGTTTTATCCGGTATCATACATGTTGAGAGTTTGTCGGAGTTCGGTTGGGAATCATGGATGACAGGACAGTGGATCGTGTCTTTGCTGGCAGTTTGGACAATCTTCCGCCGGTTAGCTCAAAGATTGTCCGCATTTTCACCAGCTCAACGTTTACGGGTTCGTCTCTTTATTCTAGCAATTTCACATTATTATTCTTCCTTATTTTCAATCCTGCCTTGTCAATTTCAGACAAGGAAATGATATTTGTCGAAACAGTTGATCTTCCATGATACATATACATTTCTCAACTTTTTTGTTCATTTCAAAAACAAGTGTGTGGGGCTGCGGAGGCATTTGTTTTCATTATATTGCACCAGTTTAACTTTTAGAATCAAAAGTTTTAGCTATCACTTGAAGAGTACTTTGCATAATCTCCAATCTTGAGCATGATCTTTATTCATCATGTAATGTGCGATCATTGTCCGATAATGCAGCCCGTGTCTGTCTCCACAAGCCAAAGTAAATGGGCAATGCAGTACCATATTGTAAATATCTGTAATCTCCATAAAACTCTTGAAATTTTTGAAGAAGCCTCATCCAATTTTTCTTTTTCAGTGAAGAAACCTAATTGTTACTGATGTTTATATTCACTGCCTAGAGAGTTGAAAGCTTTCTCATCGTAGTTCTTATACATTTTCTTCATTATTTTCGGAGAAAGAACTTCTAAGTTTCCATCGTTATGAAATCAGTGAAAAAAGTTTGTAGAATTTTTTGAAATTCAAACGGTGTTCCTGCAGAATGTTCAGGCTTGCCAATGTTCTGAAAATGAACCATTATACTATTTCTCGATATTATTGTTTCCTTTCATATATGCTGCTTAAATTTTGACAGGATATACCTGAGGTCACTACGATCTTATTTATTGAAGAAGTAATGTAGTTATTATTGTGGTCCTCTCTAATGATTAATGAACAGCTTTTATATCTTCGAAATGTTCATATAGACACCACTCTGGAGAGGAACACATTGATGGCGGAGGTCTACCCGAGATTGAAGGAATACTGCAGGGAGAAACATGGTCTCGAATTCCAGGTATAGTACAGTATTCAAAATTTTTGAAAATTTTTACCTTCGCGACCTGTTGTTTTCAATTTAAAAAATATATTCCTGAAAAAATGAATTTTCCGAATTTCCTTCAAGGTGGTGGACATGAGATGGGGTGTGAGAGATGAAGCGACGGATGATCACATGACGACGGAATTGTGCATGAAAGAGATAGAGAATTGTCAACGATTATCCATGGGCCCCAACTTTGTTGTGAGCTTGTCTTTTGAAATTATTTCCTATAACAATGAGGCCTTCCATTATAACAGGTTTGCTGGCAGGGTAATTAATTTTGACATCTTTCCGAACATACACAGGCACATACGAAAATAAATAACTTTCTGCATACCTTGCAAATCCTTGCAATTTCTGTGCGACCGCCGCTCGTGGAGTCGTGTCTTACATTTCAAATTTTTAGAGATACATTTGTAAACAATCTGATTGAATTTTCTTCCAGGTATTCTTGGGGCAAAAGTACGGATATCGACCAATCCCGACTTACATCCTCGGTTCCGAACTGGACATGATTCGCGAAAGCCTGATTTCTCTCTCCATCGACGGAACGTGTTTGGACAAATGGTATCGAAAAGACTCCAACGCAGTCCCTTGTGTTTACATCTTGCAGCCGATATCATCTATTCTCGTCAATTTCAATAACAAGGTCAAAATCAAAATTTTTTTCACAAATTACATTTTTCTTCGAACTCGCGGAAAGTGAAGATGAGTTCATGTCCGGAAATTTGAAATTTTCCAGAGGGTTCCGAAGCTACAAGCTCACGATCAAGCGACGTGGTGGGACACGCTTGGGAAGATGCAAAAACTATTGCGAAAAGCTGCTCAAACCCTTTTTGAGTCCGGGAAAATGGGGAAAGACGAGCATCACAATTACTTCATGTCAGGTACGGTACTGCGTATGGTGCACGTACCGGCATTTTATTTAAATTTGAGGTTCACCAGCAACGTACTTCAGAACATAAATGCCCTCGCCTCGAGAATTTTCCATTTTAATGAGTTATAAGTACTGTAATTTGTTGGTAAGCTCTTTCTGGACGAGGAATATTTTGTGATTCCTTTTTTTAAATTTTAATAAGGCATCTACGTATTTTTTCCCAGTGACGGAGCGAGAAGTGATCAACGGAGTGCTGAATGTCAAAAATACCAAGAATCATTGTTTGGCGTATGTGCGGTACATCAACAACATCAATTTGCAAAATCTGCGGAGGGCATCGCAGTTTGTTGACATTGTGAATAGGAATATCGACATCGAAGCCACCAAGTTGTTGGCCAATTTAAGAGACGAACGCCTGGGAAACAAAATCGAGTCCACGAATATGCAGAGGTTATTATTTAACCTGTTTTTCTTGGTAGGATTGATGTTTCATTTTAAAGGAATTTTCCTCACTTGTATTCAGATACACCGTGGAGTGGATTGGCAGAGAAGGCTTGGACAAGGTGACTCACGAAGAATATTTGCAGCATTTCATCACCCATTTCTATCGGAATATGACGAAATTGGTGGACAGAGCGATGAGAAAAGAAGATTCGTCAACTCAGGGGCAAATTATCACCGAAATTCTGCAACACTTGCATGCTTGTAACAATTCCGTCAAGGTACAGTACAGTACTCTACTTTTCCAAAACAAACAAAAACCCAAAAATGTCTCGAAAAAACCCGGAAAGTTTTGATAAAATCCGAGAAAATAAGCTTTGTTATATTCTTGATAATCGTAGTGTCTTCTGAAAATGAAACTGTTATTCTGCATATTTCCCTAGGTATAACTATAAAATAACGGATGCATATGTAGATTCACTACTTTGATGGATATGATGGTTTCCGTAATAGATACTGTATACCTGCATGACCTCATTATAGATGTGTTTTCTCGAAAGCATATATTTCTTTGAATTAGGTTTTCTATGGCAGAGAAGAATCTTTGGAGAGAATTAAACAAGTCATCACTGGACTGGACGATCGCCCGCTAGTTTTGCACGGAGAAGGCGGCTGTGGAAAGACTTCTTTGCTGGCAAAGGCTGCTAGTATGTCAATCGAATGGCTTCCCACAGCGAAACCCGTGCTGATTCTTAGGTTTTCTGGCACGACTCCGGATTCCTCGGCTTTGACGCCGCTACTGACTTCTCTTTGTCAGCAGGTAAAATAGCTCAGTCATTATTTTATGTGCATCATTATAGAGTACAATATTTTATCAATCGAGTGAAATGCTGAAGTGGATTTTTTCTCTTATTTACAAATGGCTATTGCGAAACTTTCAAATTTTTTTTTACCACTGAGATGAGCAATTGTCCTGTCTGAGAATGTGATCATATCAAACATCTTCGGAGCACAGTATTTTGTTACTAAACACAGTAAACACTCTATAATGTTTAATAATATTTATTTAATCCTCAGAAAAAATAAACCTGATGAAAAAATCAGTAGGTGGAATTCGCTGGAAAAGGAACAAATCGGGAAACTTTAAAAATAGGAATTACGGTGCGTTGTAAGAGAATCAAGAGCTATGTTCCGATTTCAGAGAAACCCGTTTATTGCGTGACTTTAAAGAATATTTGTGCATTTTCTCGACGACCAAATATTTTCGCACGTACGCACAAGCGATTCATTATGATGTGTAAAATTTAACAGAATTAAACCCATTCAACCACAAGGAAATGATAATTACAGTAAAATCGGTTGTTTCTTCGTTTACAAAAGATCTCTTACAACTACATGTTGCCGTATGAAGACATTCCGGACGACCTCGTTCCGCTGACGGCGCATTTCAAGCAGCTTTTGACCTACGCTACAGAGGAACAAGTTTGTTTCCAGCCTAAAATTCTTGAAAAAAACGTACCGTATTTAATGATACATTGACTTTTAGCCCTTACTGGTGTACTTGGACTCCGTTGAACAACTGACAGGAGCACAAGATGCCAACAAGATGTCGTGGCTGCCGACGCAGTTGCCTCTGAATGTGAAGGTTCGCTGATTGAAGTTTTTATTCTATACTTTTCAAAGTATTTTTTTATTCTTCTGCTCTTGATCGATCGTGGATGTTTATTTTTTTTAGATTGTAGTTTCTTGTGTTTCGGAAGAGGGAAGACCAGAGGTATCACAAGAATACCACCTGTTGCGAAAAATGATAGAAGGCGACGAACATTTCCTTGAAGTTGCTGCGTTGGGAGAAGAACTCGCCATCAACATCATCAGGTCAACTCCAAATTTCTTTTTTCATTTCTCGAATCCTTCTCAAATTTTGGAAATTCGCGCTTTTCTGTGCCATGATATACTAACCCAGCAGGCGTGTCTGAATTTTCCATGTTTATCCGCGGGTCACAGAAAAAATTATGAAATTACTGTATTCTCGTAACCTGTTACTCTTCTCAATCTAATTTTTATTTGGCTATTACGAATTGAAAATGCATTGAATAGGTCGAGTGCCACATTGTTTTTTTTTTTTTAATTTAGGTTCCGATGCATGCTGACACAATTGAGATGGAAACAGAATTATTGTTCTCAAATACACCTGTTTTCGGTAAAATCGTAAAGTACAGTATTATCTATTGGTCCGATTGTTTCAGTCAATTTTCATATTCCATCACGCGACATCTGTGTGGTATTTCAGAAAACAAAAATTGAGTGGCGAAAGCGTTGAACAGTATCGTAGCGATATTGTTATTGAATTCTCCCTTGAAATGTATCAATTTTTCCCACGATTGAATTCCTAATAGGAGATGGATGAAGAATGCACACAGAGATCTGACGAATTATCAGTGGCGCCTGGTTTCCAACACTCTTAGCAAAAGCTCTTTGCCAATTTTCGTGAAGCTCGTTTTTGCGGAAATCTGCCGATGGAAGTCATATTCTAGACCCCAGGACACTCACCTGGCGTCGAATGTCATGGACTCCATCATGATGCTGTTCGAGAGGATAGAAATTCAGGTTAAGATAAATGACAGGGAAATATGTAAATATTGGTTGTATATGATCCCGACTGTTACACGTGCAATGTTTCATTAGTCCCTTACGCGGATATTTTTGATGAGAACGACATTTTTTTTCAGGTCTCAATGGTTTTTTGTAATGAAATTCTCCTACAATTTTTAATTTTTCTATCGAGACTCAAATGTAGACATAGTGTGTAGTCTACACGGGGACTCTAAATTCTGCACAATTCATTTTGCGCAAACAATTTTAAAATTATGGTTCGTTCCGATGAGGTCCTCTTTTTTATATCTAGCATGGCAGAACGTTGGTGTTTCATGCCCTGGCATACATCACTGCTTCAAAGAGTGGTTTATCCGAGTCAGAGTTGGAAGATTTGCTGTCCTTGGATGACAAAGTTCTGGACGATGTCTATCAATACCACTTGCCTCCCGTTCGTCGCATTCCGCCTCTGTTGTGGACTCGGATTAGGAATGATTTGCCTAATTACTTGTCTGAACGGGAGGCCGATGGGGTCAGTGTTCTCAACTGGTATCACAGGTCAGACCATTTCAAATTCATTGCATTGCAATTTTAAATCATGGCGGTTTTGTCATGAAGTTTTTTTTTTTTAGCCCGAATATTGATCTTCGTTGTGACAGAGACGATTTAGAAAGCTTTTCGTTGCGGAGGGGCGCGTAGAATCTTAATGTGAATAAAACAGGTTTCGAGAGCTTCAGAAATTAGCTTGTTTAATCGATGTACCGAAGGGTATAGAAGCCTTTAGAAGACACGCTCTAGATTGTTTCTGAGAGGTATCCCGCATAATCTTGTGCATGAATAAGTCTGTATTGATCGTTGCTGTGGTACAGTAAAATAAAATCAGGAACTCGTCGAAAAAGAGCATCAGGATATTCCTGAAAATGAAGATTGAAATAAACACAGGTTAAAATGTAAAGCTCTTCTTATTTGGACTTTTTTGTACTTGTGATGAATTATTTCGAATTTTTCACGTTTAGACAATTCAAGGAAACAGCAAAAGAACGATATTTCAAGAATCAGAACATGGGGATCTACTTCCACTCCTTGATCGCGGATTATTTTCTCGGAATTTGGGGTGGCGGAACTCCGAAACCGTTCCGTTTCACTGAAATCCAGAGACACAGGTTATATATTTTTTCGTATAATGTACAATTGAATCACCGTTTCAATTGTTTTATTAAATGCAGTGCTTTCGCCATACAATTTTTAGGTTCGGATTGAAAGATAAGGACGGATTGGCAGATCGAAAGGTTCCTCTCCAGCCACTGGTTTACTACAACAAGGACGGAAAAGTTTCTCGTTACAACTTACGAAAGGTGAGAGAAGTGTCCCTTTTAGAAATTGAAATGATTTCCGATGAACAATCTTTTCGTCGGAAGTTTGGAGAACTGCCGTTCCACCTGGTTCGTGCGAAACGGTTCCAAGATTTGTATGAACACGTGCTGTTCAATTATCGCTGGCTTCACGCCAAACTTTCCTCATGCCCACTTCAAGCAGTTTTGAGCGACTTTGAAGACGCTTGCGCTAATTTGGATGACAGAGAAGCAACCAGGTCTAATTTTTTTCAAAGATTTAGAATCGATTTCCGTTTAAATCCACTGTGGTAAACTTGAGTTCATCTGGAACAATATATTTTCTGACAAGACTAACTCCTCAAGTCGTGGAAAAGCTGCTTCGATTCCGCAGACTTTCATTCTTCGTATCATAAAAAAAAACTGAAGCATTCACCGTCGCTTTCTTCGTTGATTTTTCATCAGGCAAGTTTCATACAGTATCACCTGAATCCCTTTTTCGGCCAGCAATGAACCTCAGATATCGTAAGATTAACCTGAATTCTGATTATAATGAATTAGTGAAATACAGTTGGCGTGTTCACATAGATTCACGAATGAAGTCAGCGATTTAACAATGATCTTGTAAGAATCTAAGAAGGCTAAGTTATTCCTGCTTTTATTGTTTACGGAGAATGAAATCAATAAGTGTGACTGAATTCACGAGAAAGTCATGAATTATAACCGCAATAGGTTTCGTCCAGATGAACTCAACTAATGTAGCTCCGGAGAACTAAAATTTGTATTCAATACGAAAATAGCGAAGAAGGAATTCGTGTGAAAAACAAATATCTTTTAGTTGGTTGAAAATAAGCTAAACATTTCGCTTTTTCGGCCATTCGTTTGATTTCTACGTTTATAGTTTTGATTTATTATGTTTGGCTAAATATGTTTGTGTGTTTTGGCTTCCTCTTAAACTGAGCGTTGTTGTGGGTCGATTTGCAACTAGCAGGAATCAGATCCGGAAAAAGTGCAGGTGAGTGCGTGCCGAGGAGATTCGGACTGCATCAGCCATTGGTTCTCCCCATTGGTTTTATTCCTTATATACAACTCCCCTCATATTTTATTTTTAATCATTCCTGTATAAAGACCCCTTCTGGGTCTAGGATGCAAAAACAAGACCTGCTTGCAGTTAGAAGCAGGCTCACGAACTCCTGACGTATTCCATCACAATTCCTTGAAACAATTTTTTCCTGTGAGACTTCGCAGATCCCTTTTCCCCCCGTTTGTCTTTGTGACTGGAATGAACCCATGGTGGTGAGGAAGATTTTTCTAGAATTCCACCCTGATGCAACGTTTTCTTTAATATATTTGCTTGCATGCGGTTGCTTTGCCTGCCAAAAGTTGTTATCTTCGCATGTACAGTACTGTATCGTAATTTAAGAAGAAAGGAGTTCCACCGCTCCTCCGTCGGTGCTCTGTGACATTGGATTGACGGTAACTTTTACGTGCGGTAACAGGGAGATCATGCTGGTGGCTGACGCGCTGCGCTTGGGTGGAGCGATTCTGAGCACATATCCGGACATGTTGGCACCTCAGCTGATCGGACGATTGTTGCCTGAAATGCCCACAAATGAGAACGTGATGAAGTTGATTCAGCAGTGTGACGTAGATGGGCCGGATCATTGTGCCCTAATTCCGGTTTACCACTGCTTGCATACTCCTGGTGGTCCACTGAAGGTACAGATGACGTTTATTCGTTTACCTGGTGATCGATGAAACCTAAGTTATTCGTTCGTTGTGTGCATTTTTTAATGAATCGGTCACTGATGATTGGTGAAATTTACTTGCGCTTTTCAACATCGGTCCGTATAGTATTCGTTGGAGGGTCACCAGTTCGCAGTTTTCGGGTTCTGTTTGACATCCGACCTCCGGTATATCGTGTCGGTGTCGAACAAGTTCATCACGTGGGATTTATCGACGAGTGACTTGGCCAGAGAAGTGTGTCCCGGTGTGGAAGGCATCATGCAGAGTCTTTGCCTATCTCCCGACAACCGACACGCTGTTGCATTCACGAACAACAATCAAGTGAGTGACCCAAAAGATCCCGCTCATCACAGCCTTCATTCTAAGGCTACGGAGAAATAAAGCATTTTTTATTATGTTTTGGTATCTCCTTAGACTGTGCTCTTGAACATGTTGATCGGAGAGTACATAATCATCGAGAATCCACTGGACGACAATGACGGGATCGTTGGGACGTTATTGAGCGATTCCCAGTTGGTGATCTATGGCAACTGGAGCTGGGCAGTGTTCAGCATGAAAGGGAAACTTGTTGACACGATCAAACCGTCCAACCCCGGCAAGCGGATCTTTCTGATGGACTTCATTTCCGAATCCAACTATTTCGTGTTCCTGTGGAACGGAGATGCAGAAGAACCTGATCTCCAGGTTCAATCAGTCTGCGAGGGCAACAGTGACGAAGAAGCAATCAATTTCCACAGGTGAATCCGTCGTAAGAATTTTAACGGAAGTCTGAACTCAGTTGCGGAACGAGAAAAGTATCAATCAACGTTGCGTTCATTCTTATAGCCGATTGATTTACGTTGGATGAATGGTTTTGCAAGATCTCACGATCAATGATTCTTCGAATATATGTTGTCTTTTGATGCTGCTTGAAAATGCGCCAGTGCACTGGTAATGAATGCTGTGAAAGATGTCCTCTTCTCGTGTCAACACGGACACGAAAATGTCGTTTTTGAATTCAAGAGAGGAGACGGTGGATGGGTTCAAGGTCGCGACTTCCCAGACTGTGGCAAAAAGCTTTTGATGCTGGCTTTCACGTCCAACGAGCAGTTCTTGGTTGGCACTTATATGCAGGGCTTCGTGGTGAGTCCATAAAATTATTTATCCTCGTTATTTATAACTGCAGGACAGTAGTAATTTTATTTTTATTTTTTTGCTCTGGTGTGCCACTTAACCAAAGATCGCTAGGAATAAGGATGTGTTGTAGTATTAATTTCCGTTGAGGACCTATCATTCATACAAACTCCTAAGACAACCCACCACAGGCTGGTTCTTTTTAGCAAGTTCTATTCGCAAAGAAGGGATTTTAATTTTGAATTTGAACTTTTTCGCAAATAGTCTCCGTTGCGAGTATTTCTCATGGCCGCTAAATATGTAAAAATTAAAATATCCCATCGCCGCGAGAATACCACGCCAGGAACGTTTGCTGGAGGAGTGAGTCGAGTGACTCAACTAGTGTGGGGTGCCCCTAGTGTGAGCACTTTTTTGCCTTTTCTGTGAGCGACATCTAGCAAAACGTCTTCAAACCGTGCGACGGACTTCTTATCCGTACTGAACTGTGGATCATACGCAGGTCACGATTTGTTTAAACTCGGACCAATAGCGGGTTTCGGAGTACAAATACTGATTTCTCACAACGACATTGTACTCATGAAATTCAAGGTAGGGTTCTCTAATCTGGATGTTGCCCGAAAAGAATTATTTTTGGGTTTTCATCCCTACGTTGTTCGTTGTTCGTATCAATCAATCTTCCAAGGTGATCGAACGTCACTTGAAAAAAAAAGCGGAAGAATCGAAAGCGCGAAATGAAGCTTTCCGTTAGCCTGTGCTGGTGCTTGATTTTATCTTCTACTGAATGTTATTGTACGCTTCATCGTCCTTCGTCAACGTTCTGGTGATACCCGGCGCAGGCGCTGGTTCTTGTATAGGAATTAAAAAGAGAGCTATCAAAAATTATGATGGATGTCAAATTTAACTTTCTCAGGTCTATGGACTGGAAAGTGACAAGTTCATCACAATGGAATTGCCCGAAGGAGTGAGGAACATTTCAACGAAGATTTTGCAGTCCAACTCCGCAGTTCTCTCTCGTGACAAGGAGTACTTGACTGCTGGTGTGAGGTGAACTATTCTCGCTTCCCTGATCGTAACCATTCTGCATTTTATCCATTCTTGGCGAGTTAAAATCTGAAATTTTCCTCTGTGTGATCCAGGAAAAATCTGTACGTTTGGAGCATGATTTCGGGTGACTTGCTCATCAGTCTGGACGCGCACTTCGCAAGGATAATTTCCATGACGTCTTTGACGATTGGGAACTGGAATTCTGTAAGTTCGGATCGTTCCTTCCCTACCTTCTCATTTTGTCATGTGGAATGCATATTTCTATACGTTTTATCGTTCATTGTCTTCTCGTGGAAAAAAAAAAACAGGTGATCACGTCTTCCATCGACCGGACAGTCAAAGTATGGAATTTGAACAACATCTTCGAGCAAGTTCATGTCATTGACCGTCATGAGATGCAAATTGACAATATCAGGTTCAATATTAATTCCAAAGTCATGGTGGGTTTACAAAAATTGCAACAAAAATAAGATTGTCTTCTTTTTCAGTTTGAGTCCTGGGGCCGATTTAGCTGTGAGTGTGACCAGATCTTGCGTTGGAGTCTGGTGCTTGAGGCGAGGGAAGCTTTTGGCGAAATTGGCAGATTCACCATTGGGAGCAATTGTGACTCATGCAGAAGTTACCAAAGATGGAAGGTTTGTGAAAATCGCTGTTATATGCGACCTTTCGGGCGGATATAACAATTTTTATCGAAGGATTTTCGTTACGATCGTTGCATGAAATATTATAGAATAAGGTCAGGTGCTCTTACGGACAAAGAAAAAAAGAGCTGATGTTTAAGCTTTTGAATCCACATGCTCGTATGTAATTTGTAGGGCTTTATTTTTTTCGGGTTTAATAAACACACTTACCCGTGTCTATTTAATATTGAATCGGAAGTGATCTCAAAGTTCTAGGGGAGAAATTATCAAGGGGAAAAAAGCCTCGTCACACCATGTCACCTGATTACAAGTTAGAATTCAATTCTATGTTTTTAATCTTCCAGCAAATTTGTTTGCGAAGTTTTCGTACATTCTTGACTGGCGTATTAATACTGTACACGGTGTATTTGACGTGATTCGGTCATATTTTTCTGCGTCGAATTGAAAATTTTGTATCTGCACCTGGGTTAAATGTGTGCATTTTTTTCTATCTCTACGAGTACGTGGTACGCTTCAGAAAATACGTGTGGCATTACCAAAATGTTTGGAGAGGAGTTTTAAAATATTTACGTTGTCTGTATTGGATAATAAATGATCAACTGTATCTCAGGTTCATCGTTGCGACGGAATCTGGCAACGTGCTAGTTTGGAACGTTGGAACTCAGTCGGTGCTTTTCAAAGAAGAACAACCGAGTGTGAAGCAGGTTCTTCTCGTCGACGAAGACACGAAATTCGCGACAGTCACTAGAACAGGAACAGTGGGAGAAGGCAAAGTGTTTTTGGTGACACGGGAAATACCGGATGGGAACAAGTTGTACAGCGTCGAGTATCCGATACGACAAATGAAGCCCGTGGCTGTCACTTCCGACGGCTTGTTTTTGATCATTTCCGGCTACGAGAAAATGAAGGACACGCTGATGATTCATCACGTGAAGACAGGCACTTTGCTTCACAAGATCGTTCCCAGGTTCGTCCCAAGTTTTCCTCTCGATTTTTCTTTCCTGCTCTTTATTGAGGTTTTTGCTGGTGTAGTTTCCAATCTGAAAGTGTTGTGGTTAATCAAATGTCTCCGCGCATTTGAAAAGCATAGCACCTGATACCAATGTCAATTAAATATATTTTGCATTAAGTAATATACTTATTTCTGTATAAATTGACCCACAAAATTAAATAGTCACTGGTCATTAATTAAGTGCTTGCTCAGCATTTCAAGTAAAAGATGAGTCGACAACGGTAATAATCTCGATTTTTTTATTGGAAAAGTGTTGACCCAGTAATTGTAGCATGTGTGAGATCAGTGCATCCTGAAAAAAATACTGTAGATGTACTAAAAATGTCTTACTTATTTTAGTATCCAAATTTTTTTTTCAGAAAAATAAAAAAAGAGGCTTCCTATATGAATGACTACTTCTTCTATTATTCAACGTAAGAAGGTATTCGATTTTGATATCAATTGTAACCTGTTCATTTGAATCACACGAACAAGATCCAAATCTTGAAACAAAACGGATTCTACTCGTTCGCTACGTTTGCAAATATAAGAATTTGATATTGCATATCTTCCTTGAAATAATTTTTGTTCCTTTTGTGGTCACATAACGGAAGGCGATCGATAGAGTAATGAGACTCATTCATGCATTATTCAAACGTATTCCAGGTATCACAACATGAAAGATTTCCACACCATCATCCCCATGCCAAACAAGCCCACGCAAATCTGCCTCATCGACCCGGACAAGACAAACATTATAGATATCAAGACCAAAAAGTTTGTGCGGTCGATCTTGAAATGGGGCGGAAGATGCACCAGAGACGGGAAATACGGATTGTTCGCACCTTCTCGCGGAGGACTGGAAATCATCGAGTTGAAACACGGCAAATCTGTGAAAACGCTGATACCCAAGGTTTGAGAGATTTTCTGGGGAAATCTTATTCCTTTCCGTATATCTCACGTGGACATTTGTTTTGGGAAAATGTGTTTAGGTCGCTGAGGGAGTTTTCTCCAACATAACCATGTTCTCGAAAACGGACGAGTACGTCTTGTATTACCACGGTGGAAAGAACACTCTGCGGGTTTTCAGGTTTGGATATTTATTTTATGTTCTTCACAGTGACCCCGTGAGAAAAATTTATTTTTCGTGAAGAAGTAACAGGGTTGACAAAGCATTCATTCTGAGTCATATTCAAATTATTCAGTACTGTACTTGGAATGTAAGTGCAACTTCATATAGATCACACTCCAAAAAGTACAGCGGATTCCACAACGGAATTCAGGGGACCAGTAAAACTTCGTTATATTGGACAGGAGAAATTGCTGTTGTCAAAATTGTTTCAGATTGAGAGTCTCTGTATACGTGTATTAATTAAGCTTGCTGGGAAACTTACTGTGGAAAATATACTGCGTGCATCTACCGCTCAGGGAAATTCATTGACAACTTCAAAATGGAAACAGAATATCAAATAAAAGATACTGTCCATAAAGTGTTCAATTCCCTTTATGAATATTCATCAATGCTTTTTCTTCATTGTTTTGAATTTAAGTCCTATCTTTATGTATGGTTCTGCTATTTTCTCATCAGAACCTGTGACGGGAAGATGATCTCAAATTATCGGATCCAGGCGGAGTTGTCGTCCATTGAGACCACAGAAGACGGAAAAAGCGTGATCATCGGCACCGTTGACGGATGTCTAACCGTTCTCACCATCGCTGATCCCGCGAAACCGGAAATGAAAGACTATTTGAGCAAACTTCCGTCCCGCAACGAGGAAGTAAGAGTCTTGGCTGACGACGCCGATGAAGACAAACGCGGGAAGCGACGCGTGCCTATTAAACCGACCCGACTAATTAGCTCCGAAGAAACTCAATGAACGCCTTGACGGGAGTTTATTTTGCTCAAACGAACAAAAAAACCAAATTGGCATAATCCCCCTTTTTTCTGCATGAGATTTGGCTTCATCTTGCTTCTCTGCGTATGCGTGTGCTTCTCACTCTTTTCCGTGTCACCCTGTGTGATGGAATGGTTGTGAATGTATTGAAGGGGACTTCGGGAACTCGGACGGCGATTTATATAAGCAGAACTGCCACTGCGCAGTAAGTTGACGTGTAGTGTTTGGTTCCATAATTAATTTATTTTATTTCCCTCATAACGCAATTGTAATACATTTAAATCCCTTTGAAGCGTTTTCGCATTTAATTAATCAACCTCGTACGTGTAAAGAGATATGCGGCTTAAATCAACCTTGTTTGGATTCATGATGCATTATTTGTGCTGGAATATGTCACGCGATTTATTAAATTCAAAGTCGCATCCTGATGATTGATTTTATTTTTTACAGAAGTACACTTAAAAGGGTGATTATGGAATATTTGAAGGTTGAAACTGGTAAATTTTCATTCGCTTTCTTGCGATTAGAAGTACCCTACAGGTGAATTATAACTCATCGTGCATATGTCGTGCCGGGTGTGTTGAATAATCAAAGCTGCATGAATGTTATGACATTTTTATCGGATTAATGTGGCTTTTATCAAATGCCGGGTTATTCATTAATTGATTTTTTGCTGTTGCAGGAATACAAAGCTTGCGAACAGAGGATGAAAATGTTCAAAGCAGCAGCTAGAGTAGTCGTGCTTGGAGGAGCGAAAGACAAGTTGCAAGATGAACTGGACATAGATGATCCAAGACACTGGACTCCTAAAGGGAACGAAATTTTGAAAACACTGGGGAAAACGCCGGATATCCTTAAGAAATGAGTTTGTTCCTCCGTTATATTTTTTCATTTATTTTTTGAATTGAAAGTTGAATTTCCGGTGCGCGCTTTTCGAAAGTGGATTGCATTGCGAATAAGCTTGCTTTTTTCCTGCGATTCTGGCATGTTGGAGAATTCCCGTATGTGTATTGTCATCTTTGATTGTGTGTAGAAAAGTTCGATGGGATTTCATTCGATTTGAATTTGGAACTAGTCCCATGGTGTGACTGTCCCGACGTCATTGATTTATAATTGAACCTCTCTGGATTTGTTTTTCCTTGAGGAGATCGTAGATCTGTGAAGTTATAGTGATACAGTAAAATAAATAAAAACGATGATCTGCCTTTTGTCTTTACAATGCAATGCTAAAATGAACTTCAAATCTTGTGCCTGATTTCAGCGTTTGCTCCATGTAGTATTCAAGAGTTTAGGAAAAGTTGACCATGTTTTTGGAATTATTGGTTAGTCTTGAATATCCAGTGTACGAGATAGGCGTAACCTATTGCCTGACTATATCGCGAAACAAGCACGTAACCCGTCTGTCAACGCATTATTCCAAGGGAAACAATTGAAATTTAAGAATTAGTTTGAGACTAATTCTATCTCCCGACCCCTGGGACGAGTAAATTCGAAAAAGATTACAACTGACATCGAGAAAAATTCCATGCAACAATAAAAGTCAATTTGAAGATGATATGAAGCTGATGAGGCAGGACTCCTGCTGTATGTAAAATACATTTCACTCCTACATTTAAAGAATTACGGTGATAGATGAACACAAAATGAATGGTCTCATTCGCAGTGATGAACGCCTAAAATATGGGTGCAGGAGATTAGGAGAAAATCTCATGGGAGAAAAAATCTTCCAGGGTCCAAAACTCCTGTAGGTAGGAAAAACCAGAAAAATGAATTTGTATATCAGAAAAACCTTGTTTGAAAATTACAGAAGGTAATGGTATGTAAACAATTCTAAATTATGAAAGAAGTCTAAATGGAGTTAGATAGTGATATTTCATTTTCAATCTTAATATTCATTACTGAATACAGTACTGTACATGATGTAGGGAATATGAAAAAAATTAATAAGATGTCCACAAGTTTTCAACTCTACAAGATTTCCACTCAAATTGATGCAAGTTTATTACTTCAGAATGCAAAGTTGAGCTGTGAAAATCATTGGGAAAGTACACAGTTTATATCCAAAAACAATGCAAGGATGAAGGCAACATCTTTCTCTTGAGAAAGACCAGGAAGTGTAGGTGAGGTTCTATTGAGGAAGGTAATCCCTAAACCTCCCAAACCCTTGGAAGAAATTAAAACCCTCCCACCTTCAAAATTTCACAATCCACCCAATTTTTATGCCTTCCAGACAGTTGGAAGGGAAACCTAAACACAATGTTATAATTTTGTATTACTTATTGGAATTTTTGGACGACCCTGCAAGATTTTTGGGCCCAGGGGATTTTTGGCTGCGCGGGATTTTTCCCCCTACGGGATTTCATCATGGAGTCCTAAAATACGCAACCAAAAATCGTTTTCAAAGAAACTTTGATTCCTGGGATGCGAAACAACTGATAATTGTTCTTCTGTGTAAGTCGCTAAGAAAAGCTGGAACCAATTTAGTTTGGTATCCTGGCGCCAGTGCATAAAAAAATTCATTGTGGAAGGCAAATCGTATTTGGATGCGAAGTATGGTACTGTACTGCATAAAAACTTACATTTTTCTTCTGAACTCCTGGTTCTTAAATTCTCGTATTTTAACGGAGCGACATCTTCCAACAGCAAATTAATATCGTACTTATCTGATAATCCACGTCAGGCTGCACCAGTAACACGACAGGTATAATGACACTTGTATCTCTGCGAGACACTCGAAGTGCTCAGACATGAGTAAGCAGAAATTATCTTTTCCTGAATTCAGTTGCGGAGTACAATTCCAGGGGCTGTAAATGGATCCCGTTTTCCCAGTTCCGAAAAGCGCAAACGTTACTAAAAACGGAGTGTTTAGAATGTTCGTTGTGCATTGAGAAAGGAGTTAGTTATTGTCAACGCATTAGTTCATTTCCTTGTCGAGCCAGTGAGCTGCAATTGCTCACGGATTGCGTCGATCCTTATATCGCCGAAATTACCCGCGACCCTGCATGGAAGAGGCGTGTTCGAGCTGCAAGCAGCCATTATTCTCTTCCAGGAAAATAAACCCTTCCGATGTATCCGAAGGACGCGGAGGAAATTCTCGAATGATCCACCCTTGTGTTGAACAAATTCTTGGAATGAGTAATGTCTGTCCGCGCTTCGCCGGTGTGGCAGGCAGGGCGTACTCTACCCTCGTTTTGGACTCTAGAGTACACCCTGCCTAGGCAGGGTGGACTCTAGAGTCCAAAACGAGGGTAGAGTACACCCTGCCTGCCACACCGGTAGCTTCAAACCTCATCGGGTAGAGTAACAGTACAGTCATCCCTGGAAGTTCATGATGAGATGGTGGACGAGTGCAACTGCGGTGCGTCGTTCACTCTTGCGTTTGTGTTTCCGCTGTAACTACAGCCTCGTGCGACGTCTCTCATTCGTAGTAGCTGAGAAATCTCCGACACTGCTGAGATTTTATCTTTTCGCTGCCGTGTGAATCACATAACGATGACCAGATGTTCTAACTTCTAATGAGTATAGATGATGATCGACGAATAACGTTGTGCGAGTTTAATCGATCATATTGTTCATCCCAACTCCTGTTGCTGAAGTATCCACAGGCTGCACTGCACCGCGCCAGACGTGTTTTTCAAAATGTTTTCATAATAGAGAGTCGTCTTTGAAAACCCGCGGATCACATACAGTAATTTCTCATGAGGTTATACCGTACCGAAATGCCATTGGCGTGCACTGGACTACCTTTTTAATTCTGAACTGCTTTCCACATGGGGCTATTTTCGGGCTGAAATACCGAGGAAGATAAGCTTCGTCCTTGTACCGTCTCGAAATATCGACGATCTGATCACAATAATGTTTTCAAGTTTCAATGCATATCCGCATCAAGGATTCTCACTCCTCGATCCGTGATTTCTTCGACTGTAGTCGTTGGTATTCGCGCTCATTTTCTTCGTCAGCTGTTGTGCTGTACAGTTAGTTGGAACTAGATTACTGTAGTGAGAAAGTGGTGTCGATTCGGTCACGGCGGTAGCTTCCGTGAATCCACTATATGCGGACTTCGCGATGCGTGCCTTTCTAGTGAAACTAAACTTCGGTCTGCAAGATCTTTCCTATATTGAATTGGGGAAATGCGGATCCGTGCAAGGTGGTGTACATCATGACCAAGGAGGAGTGCAAAAACGAAGAACGACTGAGGTTTGCATGGAATGGTTCGATGCGGATGAGTTTGAGTACCAGTTGACATGTATTCCAATGCGTGAGTATATAGATGTGTGGTTTGCTCCCCCGCAATTTTCGCATGCAATTCTACATTTCATATTCAGATGTCCACAAATTGGAGGATGGGGTTAAACTGGGATCGCCTTGTTCGAGACAACATTGCTTGGTGAAGATTTTTTCCATTGGAGAAGTTCAAGGCAGTGCTGGTGCATTCGTCATGCAACCAAATGAGAAATTCAATTTCTCGAAAGTAGAAGTACGAATCAATCGGGAAGTTTTCTTATCATACTGCAACAAGAAATCCGTGCGCAGATTGAAGCATGGAGATATCATCGAGTTCTTCCTTCGGGATATTCGTGAGTTGACGCTAATACCCAAAAAAAAAAAAATTGAGGGTACAGTAAACAGCTACGAATACACTGCAATATGCACGTCTTCAATTCAAGCGATAAAGCTATGGTAAACAGAGGCGTATGATATCCCCATTTTTCTGGTACGTGCCATTAAACTCGGTCATCTTCTAATTCAGAAACTGGTATTATGTGGCACCGAACTGGTATTATAAGTGCGCACTTCGCGAGAACTATATTGCAGCGGAAACTGTATGGCAGGATAACTTGATGAACAGAAAAAAATCAGGGGTTGCATTTATTGCTGTTGGCATCCTCAATTCAATAATGATGAATTGATATTAAATATTAATCAGTGATCTGTGCATTTTCACTTCCGACGGTTTCTCATAAATGACTGCTTATACCTTGCGGATAATCTGTGTAAAGCTCAGTGCCATTGCAGTTTAATGTACGCAGAGGTAAGAAGCGGGATAGAGCAGATCACCTTGACATATCGAAAAGTAATGTTCGTGTATTCACTTGATATCTCTTGGGAAAAGCTCAGCTGCGCCTAAATTTTGGATGACCAGATTGCTGCAAAAATACAGTAGTTCCATTTCTGTGATATTGGATTATTTATTTTGCGTCATGATCGAAACAAGGCTCTCTAACAATCGAGAACCTTCTTTGTGGCTCCTGGGATTTCGTGCTTCGCTTTTAAACTGTTCACCACGCATGCATTCTTGAAGCTAAATCATTCTGGAATACTAATTGCCCCACTTCTGACGAAACCTTCGTGGGAGGATTTTTAAACAGTACGAAACTAATACATACACAGTATATATAGTGTCGCTTGACTATATTTCAGCGTACTTCAAGGTCATGTTTCTCTCGACTGATGAATGCCTGGGGAGAGTGCCGCAAACGTCAGTCCTGCTGTCATGTCCTTGGCCGATTCTACAGAATATTTTCCAGTTTTTGAATCCTTTTGAAACCATGGAAAGCATTGTTCCGGTGTGTCGGCAATTTTTTCAGCTGATGAGGAGTGGTGCAATTTGGACTCATCTCAAGTTCGAAGCCGTTTTCGACAAAACATACGTTCCATACGGTCACGTGGGTGATTTCTGCAGGGTGATCGCTCCGTGAGTTGCCTACGTGGGCTTCGTAAATACTGGATTTTGTATCTGCCTTGCGTGTTCAGCATGAGCAAATAAGTGGTATACATGATGTACATCACAGGTATGAGGATTCGACAGGAAGAAAATATCTATCCAGATCACTATACAATATCGACTATAAGATGGGTGATACTTAACGTGGTAATTGAGGTAATTTTGACGACGAACTATTGTAAAGGTCTCTTCAAAGGGAAGAAAAGTTCTGATGAACTCTTGGTAAAATTCCCGGAAATGCGGCATTTTGCGATAGTTTTGGTCTCAAATTCGTAAACCATGAGCATCTTATTGTACGAGACTTCATCTTAACCGATGATTTCGCAGACGTATTCAAGGACTTGAAGTGGACTTCAGATTTCGAGGACATCGTATGCCACGAAATATTTTGCGTCCAATCTTCGAATCTGATAATTGGAGGAGTTTGAAGATGCTAAAATTACGTTCTTTGGATTGTGAAGATTCCTTTGCTGCATTCATGGGAAATGAAGAATTCCTCGTAAAATTGGAAACCCTGGAAGTTACTCGCTTGACCTCCTATAGACTCCTCCGGAATGAAAAAATCATCTTCCCGAACGTTCGAGAAGTTACGCTGTGGTGTTCTTCGCAGAATGACTTCTCCGTGGATTTGAAGCGGGTTTTTCCGAGGCTGGTATTTTTTCTTCCAAATCTCCGGTAATGTTCAATTCGTGTGTTTGAAGTACTGTATTATTTTTTGCTTTCAGATTGCAGAAATTGCATTCAATTTTTTGGAAACGCTCCCTCAAAAGACGCGCATCGGTGTGGTCAGGCGGTATCACGAAGTTACTTGACTTCTTTGGCTCCGGTGTGCTGCAAAGCCTTCATTTTGAAGCCTTGCCAGAAAAGTTCAGTGAAGACGATTGGCTTCTAGCGCAAAGAAGGGGGACTTTCACGGATCTGAAATCGCTGACCCTGCTTGGAGGCGATTTCCAGAAAATGCCAGACATCGGTATGATGTCTGATGTTTTCCCGAAGGTAACGCTGATGGTTTTCATTTGACCTGAAATGCATACCCATTTTGAGTTCTGCGCAACAAATGACTCAATTACAGAAAATTTTGATTCGAACGTTTTCCCAACGCAATCCAGTGGGCATTTATATTGTATTATGCGAATAAGGCAAGGTAGTAAAATCATCTACATCCGATCATGTAAATGTCTATATTCTACTTCTGGATGCATTTTTAGTGGAACGAAGTGGACCTCGTGAATTGAAATTCCAGTTCAATTTCTTCTGATTTTGTCATACGGGAATGATAATGAAGAAGAAGTTGTTCATGCATTATTGTGTTTCCCTATACCGTACTGAAATACAGTCTTGCAACAATATCAGTTGAGTCATCTGATGGTCATTGATGCGCATTAAATTTTATTTTTATAGTTCTTCAGTCTTAAGACTGATACATTTTTTAAAGCAGAAATTCCTCCCGTAGCTAAGATTACCTCAGGTGCTGGACATGGGCGGAATGAGATGACATCCAACACTTGATACCCTGGAGTTTTTTTATGGTTAATTCTAGGTTCATTTTAAAAATTATAAGATCTTGAATTTTGGATAAATTTTCATGGCCGACTTTTCTAACTTGGTTTCGTAAACTAAGCTTTGATGGTGGCGAAGAATATCCATCTTTTGTCAGCCCGCGTGTAACAGCATACCTTGCATCGTTGTCCACTGCTGTCTCGGATCCGGTGCCTAATTTTAATCGTGTATTACCTGTACCATTTCACGAAGCAGAGTACAGCTACAATGGCCATTCTTGGAAAGAATGTAAGATTAAGTCTATCACAATCCTGAGATCAAGTAAAAGCTGGATCTGAAATGTGCGGGAACACGATAACTAATAAAATTGTAGCGTAAATCTGAGGATTTACGTGGACATTTTTCCGCGGATAATTCTGTATACTGTATAATATGCCCATCGTATTTGTATTACCGGTCTGCCGAGTATTAATACCTGCGATAATAATTGATCGTTTTTGAAAAACAAATCTTCAACTTTACAGCTAAGAGAGAACTGGTTGAATATGTTTCACTTCAGTATTTTCACCACCGTCGCCTGGGCGATGAGTTGTTGGGATATGGTTTGCAATTAATATACTGTACTGTACTGTACAGTAGAAGAGATACTATAAAAGATCCTTAAAGTTTAATAGTCAAAGGTTGAACATTCAAGAATTCGCATGTTGCTGAGGATCGCTGTTGGGTTTAAATAATTTACATGAACCATTTTCGTTTATGTTCACAGCTTAAATCGATCTGGTTCCAAGATGTGCAAGTGTCACCGAGAAATGTAATAGACCATATACTTGAGATGCCAAGCGTGGAGAAGCTTTGGTTCAGAAATGTTCGCTCAGAGTTTGGTCCTGAACCAATCCCGCTTTATTTCTTCGACAGAAGACCGAAGAAATGGCTTGAAAACATCAAACTCATTTCTGCTGATCTGTGGGAAGTATACATCCCATATTCCAGGATGATTAACCTGGAATGTGTGGCCTTATTCTTTCGAGGCAATCCGATGACCGGGCTCACAGATACGGGCATTGATGAATCGATACCTCGATCCCTGGAAAATATGTTCAAGGAGCTTCGGAAGTGCTCGAAGCTCAAGGGACTAATTCTACGTGTACCGAATAATTGTTTTCGGTGCTCAGTTTTTCAGGGACTTTCCCAGAAGCTGGAATTTGCCGCTGTATCGGGAGCAAAACTTGACGAAGTGAAATCTGTACTGGAATGTCTTAGCATGAACCAAACTCATCTTGAAGAAGTATGGATCCGAGTGTTCAGTTCGTCGGTAAGATCATTTGATTTTCCAGTACTGTACCGTAAACAAGCTTCTGATGGTCTAATCTATGGTCTAACTTCATGAGGTTCCAGTTGCCCTTCGAGTTATCTCATAGAGAAAATATAATTGATCAAAGTTTTGGCAAATCATATTTTGGCGTTGCCGACAATGAGTGAACGCGGTTAAACTCCATTAGCGTTTCAGATAGTATAATAGTGAGACCACACATGACGACTCTATAGAAGCGTACGGTTGTATCCTGGTGAGGTATGCAGTATTTGTTCAGCATTTCACAAATCGAATATAAAGAAGTTGCATTCCGACTCATAATTCTGAAAAAATTGAATTACTGTTCAGTATACTGTATTCAGTATTGTACAATCGTGTTCATTAGGATCTTCTGTGTTTGAGGCCTTGTATTCTGTTTGCAGTAGCCTATTCGAATCTGTTATGAGCGTTATAATTCTCATACATTGCTATGTTACATGGAAAGGGTTATTATGGTCATTTGATTCAACAAAATCTTGGATTGGAAGTTCTCACTCCTGTTTACCGGTAATTTAATTTTTAAATAATTTAGGTCGAAGGGGAAAGCATACGTCGTGTTAGTATGTTCCTGTGTCAGATCAGAACTACGAAGTCATTTTCGGAGAAACTTGTACATGAAGAAGAAATTGACTTCTGCTGGTGTCGGTAAATTTTGCAGAAAATTCTGAAAGTATCTCGGGGAAAGTCGACTGATCTTCTCCAAATAGAACAAGAAAATTTCGATGTACTGTTCTCCAATTTTTGATTGTTTCATTGGTTCTGTGATCAAAAATGAGTTGATGACCTATAATTGGAGATTGAAAACAGCATTCAGGTGCCGTTTTAAATCGCGCACGGATTTAATTGTTTGAGACCAAGGTCAATTTTGCAGCATTCATGTTCTGCTCAGTATAGTTGACATTTAGTTTTATGATGAGTAGTTTTTTTAATCCACAGGAAAATATAACAGATGAGAAAAGTGTACGAACGCAATTTTATTCAGTTTAAATTATTAGATGAAAAATAAATTGTTGGTTTTTCTCCTAATAGCAATTCAGGCATAGTTTCACCTGCTGAAATATATTACAGTACTTCCAATTTTCAACCTTAGAAACCTTTCTTCAAGCCGAGCATCTTATTTTTGAAAGACATTTCTACTCCATATAGTAGCTGCTTCATGGTTCCTTATTAACTTAATTTTTGCCATAAAAGTATTGTTCGGAGTACTGTATGTCAGGTATTCTAAAATTTTCTCCTGGTCATCAAAAATTTTATTGAACATTGCTGGTCTGCCAAAAATTGTATGAAAATGTGCCAGTCGGCAAATTATTTGATTAAAATTTGTCGGTCCACAAGCCCAAAAAGGTTTGGGGAACACTGATCTGTAACTTCTCACTCTCACTGTCCCATCAGGCGTATAAATTGAAGGACGACATCATGGACGTGTTGATGACATTCAAAAGTCTCAAAAATGTTGTATTCGTGTATACGCCTCGTCTATCTCACGAAATGGACTGGGAGCAGGATGACTACGAAATTGACTCAGAATGCTTCATGAATTGGGAAATTGACCTGCGAAGATTTGCTGATGAAGGGTGTCACTGGAAACAAGTGACTTTTCTCTTTGACGGTCCATCAGACAAGGAATCATTCACCTTCAATATCCAGCTGCGGAAGACAGAAGATTTCTCATCGTATGCTGTCAATAAATTTTTCTCCGACCGGTTCAAGTATGCTCCAGATGAAAAACGTCGTTATAAGTTCAAGGCAGTCGACTTGATTTTAACTCTTTTCCCGAAACTGATTGAATAGTACTGTATGCGCGTATACTGCGTCTTGTACGCTTCCTCAGTTGCTTTAGTGATCGTTGAACTTTTTGTTTTGTTTTTGTTTTAATGCCATCGATTTTGAAAGTGCAGTTAGCGAAAATTTGAGTTACAAATCAATTTGAGTCAGCCAAAATATGGCAGTTTCGCGTGTTTTTCAAGGTCGAATTATGATTGTGAAAGGTTTTTTTTTTGTGGCGAATTCAGAAATATCTCAAGGAGTGTCGGGATCTACTGTACTTCGTTATTTCGGTCCACGCTGAAGCATGGATATTGTTCTAAAGTTATGTCTGCTGCTGGATTATTCGGTTCTGGGATTTGGAAGTCTAACTTGGGAAATTTATTTTGCCACTGAGTTTCATTGCTTATGTGAGGCGAAGGATGTTTTTATAACACTGTTTATTTTCCGCGCGTTGACATGAGTGAGCCAGTGCTGCCCCTGCAGTGATTTACAATCACGTTGCTGTTCCACAGCTGTGTGACAGCTGCTGCTGCCCTTAAATTTTTTTTTGCGCACCCATTTAGCTGCATTTAACCGTTGAAACTCGACTTTGTTTGCCCTTCTGTGTGCCAATTAGTTATAACTGCAGGGAAATAGCAACTGAAACTTGGGTTTGTTCGCTTGTCATATTGCGAATAATGCTCAACATTCGATATATCTTGATTGTGCGTAGATTTTGGGTCTGGGCTGGTTCATGGTCAAGGTTATATTCATTCAGGGTCAGTTAGCGTGAGCTCCAATAAGATGGCGATTTTGTTGGACAGGTGCTGTTTGATTCACATTTTAAGATGCCCTGGTTCGATTCGTTGGTCATTTTCCTTTTGCAGCTTTTAACGATGGAAAGCAGAAATTCAAAAGCTCGTATGTTCCAAACGTTTTTCGGGAAATTAGGAAGGCTCGAAGCATCTGCATTAGCGAAGCAAACTGGTGTAATTTTGAGTTCGGTTTTCTCTCAACAGGATGAGCGAGGGTTATGTTAAGTTTAGATGAGTTTTCTCATGTTAAGTTATGTCTCTTCGGGTCAAATCAGATGCTTTTAAAAACATCCCATTAGTAGAAATGAAGCTCTAACTGTGCAGTAATCCTACCCGTGGAGTTCCGCAGCAACGACACCTAGGGTTCCGTCGTAATATACCTGCTGCTTATCCTCGCTTGGTGGATTTCTAGCTGAGGTACGGAACTGGCCCGTTGTAACGGCGGACGTATTGTCGTGGTTACTGCATCATCCGGTTGAACCCCATTGAGTGATCGATTGTGTATGGTGAGGCCGCACGTTACCGCAGTGACTAAGCGTAATCTTGAGCTAAGTTTCAAATCTCTTCGATTTTTGTTTAACCCAGGATTTCCAGGGAGTGCAATACTAAAGATGTTCCATCAAAGGGAGTAATCGCAAGTTTGTGAAACGCTTTTTTTTTCTTCTTCTTAATTTCAGATAACTGCTGCACGGATCATCGGCGTGTTGCCTGAGTGTTCAGTCCGTGTGGTAACAGTGAGAATTAAGGGCGAGGGTCAACCAGCAGACCCTCGTTATTATACAATCGTGCGAATCTTAATTACTGTATATTCGTATGTAGTGGTGTTCACCGACCGAGAAATGACGGATAGGCTTTTGAACATCGCCTTGATGTTCGAAAATCGAACTGATGAGTTACCTCAATTTAGAACGAAGAGATGCGACGAGACGAGATAGTGTCAGTGTCACCTTACAACACATTCGTATCAATTATACTGAACCATAACCTCCGATGCGGTAGTGCTAGTATAATTAAATGTGCAGATATTCTTTTTGACCGTCGGAATTTTTGGTCAACTTCTTAATTTGTGGTGAAAATAATATCAGCTACGATTTTGAGCCAATGATGCTGCTCGGTCCGTATACACGCTTTAATCCGATCTAACTCAGCTCATGGGCAGGGATTTCCTGATCATCGCTTCGGGTTGATGTCTCACGTCAGAGTGGAGAAACTTACAAATTGAGCCGTGAGAACACAGTATCTAGGACTTCTTGCATTGTGCTCGTGAATTAGCGTACACCCATGACATCTTTCATTCGACTGGCTGAAGCGCTTTTTCGGTTAGACGAAATGCATGCGTATAAGTATAGTTTTTGGCTCCTTGGAGACGGTTAAAATGTGGAGCATTCAGCGAACTTGGCGATGTGTATCCGATCCATTGTTGGGTTTACGACATTTTATTCTTCAATTAAAAAAAGGTTTATTCAAAGAATTGGCTCAGAATTATTCTGTCAATGCCCAATACGAAAACGACTACAGTACAGTACTGTATACTCTTCTTCTCTTTTTTTGCAGTTACAGTATATTATCATTGTTAGCTCATTGGCTGATCTGTTGCAAAACAGCGAATCTCTCCTTTTTTTTACAAAACGACGGAGAAAGATAAAATGGACTCTTATTTTCTCAAAAAGCCATTTATCATTGAAGGCGGTTTCGTTCTCCTATTTTGTATAAAACGACACAAATAATGAATGATTAATAAGAGTGAGGCATGATGCGGAAAGTGTTGGAGGGGGGCCATGTTGTAACTCAATTTTAATAAAAGACAAGACGACTGAAGATCAGAATTCAAATAATTGATCTACAGGACAGGCGGATTACATGAGAAATGATGGAGCAATCCATGAGACGGCGATATAAGATCAATCAGGGGATGTGCATGTGAGGAACCACTATAGATACCTCGAGTCTGAGAGACTCTTCAGGTGTATATATCCTACTGCATGAGATGAATTGCATTTATTAAAACTAAAAATTTTCTTGCACATATACAATTTCTTTCTGGATTTTCCTTGATTGTGCCAAAACGCATCCAGTCTTTGAATGTGTGATTTTCATCGAAGGAAAGATGAAATATAATTATTGAAGCAAGCTCTAGCATGGTCATGAGTGATGTCGTTCCTGCAGCGTTTTTTTCTTCTCTAACTTCGTGGTAGAAGTTTTTTGTGTTCTCTACATGCAATCTTGTTTTTCCAGTTTTCAGGATTAAGTTGGGTTCACTTCGGGAAACACGGCATTCCAAAAACAGGAACGCAAATACAGTACAGTATTCTATCGAGAAACTTATATTTACACCGCTTTTCCGCGATGAGTGCGTTCCTCGTGAGACTAGACTTCGGTCTTCGTGACCTTTCTTACATGGAATTGGGAAGGAATAGTGCACCCGGCGATTTTTCAAAGGAATGTGAGAAAGATTCGAGGAAGAGAACCGTTGAATTTTATATTGAACAGCGGGGAGGAGAGGTTTTAGACGAGGAAAGGTCGCGGCTTCGGGTACGTGAGTTATTGCTCTTATTCCGCTATTCAAATTGTTTTTCTTTTATCTGTATTGAGAAGTTCATTTATTATCAGATGTCCACAAATTGGAAGATGGGGTGAAAATTGGAGTTGCTTGTAGAAAGGAGTTTCTTCTGCACGTGATTTGCTCCATCGGCGAGGATCCGAGCGGAGCCTTTGTAATGACCACAATGAATCCAATATTCATGGATCATTTCAACTTGTTCCTTTGCCTAAATGATATATATTTGAATATTCATGATCCGAGGACCAAGCATATTTTGAAACATGGAGACATCATTGATGGCGGAAGCTTTTTTGGCCGTGAGTTTTTTTGAAAAGTATCATCTTTCAATAAATGTTGCCCGAGGTTTGCTACAATCGTTGTTTCAGTCTTGCGCTTCCCTCGTCGGAGTCCTGACGTACCATAATGCTTTTTTTAACCTGAACCTTCTACGATTTTCTGGTCACCGAGCTATTAATGGAAATATTTTAATCTAATTTCATCACGGTGGAAGTGCATCTGCGCATTTTTATACGTGGTACGCGCATATTATGTTCAAATGCTACGATTTCATGCTGTGTTCTGAATCAGCTGATGGCTTGTAAATGTTTGAAATAATGGTTAGTGAATAATATTCTTAACAATAACACTGTACAGACACGTGTTACCGAACAAAATGCAATGCAAAGCGCTGACAGAACGTTTGAACCGTCTCTTGTACACTATATTCTGCTTGAATGCTGGTTACGGTATCTGCTGAAAAATGCTTTTCTACAAGCGCGTGATGAAGAAAAGACGTTATTTCCATTGCGAATACATAAAATAATCCGTGTAGATTTAATGCCAACGAGAGTTATCTTGATTCAAGTGAAGTACGCTATTATTATAGTTTCGCTTTCCTGAGATTACCGTATTTACTCACGTACCACGCTCCATGGAGTAAGACGCACATCTTGGTTTTTATGCCTGAAATTTTCTCAAAAAATGTATCCCCGCCTGAGACGCACACCCCAGTTCTACATGGTCGAAAATGTTTTTTAGTAAGATCGTCAAATTAAATGCTTTCATTGAGAATAGATTAATAAAGAGGATTTTAACAAGATTTGTGCCAAACAGGAATCCCTGTTCAATAGTATCACCTGCGGAGAATCACTTCTGTGGCTTGCACTTTCAGTTTTTAAATTTGTCCCTGTACATGTTCCTGCTTTGATTTTGCAACAAAGAAGGTGCGAGTGTTACTTGAGTAAATACAAAGCTCTCCCCAATTAAAATTGTTGCGAGGAAATCCGAGTAGGGCTGGCATAAACTAAAACCTTCTGCTTAATTGAATTTTAAAAATTACCTTCATTTAATTGAAAAATAATAGAATATTGCATGTCGAACTTGCAGCTTGCTTCAAGGTCATGTTCCTCCTGCGTGACAAATGCGACATGAGAGAGCCACAGACTTCACTCTTGCTGTTGTGTCCCTGGTTGGTTCTGGAGAATATTATGAAGTTTCTGAGTCCATTGGAAATGATGGAGAAGGTTGTTCCAGTTTGTCGGAAGCTGTTCGACCTAATGAGACGTGGCAAAATTTGGAAACATCTCGAGTTCCGTGTTTACCATGATGGAAACCCAGGAATGCCATTTGGGCACCTGGATGACTTCTGCAAGGTTGTTTCTGGGTGAGTAGTCTTTCCATGACTATATATTTTTCCTTGAAGCAATTCTGTACGAGACCATTTGGCGAGTTTATTCGAAAACACGATGGAAGGCGTGGCTTAGAAAACCACAGCGAATTGATGGAAGTTCTGTGTCTAAATTTTCTCGTCAATAGCAGTGTAACATTTTAAATTTGTGTACCAAAATGTTGGGTTTGTGGAGAAAAAGGGATTAAAATCACAATTTGACAGGACTTCGAAAGTGCTTTTCAACCATTTTTGTGCACATTATCAAAATGATGAGCTTCAATGCTGTTACCCTTTGGTTCATTGATGACATTTTCCATATAGATATGCGAAGAAGCTTTCAGTGGATCTCACCTGTAATGAGAAATCGAGACTTCCCATGTCAGACAATTGTTTGTGTCTGCTCTTCAAACATTATGAATGGAGTACATTGAAGATACTGGATATTTTTTGCGTGCACAACGAAGAAGCATGGGTTGAATTCCTGCTCCACGAAGGAAAAACGCTCACGCAGCTGGAGACGCTGACGTTGCGTGGTATGGATCTCGGGGATTTGCTAATGCGTGTTGCTCATGAACGTGGAAACATTACGTTTCCGAGGTGTAAGGAAGTTACTCTGCGATGTTCAATGAAGCGTGTCTACGCCGTGAACCTGAGAAAGATGTTTCCCAGGTTAGTATTTTGGGGAAAGTTTTTCGTTGAACGTTTCATCGTGCTTGTTTTGTTCATATATTGCTTTCAGATTGGAGAAACTGCATTTTTACCATGCTGATGTCAGCTGTTTATTGGTTTCTATGTTGAAAAATATACCTCTTGGAATGTCAAGCCTGGAGCGATTTCCCGATTCACTCGGCTCTGGTTTGCTTTCGAGTCTCCATATCTACCAGTTGCCGATACAATTGGATGCTGAAGGTTGGCGACTTGCTCACAGGATGGGGATTTTCACAAACCTTCAATCGCTGAGCATGAGTGCAGATCTGTTTGATAGAATGTCTGCTGCTGAGACAACCATCTTTTTCCCAAAGGTATACAGTACTTTGATACTGCATCATCATATCCGTGTGTCGAAACTCCAAAAGATGTTCTACAAGACTTTTCGCGACAGTAACTGTAATTTTTTTAAAATTACTGTTCAGTACTGTAATAGCAGCAATACATAGATAACGTATTCACTAATATTTCAGTCGAGGATTGATTTTCTGATCGACGGAAAATTAATAAATGTAGTGTAACTTGAAGATTTTGTGGTGCTGTTTCACTGTTTGCACTAATTTGGTTTGGAACGGAACTATTTTTATTCGATTAAATACAACAATATTTCCCTTCAAGAGGCACCACTTTGTCAAATGTCACAAATCTGACCGGGGAACCTGATTCACCCGGGTGCATTTCCGCCATTTTCGGGTTGCGGAAATTTTCAACAACAAAAAATGTATTTTTCAAGATATTCCTCACTTGAAAATGTTGCAGTTGCATGCAGTATGGCTGGAAGGGTCATCGCCCATGAAAGCAGTTCAGAATTTATTCTTGATGCCATCATTGGAAAAGCTGTGGATCAGGAATTGGGAAAAGCAAATAAATGTTGCACCGAAGAAAAAAGTACTCCGTGCCTTCGACGACAGCCCCAAGGAATGGCTCGAAAATCTGAAATTAGTTTCAGCTGACCTGTGGGAGACATTCATTCCGTATTCAAAAATGATTAATCTTGAATGCGTAGCATTATTTTTCCAGCACAAAGCTGTTGTGAAAAATCCCGGGAAAGTCTTTGAAGAGCTCAGTGGCTGCCCCAAACTTGAAGGATTCATTCTAAGTGTGACGAGTGATCTTCCATTGGAACCCCTGCGCCAAATGTCTCAGCAATTGAAATTCATTGCATTTCCTGGAACCACACTCCGCAATGCATGGTCCGCCTTGGGCTTTCTTTCTCATTGTCGGAATTCGCTGGAGGATTTGTGGATTCAAGTGTCCAACCCCAAGGTGAGAACAGCACAGAATGTGAAAGAAAAAAATATATAAAGCTGGGTCGCATGTTACGTGCGTTTATGGATGGATACAAGTACAGTAATTCCTCGAAAAGCAATTTTAGAGTACAGTATAGCTTATAATCTGAGTACGATGTTGCCGTCTTCATCTGCTGGAATGTGCTTGACGGAAAAAAATCTTTGTTTCATGACACTTGAGCACCCAAATACAGAAGTCATATTGTATGATGTTTGCAGTCAGCCAAAATTTCCGTGCGTTTGTGGGTTAAATCGTCCGAAACAATGCCTCTCTTTTTCCACTGTAACCGAAACTTGGCTCCTGCTGGCAGCCAGATATTGTACTGTACCACGATTTTTCAACGTACGTGTTATTCTGCTTTTGAAATTTCGTCATTTGATTATCATCGCCTCTGTCCACCTTATCGCTGAAATGCACACATCTTGTGGGTCTTCATGAAGACTCTAGTGATCGTACTGATAGAACATTTCAATACCAATTCGAGAGGTTTTCTTGAAAGAAAAAATGATTTTTGAGGCGTAAAATTATTATTTTTTTCATAGAAGTCGATCTGGGAATATAAAACGGGTTTAGTTCGTTATCCGGGAAATATAGCAATTCATCATCGAAGAAATCGGAACATTTGAAATTATTGTTGTTCTGATTTCATATCTCTTTTTTTTATTTCTCGGTGAATCAAACAGGAGATAAAACAGATCCTTCGAGCCTTGAAGGCATTCAAGAAACTCAAGAATGCCGTGTTGGTGTTGACCAAGCAGTTTGAGTTTAACAACAGTGTCCTGCCTGAACAAGAGTGCTTCGTGAAGACAATGCAAGAGTGCTTTAGTCCAGGGTGTACGTTGAAGCAAGTGACTCTCCTTGCTGAATTGGAACAGGGCTTAGGTAACTTCGTTGGAACTTACGGCACAGAAAGGGGAAGGCTTGTGGCATTCTTACCCACTTTAATCACGAGATTTTGTTCCGAATGGCTCAATCATGTTCCGAAAGACACAGCGATGGGTGAGCTTTCGGTATTCGAAGCGATCTTGAACATCTTCCGCCGACGGCCTTTTATTGTGCAGCATTGATCAATAAGTTCATTCGGTTTGTCCAAATCTTCTTCCATGCGCGTCTACATTTTTGCAGTGAAATTTCGTTAGAAGCGGATGTTTTTTCGTGAAATCATTTTTGAGACGTATGATGAGCGAATGTTCTTTTTATTCGAGCCAAAATGTGTTGATTTTCTGAAAAAATGCACGATGATGACTTAATTTCGATATGTATGCGAGGTTTGTCAAAATTCTCAACGCGCATTGTTTTGAATAAATCGCCTTTGTATTCAAATTATTACACTTCATTGTCAAAATATTACGTTACTTGCTCAAAAGCATTAATAATCCCCTGCTTCACACAAACTATAGGACTCAATCTAACATAAAATAAACTTAGAGTTTTAAATGTTAAGTTTGGGAGGAAAACATTCTACACTTCTTGTTCCCAGCAGAAAATTTAGTTCAGTGTGCAATTTCCTGGTCAGGCAATTGGTTCGCACCAGTTTATTGACAGCCGTGGTTCATGCAATAAAAGCTTTTCGGCAAAATGAGATTCGACGGATAGTGGAAGTGCACCAGTTCTTGCATACCAACATTACTTTACTACATGCTCTGGACCGTTCCTCAGAAAAGTGAAATGCTGAGTCTAACATGCCAAAAACGTATGGTATTTCAAATGCATTAGATGAATGAATCAAGAAACTGCAACTTTTCAGCGAGAATCTGTTGCCCATTCTCCTTTTCAATTATAAGCAGCTGTAATAGTATTTCTTTTTTCAATCACAGAGCGACATCTTTTAATGGAAATATGAACATCGAACACATGATTGAATATTTCATCGGATAGAAATTGTTATAGCCACATTTGAAGGCCAACAATCCTGTGCTCTCTCAGTTCTCTGTGATACAGTACAGACTGTGATTCTGTGAATCACTCTCGGTTCTCAGGCATGTCTAAGGGGAAGTTTCGGTCCTGTGGATCAGATGACATTAACCAATTTCGTGGGTGATGAGTGGATCCTGTTCTACAACACCAACCGAAAAACGAGCTCATAATAATTGTGCAAACCTTTTTCACTACAGAAAGCAGATACAGTACATTACCTTGAAATCCTCCTTGTGGATTGAGAAAGGAATGAGTTATCGTGAGCGCTGTGATTCATTTCCTTGTCGAACCGGTGAGTTCTGTTGGCAATTGTTTGGGCTGGCGTCGATCTTTATTTCGCCCACACTGTCAGTGACTCTAGAACCATTAGTTTCTGTTGCCGGGAAATACAGGCAGTTCAAACCTTCATTCAGTATACCTTCCACCCCTGTTAAGTGCACTTAACAGGGGTGGAAGATTTGAGTGCTTCTTCAAGGTCTTTAGAATATACTGAATAATATATGTACCCTTGGAGTAAGTAATTTCTGAGCAATTCACCGTTCATCCATATGCACCCCTGCTGGAATATTCCTGAGCGCAACGATGAGAAAAGGTAGATGAGCGACGCCCCATTGCAAGTCATCGTGCACTATTTTGACTAAAAAGTATAATGCACATAGATTGTTCATTTCTCGAATTGCGGCTCTCCGCAATCGTATGAGCTTCATCATTGTGCCGTTTCGGAGTTTTTTTAAATTGAGATTTTAAAGTTGTAATGCATCTACATGGAAGATATCCCCTTGATCCCTGATTTATTTTGTGGATACGGCTGTTGGTACTGTAATGGAAAGCTCATTTAATTTTCTCCGTCTGTGCCACGTATTGTGCGGAAAAGCTTCCCATTAAGAATAGTGTGTGAAAGTGGTGCCAATACTCTCGAGGCGAAAGCGAATTTACTACAAGCGATGCGTGCTTTTCTGGTGAAATTGAACTTTGGTCTGCGAGATCTTTCCTATATCGAATTGGGGGAATGCGAATCCATGCAAGCTGGTGTGCATCATCATCCAGGAGGAATTAGAAAGCGAAGTACGACTGAATTTTACGTGGAACGGTTCGATGTGACTGAGTATGAAGAAAAGTTGGCATGCACATCATGCATTCCAATGCGTGAGTATGGGTGGTGTGCTCCCCGAAATTCTCGCATTTAATATTACACTGTGTATTCAGATGTACACAAACTGGAGGATGGGGTTAAACTTGGAGCACCTTGTTCAAGACAACATTACTTGCAGAAGGTATTTTCCATAGAAGAAGAACTCAGCAATAGTAAATTCGTGTTGAAAACGAATGAAAAATTCGACTCCCAGTTCGACGACGTTCTGGAAGTACAAATCAACCGTGGAGTATTCTCGCTTCATCAGAAGGGATCCATGTTTCGATTGAACCATGGAGATGTCATTGAGTTCTTTTTCCAATGCATTCGTGAGTTGATGTTCACAAATGAAACGAACGGAAGCTTGGTTTTGGATTAAATTACAGCTCTTAATATACTGTAGTACATATATTAATGATCCTTTTAATTTAAGCGATTATAAGTGACGGTAAGCGGAGACGTCTAATTTCCCATGTGTTTTTCTTTTTTTTTTTGCAATGAAACTCAATCGTCGACTGAACAAGAAAACGAGAATCAATTGGCACTGGAATATGTAATTTTTGAGAACCACTTCAGCGGAAACGACTTCATATGGGGGAAGTGTTAAATAGACAGAGAGAAATCGGGTTGCATGTGTTACTGTTAGCATCTGAAATATAGTAACGATGACTTATTGCAAGTATACCAATCAGTGAAATGTACATTTCTCACCGCGAAAAATTTGCTGTCAAGAACTGGCTGATCATTAGAGGGCTTTAAAGCTGAGTTAGGATTTTTGATTTTCTTTTATGAGAACCAGTATCCAGTTCAGCTGGCTGGAAGGCGGGATAAGTATAAGCAAATTAGGTTTTTATCGACGTCTAGAAAGAGTAATGTTCCTGTGTTCGGTTGAGAGTAAAGCTCGGCTACACCTTTTTTGAATTACAGGTACTTAATTTTTGCGAAAATAGTCCTCCCGAAAAGAAAATGATCCAGTAGTCAATCATATTGGCTCATTTATTTTGCCACATAAAATATGGCTCTTCAGCAATCTAGAATCTTTTTCAAGTCTTTTTGAAATTTTGCTCATGGTCCTGATCTCAGCTGATCCTGTACAACGCGCGCTACTACTTATTTCATTATTATTGAAGCAAAATAGCATTGCTTGGTGTCATGTTCACGCAAACATGTTCGATGCAATTTCTTGGGAGGGTTTTAAACGGTACCATAGTACATTATATATTTGTAGTAGTATCACTTATTGAAGTGCATTTCAGCGTATTTCAGGGTCATGTTTCTGTTGGCCAATGAGTGTTCGGAGCAAGTACCACAAACTTCAGCACTGCTGTCATGTCCTTGGCCTGTTCTGCAGAACATTTTCCAGTTTTTGACTCCCTGTGAAACCATGGAGAACCTCATTCCGGTGTGTCAGCAATTTTTTCAACTAATGAGGAGTGGTGCAATTTGGACTTATCTCAAGTTCAATGTTCATCCTGAACAAGAATACGTTCCATACGGTCACCTGGGTGATTTCTGCGGGGTGATTGCTCGGTGAGTATAGCTTCTGTGGATTTTTCAAGTGCTGTGTCCTCCATGATGTGTTTGCTGTTCGTTATGAGCACGCAAGTGTATGTACAGTATCGTATTTAGGTTTAAGGATTAGAAAAGGAGAGAATACACGAGTATATACTGTACAATGTAATATACATATAGCCCAGTTAGGGGCGACTCGGAACAGGAAATTGCAGTGATTAGCAGGAAATCAGTGTGTAATTTTTTTTTTTTTTTTTCGATAGATTTGTGGCGTGCATGATGATTTTCCCAGATTGTCATCAACTTCAAATAGGATACGTAACGGCATTTTTCGATATCTTTTGTCTTGGATTCGTGAACCATGATGAGCATCTTATTGAACGAGGCTTCATCTCATCTTATGATTTCCCAGACGTATTCAGAAGCTTGTAGTGAACGCCGGAGATCGACGGGGACGAGGATACGGATTTTCACGGAATGTTTTGCGTCCACTATTCAAATCGGATGGCTGGAGGATTTTGAAGGTGCTGGAGGTAGAGTCTCTGTTTTTTGATAATTTCGTGGCTGCAGTCCTGGAAAACAGAGAATTATGCGAAAAATTGGAAACCCTGTTGATTACTTGCGTTAATTTTGTTCGCCTGCGCCGTGGTAAACCTGGGGAAGGATCAGGACTTTGTTTCCCTAATGTTCAAGAAGTTACTATGCTGTGTTCACTGCAAGCAGACTTCTCTGATGTGGATTTGAAGCGGGTTTTTCCAAGGCTAGTATTTTTTCATATTTTTACACTTCGTCAGCTTCAAGTATTATTTTATGATTCCAGATTGAAGAGGTTGCACGTGATTGATATTTGGAAGAGCTCCTATCGCGAAATAAGGCCGAATATCCTGACGTTTCTCGACTTCCTTGGCTCTGGTGAGCTGCGAAGACTGCATGCCACAGCCTTGCCCCTAAAGTTGAGCATCGATGATTGGCTTCTAGCTCAAAGAAGGAGGACTTTCGCAGACCTAGAATCGCTAACCTTGCGTGGTGGCGAGTTTCAGAGGATGCCATTGGCTGGCATTATGCGCGATGTTTTCCCGAAGGTAACGCTGAATGTGTCAAATTGGATTTGAAATTACCGTATTTTCCTGAGGACATCGCCTACCGTTCTTCTGAAAAATCAAGGCATGAAAGTCGAGTGCGCGTAGTATCCGGTTTACAGGATTTACATTTTTCGAAAAAGGAAAAAAAATAATAAAATCATGTTGGTGCGCCAGAAGTTAGTCTTAAGTAAAGAAAGAATGGATAGAAAACCATGTTTGGCACCGAACTTGATGGAATTCTTTATGCTGTTTACTTTCATTTACTGTATAAGCTTGTTCTGTGTCGAAGTATTTATTGGTAAATTAATGTCAATTGCCAGCCAATGAGAATTTTGCATCCAAAAATCTTCGTGCAATCCTATGTACTGGAGGGTCCGTGGTACTTGAGTAAGTGCGGTACTGTACTGTGCAGTATATTAATTCTCTGTATTTACACTCCTGACTGCACAGAAATTATCCAAAGGCAGGATCTGCATGAACTTCAGAGTTACATTATAAAAAATATAATATTTCAACTAAATTAAAACAGAGTTTTGAGGAAGTGTGGCAAATTTCTGCATAAATAATTTGTTCCAGTCAATTCACTCACTATACCAAAAGTCCAAAACTATCAAGAGAATTACTGTTTTGTCAGTCTATTCTATACGTCATAATGACATGAAAAATACTCGTAAATTCGATATTTTTGAAAGACGATTTGACTAAAGTCATTGATGGTCAAGCATTTTTCGCTCCAGTATTGTGATCCATGTCAAACAATGGATTATTTGACATGGATGCAGAAGGTTGAACTTCTAAAAATTCGCCTACCCCAGAGTTTCCCATTTCAAGTGTTGATCATAATTTCCATGTCACATTTTATTTTTGTCTGTACGTTTGCAGCTGAAATCCATCTGGTTCCAAAATGTACGAGTGTCACCGACGAATGCAATTGACCATATACTGGAGATGCCAAGTTTGGAGAAACTTTGGTTCAGAAATGTTCGCTCAGAGTTACGTCCTGAACCAATTCCGCTCTATTTCTTCGACCGAAGACCGAAGGGATGGCTTGAAAACATAAAACTTATTTCTGCTGATACGTGGGAAAGATATATCCCGTATTCCAGAATGATCAACTTGGAATTCGTGGCGTTCTTTTTGCGAGACAAGACGACTGGGGTCACGGACACAGACGTTTATGGAGCACGTCCTCGATCCCTGGAGAAAATTTTTGAGGAACTTCGCAACTGTTCGAAGCTCAAAGGACTAATTCTACGCATACCGGATGGTTTTCGGTGCACCGTTCTTAACGAACTGTCCCAAAAATTGGAATTCGCTGCTATTTCGGCAGCTGACATCAATAAAGTGAAATCTGTGCTTGAATGCCTTCACTCCGATCAAACGCGTCTCGAAGAAGTGTGGATTCGAGTGTTCAGTAGATCGGTAAGATATCATGTAAGATTCACCAGAATGAATATGCTTCCGGTGTAAGGAAGTTGATGCTGTATAATGCATGGAGGTCCCCCTCCATGAAGATTCCCTTGAAGATGAACTTTAATGATTGCCCTAGGTTTCGTGGGCGTTCAATTCACTTTGATAGCCCGCAATTAGAAATCCCGTTATTGCATTGATGTCAGGCTCACGTAAATCAGTTTCGCTGCATTTTATGAATCGAATTCGAATGTCAAGAAGTTGCGTTATTCTGACATGACCAATTTCACCTTGATCTTTTTAGTCTGAGAATCCTAGTCCATTAATTGTATAGGGTGCTTTCAAACTTCACATATGAAGGTTCTTATTTTGATATTCAATTCAGATGTTCTTTATTATGACCATTCGACAAAAAAAACTTAATTTGAGGTTTTCACAGCTGTGATAATCTGATTTTCAATAAGTTTTGTCTGAAAGGGAAAGTGAGATTCATGCTATATTCAGTATTTTACAGATCAAAAATATTCCGTCAGTTCTGGAGAAATTTGCGAATAAAGAATTAACTGGTTGTCCAACTCTAAATTGTTTATTATTCATTTCCGAGTCATTTTGATGACCCCATTGATTCAATACCGTATATAATGGCTGGCTACAAAAACAGCGAGCGATGAATATATTTTCTGTTGAGCTTTCAGATGAGCTAGGATCAGAATGTTCACTGCTCGGACATATAGTTTTTGAATTCCTGTGTGAAAATTCGGTTCAAGATTTTTCCGGGTCACAGCGGGATGTGCCTGCCTTTCTCACCTGACTCGTGTGTCTCGCTGTTTCAGGAATTTGCATTTGAGGAAATCATCGCGTTTTTGATGAGATTCAAGCGTCTCAGAAAAGTCGTGTTCGTGTACACGCCTCGTCCCTCTCCCGATGTAAGGGGCTTCGACGTTGATGACTACTCTGATGGCGACTCACCGGATGATGACGACGACGACAGCAATTTCAGAAGGATTCAAGACCAGTGTTTGAATGATTATAAAAGGGTGCTGCGGGGTTTTGCGGATAGTGGGTGTCGCTGGGAACAAGCTACTTTCCTGTATGATGATCCTATAGAGAGGGAATCTTTTACCTACAGTTTCAAACTGCGAAGGCAAACGGAATTCACGTCATTTGCTGTCACGAAATTCTTCTCTGACTGGTTCGAGTATGTTTCGGATGGAAAAGAACCTTCTGAGTTCAGGGCAGCTGACTTGATTTCAGCTCTTTTTCCCGAGCAAACGGAATAATATGCGCGGGTACTGTATCATATTATGCGTTTCCTCAGTTGGAAATTATCGTGGAACTTCTTTCAATGCATTATTGATTCACACTTTCGGAGCAAGCATAATTAAATCTGTTCATCAGTGCGATGAAAAAGGAAATATCCTTCTTATTTCTTGGTTCAATCTTGTCAGGGATGAGGTATGAAAAGATATACAGTGTTTTGTTTCCGGACGAAAGGTGGGACTACCATAGGAAATGATGTGGCTAGCAATCTCCGTATTTACGAACTTTTTGTACGATTGGAATTTATTTTTTTGAACTCGACGTCAAACCTTCATTAAGAAGAAACAAAATCAAAGCATAAAAGCGAGGAAGCGTATGGCGAATTTAATGCGGAGAATTTAGTTCCCGTTTCCATTTATGTCGAACCAATTCTGTAACAGCATCCGTAAAGTGAGTCTTGAGGGTTTAAAATGCGGGAATGCTCTTTGAAGTAATTTTTTAGTGCATAGCTTAAAATATTCGAGACTGTCGATGAAACATTTTCTATTTTAGTATTTTGGTCCGCACTGAAGTAGGAATGTTGATTTATATAGTTCGCAATCATACGTTATTCAGTAGTTCTTTTGATGCAAATTAAAACTTCAAAATTCGTATTATATCACACAGAGGTGAACTGTTTTCGTGAGGCGAAGGGTGCACAGTAATAAACTGATGTATCTAGAACATCTCCCGCCAACCGTCTTTTATTATTGTGCCACATCGATGGAGTTCATTCGGTTTGTCCAAATGTTCTCCCATATGCATCTACATGTTTTGCAGTAACGATGTGACATTTCGACGGAAGCGGAATTTCTTCGTAATTCATTTTTGAGACGTATTATGCGAGGATATTAGTTTTACTCCAGCGCAAAAATGTGTTGATTTTCTGGAAAATGCACGATGATGACAATTTTAATATACACGGAGGTCTGTCAAAATTCTAGACGCGCATTGTTTTATATTCTAATTAATATTCCTGTGGTCAATACCAGTTATTTGGAAGTTTTGGAGGGTTCATCAGAATGAATCAAGAGGACTGCAAGAATGTGTATGCAGTATACTGTACAGTAGAATCTCATTAAAAAAAAACCAGTGCATGGGACCAGCGAAATTTCTTGATTTAAAACAATTCATTATGAAGAAACTGAAATAACCTTGTGGCTACTGGGAACAAACTCATTGCAAGCAATGATTTGATTTTTGCAGATTTGTTGTAATAAGGCTTCATACAGGAATGCCTACTATTGTACCTCTTCCTATTAAAACCAAAGGATTTTTAACGTTTCCATGTTCGCAAAGGAGTACTGATGTACTGTACAGTACCGTGAAAATTTGCTTACTTCGATTTTGGACACTTCTGCTAGGGATTAGAGGTGGCAGCTGCGGTATTTGTCCTTTTTTATCACAGAGCGACATCTTTTGACGAAAATATGAACATCGAACTCAACATTGAATATTCGATCAGACAGAAATTGTTATAGCCACATATGAAGGCCAACAATCCTGTGATTTTTGTGATTCACTTTCGGTTCTCAGGAATGTGTAAGGGGAAGGGTGTAGTCAGCAGAACTCAGCATAGGAATGCCAATACTGTACAGTACCGTGTTCAATTTCGTGGGTGATGAGTGGATCCTGTTCGACAACAACCAAAACTCGAGTACATGTAGTACCGGGAACCTTGCTCTCAGTCGAATGCAGATACTGTACAGCATTTTAAAATCTTCCTTGTGGATTGAGAATGGAGTGTGTTATCCTCAGCGCTGTAATAGATTTCCTTGTCGAACCAGTGAGGTTTGTTGGCAATTGTTTTGGCTGGCGTCGGTCTTTAAATTCGCCTATACTGCCTGTGACTGGAAAAGAGGCCAGCTCTGTAATCAAATACCAATAGTTTCTGTTGCCGGGAAATACAGGCAGTTCAAACCTTTACACAGTATATTCTAAAGACCTTGAAGAAACTCTCCAATCTTATTCCACCCCTTTTGCGTGTATATCCTAGGGGTGAGTAATTTCTGAGTGCTTCACCATTAATCTATATATGCGCCAAGAAGACTCACGAGATCATTACTGGGAGTCAATGAGGACCCGAAGGTGGACGAGCGACGCCCCGTTGCACGTCGTGCGCTATTTTGACTATTCGGTATAGGTAATTCTTCTTCCGACGAATTGCGGCCTCGCTCTCCGTAATCGTTTGTGCTTCATCATAGTACCGATTTGGATTTACTCTAAATTGAAATTTTCTAGTTGGAATGCATCTACAACATGGAAGATTCTCCCTTTCTCCTGGATCCCTGAAGTTTTTTTCGGATAAAGCTGTTGTTACTGTACTGGAAAGCCCATTTGATTTTCTCCGTCTGCGCTACTGTTAGGGATAGCTTCCCATGAAGAGCAGTGTGAGAAAGTGGTGCCAATACTCTCGAGGCGAAAGCAAATTTACTATACGCGATGCGTGCTCTTCTGGTGAAATTTAACTACGGTCTGGAAGACCTTTCCTATATCGAATTGGGGGAATGCGGATCCATGCAAGGTGGGGTACATCATGACCGAGGAAGAACGCGAAAACCAAGAACGACCGTATTTTACATGGAATGGTTCGATGTTGATGAGCATCGGTACAAGTTGACGTATATTCCAATGCGTGAGTGTATATCTTTGGTTTGCTCCCCCGCAATTCTCGCACTGAATTTTATACTTCATATCCAGATGTCCACAAATTAGAGGATGGGGTTAAACTTGGAGCCCCTTGTTCGAGAGAACATTGCCTGGTTCAGATTTTTTCCATAGGAAAAGCTCTCAGCAGTGGTGAATTCGTGTTGAAACCGAATGAAAAATTTGACCCCCGGTTCTGCGTGACTGTCCAAATCAATCGACGTGAAGTTTTCTCGCTTCATCAAGAGGGATCCCTGTTTAGATTGAAACATGGAGATATCATTGAGTTCTTTCTTCAAGAAATTCGTGAGTTGACTTAAATGAACCTACGCTGGAAGCTTGGTTTTTGAGTGACGTGGTGCTCGAGAAACAGCACATTACAGATTATTTTGTTTTCATTGAAGCGATGAAGACACGGTAAGTGATAGAAACGTATAATTTCCCATGTACTGTACTTGGTGTAATGAAACTAAATCATAAAATTATCGAATGTTAGATGCGCTTTCTAGGGATGGTTTTAAAACGAAACCAGTATTTAGTTGTGTATACAGTACAGTATAACTTGAATATATTTCAGCCTACTTCAGGGTCATGTTTCTATTGACCAGCAATGAATATCCGGTGCGAGTGCCACAAACTTCAGTACTGCTGTCATGTCCTTGGCCGGTTCTGCGAACCATTTTCCGGTTTTTGACTCCCTTTGAATTCATGGAAAGCATCGTTCCGGTGTGTCGCCAATTTTTTCAACTAATGAGGAGTGGTGCAATCTGGACTCATCTCAAGATCAAAGATGAAATATACGTTCCATTCCGTCACCTGGGTGATTTGTGCAGGGTAATTGCTCCGTGAGTTGCGTTTCTCAATTTTTAAAGTGCTTAATCCTCCATGATTTTGCTATTCGGTACGAACGCACGTGAGTGGAATTTATTCATTCAGGTTTGAAATTTTCCCGAGAGAAAATAGCGACACGGCGCAGTAAGTGAGTAATTCGGAGCGGGGAATTACGATAATCTACAGGAAGTCAGTGTAATTTTTAATGTACATCTGTCAATCTAATTTTCGAGAGATTCGTAGCGTGCATGAGAATTTTTCCTGAATCCAAGTTGGAGGCGGCATTTTTTGATATATTTTGCCGTGGATTTGTGAACTTTGAGCATCTTACTAAACGAGACTATGGTTTCTCAGGCGTATTAAGAAGCTTGTTATAGTGCACAAGCTATATGAAGACAGAAGTTTCATACTGTTGCGGTATATTCTGCGTGCATTGTTCGAATCGGATGACTGGAGGATTCTCAAGGTCCTGGAAATACATTCACTAACCGTGGACCATATCGTGGCTGCAATCCTAGAAAGCAGAGAATCCTTCGTCAAATTAGAAACCCTGGTTATCCCTTACGTTGATTACATTCGACTTTGCCGTTTATCTGGGGAAGGATCAGGAATTGTTTTCCCAAATGTTCGAGAAGTCACCCTGCGGTGTTCTTTGCGAGATGACTTCTCTGATGTGGATTTGAAGCTGGTTTTTCCGAGGCAAGTAAATTAGGTGACATTTAATTTGTCAACTTAAATTATTATTTTCCGATTTTAGATTGAGGACGTTGCATTTGATCGATTTTTTTATACACGGTGGCAGACGAGGAAGTTCAAATGTTATGACGTTTCCCGACTTCCTTGGCTGTGGCGAGCTGCGAAGCCTGCATGCAAATGACTTGCCTTTCAAGTTGAGTAATGACGATTGGCTCCTAGCTCAAAGAAGGGGGACGTTTGCGGACCTGGAATTGTTAACCTTGCGTGGTGGCAAGTATGATGAGATGCCACTAGCTGACATGATGTGCGATGCTTTCCCAAAGGTAACGCTGAAACTGTCAGATTGGACTTGAATTCCACTGTGTTTTCCTGCGAGGACCACGCATATTACAGTGTTTTTCGGGAAAATTAAGGCAGGGGAGTGGGTTGGGCGTGGTTAGCGGGTCTACATTTTCCAAAAGAGAAAAGAATATGAAGTCATATTGGTGCGTCAGAAGTTGGTGTCAAGTAAAAAAGGATAGAAAATTCTGTTCGACGCCAATACATATGTAATTCTTTGTGTTCTTTCATTTATTTATCGGCATTCAGCCTGCTCAGTTACATATTATTATTTTGTAAATTAATATAAATTTTCAGCCGGCTAAAACTGAGGTGCAATAGGTTTTTGGTCAAATTTTGCACCAAAAAGATCTTGAGGAACGCTATGTATATTCGAAGGCGCCTGGTACTTGAGTGAATACAGCTTATGAATTCTCTGTGTACACTTCGTCAATCACCACTGCACAGAAATGACCTAAAATCTGGATCTGCATGAACTTCATAAATGAAGCATTAGAACTAGTTCAACTAAATTGAAGCAGAGATGCGAAAAAGCGTGTGGAAAATTTTTGCATGAATGATTTTCTTCCAATTTATTTATTCATTGAACAAATACATATGTTGTACATGCTGCTGACTATACTGACGGTACAGCATGTGCTTTATTGTCAGTCTTCAGGGTATAATGAATGAATGACAGGGAATATTCTTCAATTCGTGTCTTTTTTTTTGGAGGCATCAGAGTCATTGATGGTCGACCATTTTCTATTTTATTGTTGTGAACCACGTCAGAGAACGGATGAAAATTCTTCTGTGTCAGCAGTAGTATGAATAGTATCAGTTTACTGAGCAAAGGTTGAACTTGAAAAAGTTCGCCTGCCCCTAAGTTTCACTGCGTCGTTTGGCATGATTTCCATGTAACACTTTATTTTTGCCATATGTTCGCAGCTAAAATCCATCTGGTTCCAAAATTTACGAGTGTCACCGACGACTGAAATAGACCATATACTGGAGATGCCTAGTTTGGAGAAGCTTTGGTTCAGAAATGTTCGTTCAGAGGTAGTTCCTGAACCGATACCGCATAATTTCTTCGACCGAAGACCGAAAGAATGGCTTGAAAACATCAAACTTATTTCTGCTGATAAGTGGGAGAGGTATATCCCGTATTCCAGGCTGATCAACTTGGAATTGGTTGCATTCTTTTCGCGGTATAAGACGACTGGGGTCACAGATGTTGATGGAACACTTCCTCGATCCCTGGAGAACATTTTTGAGGAACTTCGCAACTGTTCGAAGCTCAAAGGACTAATTCTACGCATACCGGATGGTTTCCGGTGCGCAGTTCTTGGCGAACTGTCCCAAAAATTGGAGTTCGCTGCTATTTCGGGAGCTAACAGTGATGAAGTGAAATATGTGCTCGAGTGCCTTTCCTCTGATCAAACGCGTCTTGAAGAATTGTGGATTCGAGTGTTCAATACATCGGTAAGATGATGTAAGATTCACCAAGATTATAAGCTTCTGGTGTAAGGAAGTTGATGCTGTAGAGTGGTCCTTCATGCATGTTCTCCTGAAGATGAACTGTCCTGAAAGCCCAAGGTTCTGCAGGCGTTCAATCCACTTTGAAAGTTTGCAATTGAAAAACACGTTATTGCATTACCGTCAGGCTTAGGGAAATCAGTTTCGCAGCATTTGATGAATTGAATCGAACCCAAATGTCAAGAAGTTGCGTTCTGACATGACCAATTTTCTTAATCTTTTCTGATGCTCCATTAATTGTAGTGTGTTTTCAACCTTCACATATTTAAGTTCTTATTTTGATATTAAATTGAGAGTTTCTTCATTATATGGACATTCGACAAAAAACTCAATTTGAGGTTTTCACTGCTGTGATAATCTGATATACAATAAGTACGGTCAAAAAGGAGAATAAGTGAGAGTCATGTATGTTACAGCATGTTACATTCAGTAAGTTACAGATCAGAAGTATTTCGTCAGTTTTGGACAAGCTTGCGAATAAAGAATTGATTGATCTAAACTTTGAAGAAATGTAATGTTTTTTTATAGTTCCGAATCATTTTAACGTGACCATTGAATCAATATGTATGATGGCATACTATACAGAAGTGAGCAAAACATGCATGTTTTGTTGAGCTTTCAGATGAGCTAGAATCGAGATTTTCACCGCTCGTATAGTTGTGTCCATGAAAATCTGTCAAGATTTCCCGGATCAGTGTGATATTCCTTTCCTTCTCTCCTTACTCGTGTTTCTCGCTGTTGCAGGATTTTAAATTTGAGGAAATCACCAAAGTTTTGATGAGATTCAAACGTCTCAAAGAAGTCGTGTTCGTGTATACACCTTGTCCTCCTTCCAAGAGGAGCTTCGACAATGATGACGCCTTCGACACTGACGAAGACTCTGATGACGCCTTCGACAGCGATTGCGTAACGCTTGAGTACCGTATGAGATTTTTTGAAAGAGTGCTGCGGGAATTCGCGGATCCAGGATGTAGCTGGAAACAAGCAACTTATGTTTATGATGGTCCTTATTTGAAGCAATATTTTACCTACAGTTTCAAACTGCGTAGGAAAACAGAATTCTCATCATTTGCTGTCTCAAAATTCTTCTCTGAATGGTTCAGGCATGTTTCGGATGGAAATGAAGATTTGGAGTTCAGGGCAGCTGACTTGATTTCAGCTCTTTTTCCCAAGCAAACGGAATGATATGCGAGAATTGTATCTTAGTCGTTTCCTGAGTTGCAAATAATTGTTCAACTTTTTTATGCATTGATTGACATGCCGAAATTATCGCGAAGAATACGAAGAGGAGTTGCGTATATAATGGGGTTCCTTCAAGGATGGCAGGATTTTTTTTTTTCTTCGGATTGCGATTGTGACCATATTTTTTTGAAAAATTGAGAAAGGTTTCGGCAGAAGTCATTTCTGTTCCTTGAACTGTTGTTCGTTATACACGTGTTTAAAATAAGGGAAAAGAGGAATTACAGTACTTTTTGTCACATCATCCGATCCAGCTTGCTTGGTGAAGTTTAGATTTCGAAATTTATGAGACAAGTAAATCACTCCCTTTCAAAATTCAAGAGGAGTTTACTTACAGGATGAAATTTCCCGAAAGTGGAACAAGAGTTTTTTCATTGTGCATTTTAAAATCAACTACGTAGAACAGTCGACAACATGCAAGCTGAATCGACGAACAGAATCATTTCATGTGAGATGCTTGTTACTTTTCAAAGCGACTGCGCGTATACTGTCGGAGTGAGCAGAAATAAATGAGTTCAACAGTATACTGAATTAGCAAATTTACTTTTTATTTCTTAGACTCAATCCTGTTGAAAAGATATACAGTACTGTATTTTGCATACAAACGAAAGGCGGGACTACCACGAAAGAACGTGGCTGACATCTCCGTATGTGTACGGACTTCTCTTACAATTGCTGTATTTTTAGGAAAATTGAAGCATATATGCGCGTGTGCAAATTTTCTTGCTGCGACATTAGTTCCTACATTTTTAATCTGTCGAATGAATGCTGTAGCAGAATAGCGATCCTAAACGCGGGAATGCCGTTTAAATCAACTTTTCTTTCTTGTCTCATCGTTCCGGTGTGTCGCCAATTTTTTCAACTAATGAGGAGTGGTGCAATCTGGACTCATCTCAAGATCAAAGATGAAATATACGTTCCATTCCGTCACCTGGGTGATTTGTGCAGGGTAATTGCTGTGAGTTGCGTTTCTCAATTTTTAAAGTGTTTAATCCTCCATGATTTTGCTATTAGTTACGAACGCACGTGAGTGGAATTTATTCATTCATTTTCCTAAAAATACAGCATACGCGCACACGTTTAAAAGAACGACGCTGTAATCAAGGATGTAAAAATTAGACAGCTTACTTACGACATCGTCTTATCGCTAGGATTTGCGCCCTTACGGCAAATTTAGTTGAAAAGAAAGAACAGTAGCTTGAACGCTTCAGGAGACATAAATGTTTCATCGAACATTTTCTACTTCCGTTTTTGCTCCACACTGCTGAAGGGAGGATATTGTTTTGATGCCTGCAGTTCAAGGTAATTCAATTCTTTCCAAGGAAAGTCGAACTTCGAAGTATGCATATGATGTCACCGGGTTTCAACTGCTGTCGTGAGTCGAAGGGTGTGTAGTATTTAAAACCGGTTTCTTTTATTAGTTCCCTGTCCTTCGCAGGTATAGTGCAGGAAAGGAAGGAGCAAGTGCCCTTGCAGTTATTCACTGTTGTGCTGCTGTTTTGAAGTTGCGTGACAGCTGTCGAGGGTGATTTGCCCCTTCGTGCGCCCATTATTTTTCACTTCAGGGTAATAAACGCCAAAACTTGAGAATGTTTGCTTGTCACAATATTCTGGATATTGCTGGACATTCTATCCCAGTTGTGCCAAGATTTCGGGTCTGAGCTAGTGAGCTGGTTCAAGGTTAAGTTAGTCCTATATTCATTCCAGATCAGCCTGCTCATGTAGTGCTCAACAAGATGGGATAGTGTTGGCGGAGGACAGGGGCTGTGAGATTTGCATTTCAAACTGCTCATGTATAGTGTTCAGATTCCTTGAAAATTTTTCTGGCGACTGCGAGCCATCCCGATTCTTATGATGGAAAACAAAGAAATTCATTCAGCTTGCAGGAAAACTTAGTACGATGAAGGATGGACTGCTTGTAATGGAATTTACCGCTCAGGAAAAATCATCAGAAACAACCTACAGAATCAAGTGAAGAAAGTTTGCTGTCCATTAAAGTTTTGGACCCACTCGACTGTTATCCATTAATGTGTTTGCTTTGGTGTTCTAACTTGAAGTTCTACCGTCAAGCCCGATCATGTCAAATTTCAAGGGACCAGCAAAAAATTTTTGATTAAGGGAAACCAGCTTTTCTGTTGGGGAAAGAAAGAAGGACAGGAAATTGTAATATGTGATAATTTGGGCCTTAAATTGATTCTAAAATTATTTGACTGTATGTTGAACTTTGAGGAAAGGGTTCAGAATATTGGAAGGGTCAAACTGGCAAATTTTCATTCGGTTTCTTGCGAATGAAAGTACCCTGCAGGTAAATTATAACTCGTCGTGCATTTGCCGTGCTGGTTGTGTTGAATAATCAAAGCTGCATGAATGTTATGACATTTTTATCGGATTAATGTGGCTTTTATCAAATGCCAGGTTATTCATTAATTGATTTATTGCTATTGCAGGAATGCAAAGCTTGCGAACAGAGGATGAAAATGTTTGAAGCAGCAGCTAGAGTAGTCGTACTTTGAGGAACGAAAGACAAGTTGCCAGATGAATTGGACATAGATGATCCAAGACACTGGACTCCTAAAGGGAACGAAATTTTGAAAACACCGGGAAAAACGCCGGATATCCTTAAGAAATGAGTTTGTTCCTCCGTTAAATTCTTTCCCTTTATTTTTTTTATTTGAAAGTTGAATCTCAGGTGTGCGCTTTTTGACAGTGGATTGTAATGCGAAGTTTGCTTCTTTCCTGCGATTCTGGCGTGATGCGGGGGATTTCTGTGAGAATATTGCCCTCTTTGAAGGTGCCTAAATGAGGTCATTGGGATTTAATATTTTTTACTGGGGAATTAGTCCTTTATAGCACAGCGCACGTGGTGTCACATTACTGCGGTCATGGAAGCTCTCTGGATTCATTTTTCTTGGGAGAAATTGTGGATCTGTAAAGCCAGAAGTGGTGTAAAAAATGAAAAAATGAACTGCGATCTTGTAATTGATTTCAGCGTTTCCTCCGATTAGTGAGGTATTCACAATTTCAGCAAAAGCTGACCATGTTTTTGAAATGATAATTCGTTGGCCTTGATTATACAGAATGTGAGATGGGGTATTGCTTGTCTGCCTATATATCACAAAACAGGCTCTCATCATTCAACGCATTCCAAGTGAAACAAGTGCGGTTTGCGAAGAATTTCGATCTCCTGACCCCTGGGAACAAGATCATTGAAAAAAGAGGCTACAATTGTCATTGAGAAAAAATCAGTTCAATAATGTAATTCCAACTTACCAGATATCAAGCTAAGGCACGAATCCTACTACTGTACTTAGTAAGGTATGATGCTAATGCAAGAATATTACTACATCAAGGTGTCACTGGTATATATACATATAAGGAATTACGGTGACGAGAGTGGAACGCAAAAATGAATGCCCGCATTTGCATGAAATTCCCATACAGTGATGAACACTTCAAAACCACCATCAATATGTTTCAAAGAAAGGCTCATATCTGCAACGCAAAATAAACGAGAATTGTGCTTCCATATAAGCTGATACGAAAAGCTGGAACCAATTTTGTGCGGTATCCTGGCCTGGGCATAAACCACTTCATCCTGGGAGGGAAATCGTATTCAGATTCAAATTAAATACTGTACATGATCTTATTCAACTGAATTCTTCACCCTTCTTTTCATAATGGAGCGACATCTTTCAATACAATATAATATAAAACTTGCTTGATTTAAGGCTTAAGCGACATGCCAAGTGCAATAATGACACAGTTATGGCTATCGGACACCTGCAATTCTCAGTGATCTAAGACATGTGAGAGTTTCATTTTCCAAAACTCAGCTGCAGTGTAGCATTTCATGGGCAGAAAAGAGATCCTGTTTAACAGCTCAACAGAAACGAGCGCATTTTGGCAAAAAGCCTGCGCACGACGGAGATTTTAAAATCTTCCTTGTGCAACAATAAGGAAGGAATGAGTCATTTTCAGCACATTAGTTCAATTCCTCGCCGAACCAGTGAGTTGCAAGAGCAATTGTTTTAGGCTGGCGTCGATCCTTATTTCGCCGAAACTGTCTGTGACCCTGTATGCGAGAAAGGGACAGTGTTCGAACAACCATTTGTTTCTGCTTCAGGAAAATGAATAGTTCAGACCTCCGACGTATCCGCAGGACGCGGAAGAAATTCTCGAATGTTCCACCCTTATGTTGAAGAAACGCTTGGGTTGAGTAATCTCTGAGCGCTTCGCCCGTAACCTATTCACATCCCATTGGGTAGAGTTGCGGAACAGTCATCGCTGGAAGGCCAACACGACATGGTCGATGACAGTGAGTGTGGTGGGTTGTGCACTCTTATGATGTTTCCGCTGTTCAGTATTCGCGGCCCAGTGCGACTCTTCAATTGTTCTTGCTGAGAAATCTTGGAAACCGCAGAAATTTTATGATTTCGTCACCGTGGTCAACAGATAATGATGACTTCAAATGTGCCGACTTGGGTAAATGATGATCGACGTATAGCGTAGGGGAAGGTTGATTAATCAAAGTTGTCATCCGAACTCGTGTTCTTGTTCGTGAAGGCTGCACTGCATCGCGTCATACGTGTTTTGCCGATTGTAGTCATGAGAAAGAGCCATTTTGTGTACTCTGCGGCCTTTCGAGGTTTTGGGTTTTCGAGGATGATCTTGAATGAAGTTATTCTGTTCTGAAATTTGATTGGCATGCAGTGGATTACCTCTTGAATACCGGACTGCCTTCCATTGAGCTGCAGTATTTTTGGGCTTGAATACCAAGGAAGATTTGCTTCGCCCACGTACCGTCTCGGAATATTGACAATCTCTTCGGCACATCGACATTTTCATGCAGTATTGAGTTTACATCAGAAATTATCCCCCTCCCGTCGATGTGAATACTTCGGATGCAGCTGTTGGTTTTTTGGAAAGCTCATTTTCTTTATCTGCTGTACTGCACAGCAGGGAGTTCGAAATAGCTTCGTGAGAAAGTGGTGTCGATACGGTCGTAGCGGTAGCTTTCGTGAATCCACGACAGTAAACGCGATGCGTGCTTTTCTGGTAAAACTGAACTTCGGTCTGCGAGACCTTTCTTTTCTCGAATTGGGGAAATGCGGATCCATGCAAGGTGGTGTGCATTATGACCGAGGAGAAATTCGAGAACGAAGAACGACTGAGGTTTACATGGAATGGTTCGATGTGGATGAGCATCGGTACAAGTTGACGTGTATTCCAATGCGTGAGTCTACTGTATATCTTTGGTTTGGTCCCCGCAATTCCAGTATTACATTTTATACTTCATATGCAGATGTCCACAAATTGGAGGATAGGGTTAAGCTTGGAGCACCTTGTTCGAGACAACATTGTCTGGTGAAGATTTTTTCCATAGGAAAAGCTCTCAGCAGTGGTGAATTCGTGTTGAAACCGAATGAAAAATTAGACCCCCGGTTCTGCGTGACTGTCCAAATCAACCGAAGGGAAGTTTTCTCACTTCATGAGAAGGGATCGATGTTTACATTGAAGCATGGAGATATCATTGAGTTCTTCCTCCAAGGCATTCGTGAGTTGACTTGCACAATTGAAACTGAGCTGGAAGCTTGGCTTTTGAGTGAAGTGATGCTCGTGAAACAGCACCTTACTGATTATTTTCTTAAAATTCAAGCGATGAAGCCGGGGTAAGTGGAAACGTGTGATTTCCCATTTTTTGGTGTAATGAAAGTAAGTTATCGTCTGCTTTAGGAAACGTGTGTTATGTGGCACTGAAATGAGTAACTTCCGAGAACCCTTTTAGTGGAAACGACTGTGCATATGGCAAAATAAAACTGAATGGACACACATGAATCTGGCTGCATGTGTTGCTAGTAGTATCCAAAATCTAGTAACAATATGGCTTATTGTCAGCATAACGATCAACATGAACTGTACATTGTCAGTGCGAGCGATTTTTCATGAAGAACTGGCTGATGAATAGTGTGCTGAAGCTGAGTGCTAATTTTTTGTAGTCATATCTGAGGACTAGTATGATGTACAACTAGTTCCAGAAGCGGGATATGTAAAAACAGTTGAATCTTTTTACCATCTAGAAATACTGTAGTAATTTTCGTGCGTTCATAATTGCTTCCTCTCCAGGGTAAAGTTCGACTACACCTGTTGTAGATGACTTAAATTTTTGCAAAAATCGATCCAATATTCAATGATATTGGATTATTTCTTTTGCGATAACAAATATGGTCCTTCAGCAATCGAAAATCGTCACAGCTTTTTTAATTTTGTTTATCGGTCTGCCCTCAGATTCTATACACCGCTCTATAAGTACAGTATTACATTCTTAAATAAAAGCATTTTTCTTGGTGGAGTTGTTCCCACATTTTAGCTGTAACTTTCTAGGGAGGGTTCTTAAACTTCACCTGAGTATGTACAGTATTTGTAGTGTATAATGTCACTTGAAATATATTTCAGCGTACTTCAGGGTCATGTTTCTCTTGACCAATGAATGTTCGGTGCAAGTGCCGCAAACGTCAGCACTGCTGTCATGTCCTTGGCCTGTTCTGCAAAAAATTTTCCAGTTTTTGACTCCCTTTGAAACCATGGAAAACCTCATTCCGGTGTGTCGGCAATTTTTTCAACTTATGAGGAGTGGTGCAATTTGGACTCGTGTCAAGTTCAACGTTGATTTTGAGAAAGCATACGTTCCATACGGTCACCTGGGTGATTTATGCACCGTGATTGCTCCGTGAGTTGTTTTGATGGATTTTTCAAGCGCTGAATCCTCTGTGTTTTTGCTGTTCTGTCTGAGCACGTAAGTGGATGTTTAACGATCTGCCGGAGAGAAAATATCTATACGGCGCAGTACGTGAAGGGTGATCTGTAGCGGGGAATTGCGGTGATTAACGTGCTTGATAATTTTCCCTGGTCCACATCAACTCTAAATAGGATGCGGCCCTCTTCGATATCTGTTGTCTTGGATTTATGAACCATGATCATCTAATTAAACGAGACTTCATCTCATCTTATGATTTCTTAGACGTATCCAGATGCTTGTAGTGGACGTTCGACAGCTTTGGGGACGAGGATTTGAATTTTTACAGAGTATTTTGTGTTCATCATTCGAATCGGATGACTGGAGCATTCTGAAGTTGCTGGAAATATATCCTTCTAATCGTAAGGATTTCCTGACAGCACTCCTGGAAAACAGACAATTCTGCGCTAAATTGGAAACCCTGGTGGTTTCTTGCGTTGATTGCGTTCGCCTCTTATTCCGGGGTATAACTGGAGAAGGATCCGAAATTTGTTTCCCAAATGTTCGAGAAGTTACTCTGCTGTGTTCTTTGCAAGCAGACTTCTCTGATGTAGATTTGAAGCTGATTTTTCCGAGGCTAGTACTGTATACATGTTTTGTCTTCAGTGATGTTTAGTTTAGTTTGGTCAGCCTAAAGTATTAACGTCTGATTTCAGATTGAGAGGATTGCACTTGATCGATTCTTGGGGAAATCACTTTCACGAAGTAAGGCCCAATGTCCTGACTTATCTTGACTTCTTTGGCTCTGGCGTGCTGAGAAGCCTGCATGCCATAGACTTGCCACTAAAGATGAGTAAGGATGATTGGCTTCTAGCTCAAAGTAGGGGGACTTTTGCTGACCTAGAATCGCTAACCTTGCATGGAGGCGTTTTTCAGAAGATGCCGCTCGCTGACATAATGCGTGCGGTTTTCCCAAAGGTAACGCTGAATTTGTTGAATTGAACTTGGAATCTACCAATATCATGCGCCCTCTTTTCTTCCAAAATCAGAAAAGCGTAGTGTGTGTGGTAATGCGGGTATTAATTTTCCGGAGAAGAAAAAATAATGAAATCATTTCGGTGCGTTAGAAGTTGTTCTATTTGTTTAAAAAAATATTCTGTTTGACACGAATCTTGATGCAATTCTTCGTGTTCTCTCGTTTACTTATCAGCTTGCTCAGTTACAAATTATTATTTAGTAAATTAATGTAAAATTTCCGCCACGCAATAACTGGCGTGCGGGTCGTATGAGAGGATGTGGGTCTTGTGCAAATTTTGCGACATAAAATTTTGGTGCAATCCTGTGTGCTGAAGGGCGCGTGATACTTGAGTACGGGGAATACAGTACTTTATATTAAGTTTCTGTGTGCACTTCGTCCAGTGCAACTGCGCGTAAATTACTAGCTCAAAAGCACGATGCTTGAACTTCAACAGTACAGAATAAAAACCAGTGCAACGAAATTGGAACGGAGAGGCGAGGAAGTGTGATGCAAATTTTTGCATAACTAGGGTTTCTCCATTGTATTTATTCATTTTATCGATGCGTGTACAGTACTGTACTCATTTGTCAGTCTGCAGGATAATGACGATTGGAAGGCTCTTCGATTTAATCTTTTTGGAAGACGCTTGAATTGCCGGAGTCATTGATGGTCAAATAACATGTACTACTGTATTTTAATGTTGTAATCCATTTCAGAGAATGGATGAAAAGTGCTGTGTTAGCAGCAGCATGAAGAGTATCAGATTTCTGAGCAAAGGTTGAATTTGGAAAAATTAGTCTGCTCCTGAGTTTAATTGCCTTGTTTTGCATGATTTTCATGAACATTTAATTGTTGTCCATATATTCGCAGCTGAAATTTATCTGGTTCCAAAATGTACGAGTGTCACCGTCGAATCCAATAGACCATATACTGGAGATGCCGAATGTGGAGAAGCTTTGGTTCAGAAATGTTCATTCAGATACGTTTCCTGAATCGATGCCGCTATATTTCTTCGACCGAAGACCGAAAGAATGGCTTGAAAACATCAAACTCATTTCCGCTGATCAGTGGGAGAGGTATATCCCGTATTCCAGGCTGATCAACTTGGAATTGGTTGCATTCTTTTCGCGAGACAAGACGACTGGGGTCANATGGTCCTTCAGCAATCGAAAATCGTCACAGCTTTTTTAATTTTGTTTATCGGTCTGCCCTCAGATTCTATACACCGCTCTATAAGTACAGTATTACATTCTTAAATAAAAGCATTTTTCTTGGTGGAGTTGTTCCCACATTTTAGCTGTAACTTTCTAGGGAGGGTTCTTAAACTTCACCTGAGTATGTACAGTATTTGTAGTGTATAATGTCACTTGAAATATATTTCAGCGTACTTCAGGGTCATGTTTCTCTTGACCAATGAATGTTCGGTGCAAGTGCCGCAAACGTCAGCACTGCTGTCATGTCCTTGGCCTGTTCTGCAAAAAATTTTCCAGTTTTTGACTCCCTTTGAAACCATGGAAAACCTCATTCCGGTGTGTCGGCAATTTTTTCAACTTATGAGGAGTGGAGCAATTTGGACTCGTGTCAAGTTCAATGTTGATTTTGAGAAAGCATACGTTCCATACGGTCACCTGGGTGATTTATGCACCGTCATTGCTCCGTGAGTTGTTTTGCTGGATTTTTCAAGCGCTGAATCCTCTGTGTTTTTGCTGTTCTGTCTGAGCACGTAAGTGGATGATTAACGATCTGCCGGAGAGAAAATATCTATACGGCGCAGTACGTGAAGGGTGATCTGTAGCGGGGAATTGCGGCGATTAACGTGCTTGATAATTTTACCTGGTCGACATCAACTCTAAATAGGATGCGGCCCTCTTCGATATCTGTTGTCTTGGATTCATGAACCATGATCATCTAATTAAACGAGACTTCATCTCATCTCATGATTTCTTAGACGTATCCAGATGCTTGTAGTGGACGTTCGACAGCTTTGGGGACGAGGATTTGAATTTTTACGGAATATTTTGTGTTCATCATTCGAATCGGATGACTGGAGGATTCTGAAGTTGCTGGAAATATATTCTTCTGGTAGTGATGATTTCGTGACAGCACTCCTGGAAAACAGACAATTCTGCGCTAAATTGGAAACCCTGTTGGTTTCTTGCGTTGATTGCGTTCGCCTTTTATTCCGGGGTATAACTGGAGAAGGACCCGAAATTTGTTTCCCAAATGTTCGAGAAGTTACTCTGCGGTGTTGTTTGCAAGCGGGCTTCTCTGGTGTGGATTTGAAGCTGGTTTTTCCGAGGCTAGTATACATATTCTGTCTTTGGTGGTGTTCTGTTCAGTTGGTTAGCTTAACGTACTAACGTCTGATTTCAGATTGAGAGGATTGCACTTGATCGATTCTTGGGGATATCGCTTTCACGAAGTAAGGCCCAATGTCCTGACTTATCTTGACTTCTTTGGCTCTGGCGTGCTGAGAAGCCTGCATGCCATAGACTTGCCACTAGAGATGAGTAAGGATGATTGGCTTCTAGCTCAAAGTAGGGGGACTTTTGCTGACCTAGAATCGCTAACCTTGCATGGAGGCGTTTTTCAGAAGATGCCGCTCGCTGACATAATGCGTGCGGTTTTCCCAAAGGTAACGCTGAATTTGTTGATTGGACTTGGAATCTACCGTATACTTTACTTGAGTATCATGCGCCCTCTTTTCTTCCAAAATCAGAAAAGTGTAGTGTGTGTGGTAATGCGGGTATTAATTTTACGGATAAAGGAAAAATAATGAAATCATTTCGGTGCGTTAGAAGTTGTTCTATTTGTTTACAAAAATATTCTGTTTGACACCAATCTTGATGCAATTCTTCGTGTTCTCTCATTTACTTATCAGCTTGCTCAGTTACAAATTATTGTTTAGTAAATTAATGTAAATTTTCCGCCACACAATAACTGGCGTGCGGGTCGTATGAGAGGATGTGGGTCTTGTGCAAATTTTGCGACATAAAATTTTGGTGCAATCCTGTGTGCTGAAGGGCGCGTGATACTTGAGTACGGGGAATACAGTACTTTATATGAAGTTTCTGTGTGCACTTCGTCCCGTGCAACTGCGCGTAAATTACTAGCTCAAAAGCACGATGCTTGAACTTCAACAGTAAAGAATAAAAACCAGTGCAACTAAATTGGAATGGAGAGGCGAGGAAGTGTGATGCAAATTTTTGCATAAATAGGGTTTCTCCATTGTATTTATTCATTTTATGGATGCGTGAACTGTACTTATTTATCAGTCTGCGGGATAATGACTAATGGAAGGCTCGTCAATTTAATATTTTTGGAAGACGCTTGAATTGCCGGAGTCATTGATGGTCAAATAACATGTACTTACTGTATTTTAATGTTGTAATCCATTTCAGAGAATGGATGAAAAGTGCTGTGTTAGCAGCAGCATGAAGAGTATCAGATTTTTGAGCAAAGGTTGAATTCGGAAAAATTAGTCTGCTCCTGAGTTTAATTGCCTTGTTTTGCATGATTTTCATGAACATGTAATTTTTGTCTATATATTCGCAGCTGAAATTTATTTGGTTCCAAAATGTACGAGTGTCACCGACGAATCCAATAGACCATATACTGGAGATGCCAAGTGTGGAGAAACTTTGGTTCAGAAATGTTAATTCAGATACGTTTGCTGAACCGATGCCGCTATATTTCTTCGACCGAAGACCGAAAGAATGGCTTGAAAACATCAAACTCATTTCCGCTGATCAGTGGGAGAGGTATATCCCGTATTCCAGGCTGATCAACTTGGAATTGGTTGCATTCTTTTCGCGAGACAAGACGACTGGGGTCATAGATACAGATGTTGATGGAACACTTCCTCTATCCCTGGAGACCATTTTTAAGGAACTTCGCAACTGTTCGAAGCTTAAAGGACTAATCCTACACATTCCGGACGGTTTCCGGTGCGCAGTTCTCAACGAACTGCCCCGAAAATTGGAGTTCGTTGCAATTTCTGGAGCTAGCACTGATGAAGTGAAATCTGTGCTTGAATGCCTTTACCCTGATCAAACGCGTCTCGAGGAAGTGTGGATTCGAGTGTTCAATACATCGGTAAGCTCATGTGAGATTCACGAGAAATAAATGCTTCTACGGTACTGTATATAGTCTTCAAGGAGTTGAATGTTTTGTAATGGTCTTTGTATTCAGGTTCCCTCGAAGAAGCATTCTTATGAAAGCCCAAGTTTTCTTGCTCTCAAGTCACATGGAAAGAATTGTAAAGCACATGCAATAAGTTGCCTTCCTGTCAGGCGTACGTCACGTAGTTCCGCTAAATTTCATGCATCGAATCGAATTCAAATGTCAAGAAGTCCCATTCCGCCTGATGATGTTGTCTGAAATGTGTAAAATAATATGATCAATTTCATCTTGATCTTCTGAGCTAGTCTCGCGACCCTTTTCCATTAATCGTAGTAGACTTTCGAATCCTACATTTGTAGGTGTTAGTTTTGATATTGAAGTACTGTATGAGAGTTCTCATCGCCTTTTGACGAAAGAAAAATTTCAAGTAGAGGTTTTCACGCCTCTCATAATCTTTTCCTCAATATGTTCAGTTAGAAAAGGGAAAATGAAAATCATGTTATGCATCTTTTACAGATCAAAACTGTTTAGTTAATTTTTGTGAAGCTTGTGGATTGAAAATCGCTCGGCTAAATTATTAATTTTCAGTTCGGAGTCATTTTAATGACACCATTGAATTAATGTGTAACGACAGGCTACAACAGTGAGCAAAGAATACATTTTCTGTTGATGAGCTTCCAGGGGAGCTAGAATTGGAATCTTCATAGATCGTAGTTTTCGAATTTCTGTTTGAAAATAGATTCGAAGTTTTCTGGATGACGGTGTGATTTGCCTGCCTTTCTCTCCTGACTCGTGTTTCTCACTGTTCCAGAAACTTGGATTTGAGGAAAACATCGAACTTTTAATGAGATTCAAACATCTCAAAAGAGTCGTGTTCGTTTATAAGCCTTGTTCCCCTCCCCGAAGGAGTTTCGACGATGATGACTCTTACGACGACTATTACGAGGAGGAGTGTGGAATTATGCAAGACCAGCTCTTGCGTGATTTCGAAAAGATGCTGCAGGAATTTACAGATAAAAAAGGGTGTTGCTGGAAACAAGCGACCTTGCTATACGAGGGTCCTCGTGAGACGGAATCTTTGACCTACAGTTTCGATTTGCGAAAGAAAACAGAATTCTCATCATTTGCTGTCACGAAGTTCTTCTCTGACTGGTTTGCGTATGTTTCAGATGTTAAAGAACCTTCTGAGTTCAATGCAGCCGACCTGATTTCAGCTCTTTTTCCCGAACATCAAGTATAACATGCGGGTAGTGTGTCTTATGCGTTTCCTCAGTTTCGAATTATCGTTAAGCTTTTTTGTTGATTTACACTTCGAAAGTATCCTACAAAATACGGAGAGTTGATTTCCGGATCAGTTTCAGCTACCATAAGGACAGCAGCATTTTTATTTTATTTTACAGATGACGATTATGGATTATTTTTCTTTCGTTGCAAAATGAGAAAGGTCTCAGCAGATATCATGATTTCATTTCTTCAAGCTGTTGTTTGTCGGACACGCGTTACATGTAGGGGAAAATGATGAGTTATTGTGTATCACATCATCCGATCCAGCTTGCTGGTTAGAGTTAGACTTCGAAAGTTCTCAGTATGATTTCATTTCTTCAAGCTGTTGTTTGTCGGACACGCGTTACATGTAGGGAAAAATGATGAGTTATTGTGTATCACATCATCCGATCCAGCTTGCTGGTTAGAGTTAGACTTCGAAAGTTCTCAGTTAACCGAGTAAATCACTCTTCGAGAAAATTTAGCAGTTTATTTCCCCGGAACAATCCTCGGAAGGGGAACATGACTGTTCTCAATGAGCGTGTTAAGATCAATGAACAGTCGACAACATGCAAGCTGAATCGATGACCAGAATCATTTCGCGTGCAATGACTTCTACGTTTCAAAACGACGTCATGTAATGTTTGAGTGAGCAGAAATGAATGAGTTCATCGGTATAATGAAGTTGGAAATTTACTTCCTATTTCTTAGCTCAATCCTATTGTAAAGAAAAATTTTGCCTACAAACGGAAGGTGGGATTACCAAGAAAGAATGTGGCTGACATCGCCGTATGTGTACGGATTTCTGGTACATACGATTGCGTTATTCTCGGAGAAGTGAGAATAACGCGATTGTACAAAACTAAGAATAACTGAAAAATTCGAAGCATATGTGTGCGTTTGCAAATTTTCTTCCTGCGAATTATTTAGTTACTACTGTATTTCCTTATCTGTCAAATCAATGCTGTAACAGAATAGCGAGCCTAAATGCGGGAATGCTTTTTGAATTAACTTCTTTTATTGCCTAGCTTGAACTCTTGAGGAGACATCAATGTTCGATCGAACGTTTTCTACTTCCTTCTTTTGGTCCACACCGCTGAAGCAGGCATATTTTTGTGATGTCTGCAGTTCAAGGTTATTCAACTACTGTATTTCCAAGGAAAGTTGAACTTGGAGATACAGTATGTATGTGATGCCACACAGTTCCAACTGTTTTCGTGAGTCAAAGGGTGTGAAGTACTTAAAATCCTGTTTTTTGTTTTGTTCCCGATCTTCGGCAGTTGAAGAGCGTGAATGAGTCAGTGCCCTTGCAGTGATTTACTGTCGTTTTCCTGTTTCGCAGTTGTGTGACAGCTGTCGCGGGTGAATTGCCTTTTTGTGCGCCCATTATTTTTCACTTCAGGGTAATAAACGCCGAAGCTTGAACTCGTTTGCTTGTCTCAATATCCTGGATATTGCTCGGCATTCTATTCCAGTTGTGCCTAGATTTCGGGTCTGAGCTGGTTCATGGTTAAGGTTAGATTTTCTATTGTATATTCATTCCACATCAGCTTGCTCATGTGGTGTTCAACAAGATGGCGATTGTGTCGGCGGACAGGGGCTGTGAGAATTTCAAACTGCTCTGTTCAGATTCCTTGAAAATGTTCATGCTGACTGCGACCCATGCTGATTTTGATGATGAAAAACAAAGAAATTCCTGAATTGTGATGTTGTTCCAACCGTTTCTTTGGGAAGTTATGACAGTATAGTTGGATTCTTATCGTTCAATAATATCATTATTGTATTGCGTATATATCTTTTGATAGTTCACATGATCCTGCGTGTTTTGAAATTGAATGAGTCTTTTATCCAGGCAGAAATTTTCATTTGTCTCATTGGATTGTCCTGAAAAGTCCATGGAAGACATTTGAGTCGCGGCGTTTCTGGCGAAGTTGCATTTATGAAAAAGCAAGAACCTCGGCAACCTGTCCTTCAATTTTTCTTCAGAGGTCTCTTGAGATTTTATGTTAATTTGCTGGTACACAGGAAATTTTTGAAATCGCGATTTTTACTGGATTTTACCAGTAAAAATCACCAGTTCAAAGCGTTGAAATAATATTTTCAATGTTTGACGTGCATTTTTGAAGAGCAGGTTTCCATTTTCTTTAGGAAAGAAGTGGTATTTCGTCGGAAAACTCTGCGAAAGAGCAGCACTGCATTTCAAAAGATACAGAACGCAGATATTCCCTACGGTAGCGTATATTTTGTTTGTCCACGGACGATGAATGCGTTTCTTGTAAGACTGGATTATGGTCTTCGAGACCCTTCGTTCATGAAATTAGAACCGAGTAGTGTACCCACGGAAAGTTCAGAGAAGAGCGAAACAAAAACGAAAAAGAGATCCGTCGAATGCTATTTTGAACTCGTGGGAAAAGAAGTTGTTGACAAGAGGCCTCGGCTTAGGCTACGTAAGTTACCCAAATTTCGCTTCCATGCATTCCCGTTTTTTTATTGCTTTTTTATTATCTGGATTCTTAACTTCAGATGTTCACAAAGTGGAAGACGGAGTCAAACTTGGGGTACCTTGTACGAAAATTTCTGGGTTGAAAAAAATGTTCTCCATCCGCGAGGATCCGAATGCGGGTGCTTTTGTTTTGACGGTTGTCGAAACGTTGACGCATCGCTTCAACGTGTCGCTGTGTCTCAATGATGACATTCTGCAAGGGGAACAGAAATCCGTGTATAAATTGAGACATGGTGACGTCATCGAGGGCACCTACATGGAAAATCGTGAGCTAATTCGTGGAAGTCTTGAAAAATATGAGAGTCGTTTCCTAAGTTCTGTATAATTTCCTTAACTTCTGAAATTCTTCCTTTATTGATGGGCATAAACTTCCTTTTTTTAAGTAATGTTCAATCATTTTCTGGCTATCCCTTCAACATTTGTTCACCTATTGGGAAAAAAAAAATCAGAGGGTTGAAAGTTCACAGCACTATCACTGCAAGACTTTTATTTTGCCTGTCGTAATTCTTCTCTGATCGGGGAATTTGCCAGGGCTTGGAACCAAATCCTGTACACTCGTTTCTCTTCCAGTCAAATTTCAAGGGATCAGCGAAAAATGTGTGCTCGGGAAACAAGCATTTTTCTTTGGGAAGAGAAGGAAGAATAAGAGGAAATTGTAATTGGTGATAATCTGGGCCTTGAATTTCTTCTTGGATTAGTTTATGGGGTCCTGAACTTGGAGGAACTGGTTCATTTGCTCAATTCACTGAAAAGTCAATCACGTCTTTTCAAAACACATCAAGTTACTTTCTCTTTGCTGCATAAAAAAATAATGGCGAGAAGGCCCCCAGAAAATTCGAGCTATGAAGATTAGAGGGTAATTTCTTTGAGTTAGGAAAATTTTTCAATGCATTGTTTCTAAGGGAATCCAGACAGGGACTTTTAAAAAATCTACATTAGAGTTATTTGATTCTAATATGGAAGTGCGAGTTATTGAGTGTTAACTATGCAGTATTATATTCGAGAAGGATGAAAAATTATTATTTTGACAACGAATCAGATCACAAGAAAGTATTAAATTGAACTTGGACTGTTCCTATCTTTCAGGATGCTTCAAAATCATGTTCCTTCTTAGAGAGGAAGGTCACTTGAGGAAACCGCAGACTTCGCCCCTGCTTTCGTGTCCCTGGATAGTCTTGAAGAATATCATCAAGTTTTTCACACCAATGGAAATGATGACGAATATTGTCCCGGTCTGTTGGAAATTTTTCAAACTGATGAAACGTGGACGCATTTGGAGTAATCTCGCGTTTCACTTTCTTTTTGACGGAATCACCTCCGTGCCATTCGGGCACCTGGATGACTTCTGCAAAGTTGTTTCAGGGTAAATTTCCCTTCTTGTGAGTTTCGCAGGCTGCTAATCAAATATGAGTATATTTGGCAGATTTATTTTGAAATTCAAGAGGACGGGTGGTCGTTCACGACGTGAATTTAATATGATTTTTAGAAATGAACCTTCAAAGCGATGGCAGTAATTTTTCGTCTTATGGTGTTTCAATTGTCAAAACTCAGCAGGAGCAACTTCCGTTCATTTATATCCAGAACATTTCGTGGGTTGATCGGCGAATAGTTTGGATGATTTAATTCTTAATTTGTGGATGCATTACTCATGCGTTCAAAATCATTTTTCTTTCCCCAATTCCAGTAAAAATTTATGAAATTATTTGTTCGAATTCCTTCATCTCATTTTCAGGTATGCTCGGAAGCTTTCATTGGAATTCAAGTTGGATGCTGGATTGGAAATGTCCTTGCCGCAGAATAGTCTGAGTCTGTTGTTCACACATTATGACTGGAGTAATCTGGAGATGCTGGATGTTTCTGCGTTGGAAACCAACGAACACGCGTGGATACGTTTTTTGAAAAAGAACGGAAAAGCACTCACGAGTCTGAAAACCCTGTCAGTGCGTGGCTTTACTCCTGGAAACAGCCTACTGCATTTTGCCAAATTCGGAATCATTCGATTTCCGAGTTGTGAGGAGGTTACCCTGAGGTGTTCTACAGAGATGATTCACGCCGTGGATTTGAGACAGATTTTTCCAAGGCCCGTATATTTTTAGCATATTAATTTTTTCTTGTGAATGATTAATATGAGTCGATAAATTTTTTTTTTAGAATGAAGAAACTGCATCTTTACCATGCAGATGTCTACCAACTTGCGAAGGCAATGTACAATAATTCCTTTGAGAAACTGATGATGAAACAGTTCCCTGACTGCCTCGGCTCAGGTGTGCTTTTGAGCCTCCATGTCTACGATTTGCCTGTACAATTGGATGCCAAAGATTGGCTACTGGCTCAAAAAATGGGAATGTTCAAAAACCTTGTATCTCTGAGCTTGAATGGAGAGCATTTCGATAACTTGCCATCTGTTAAGGAGAACGACATTTTCTTCCCAAAGGTGACTCATCAAAAGATCTCATTTCGTTCCCGGCGTGAGA